GTGCCGTCGCCGCCCTGGGCAGGCTCAAGAGGGATATGCCGAGCGTCGTGGCCAAGATGGAGCGCGCGCGCGTGGCGGGCGAGTATGTGCGCGATGCGCGGTGATACTGCTCTCGGCCCGAGGCTTGATACGACGTTATGATGTATTTTTTTTTTTTGCTTTCTGATTTCTGAATTTCACGGTGCATGAGCTGGGCCGACAGGCTGCGTGAGGCAGTTTATCTGGGCGTCTTTTGGCGATATTTCAAAGTCAAACATGTACATACGCGAGATCACTGGAAATATGGACCTGAACTTGAGACCAGTCCTTCTGTATTCTGCTAGACAATGTTTCTAAATGCCAAAACAGTAGAATCTTATCCCATTCTATCCGGTTCGCTGGGTAATTGTTGAAATATTCTTCTACTCCGTTTTTTCCTTTTGTCCCATCGAAAGTATCCTTATTTAAAAAGCAGACAAGTCTGGAAACTGGACCGAGAAATCAAAGAACCCCTACTTTGGTTTTGTTTTTCGTGTACCAACCCGACATCACACCGTCCGACACCATGATGTCTATACACACCACACAGCCCCTTCACCAAGGCTAGTCAACTTTATTACCACTGCTCGCTAAGCCGATAAACATACAACACAACTCCGTCTTAATGCCAATGGATCAATGTCAAGTCAAGATTCTGCACTGCCAAGCACTTACGCCGTGGCAGCGGCAGCAATCTTGTCCTCGTCGACCGGCGCAGCGACGGCAACCTTCTCGTTGTCAGCGGCCTTGGTAATGGTCGAAGGCTCGTTGCTAACGGCCGTCTCCCACTTGGCGGGACGAGCCCACTCCGCCTCCTTCCAAGGGCCCGTGTCGCTGTTCTCGCAGCCGCCGGGGCACTCGCAGGTACCCCCAAATTCCTTGGGCAGGGAATCGGCAGGTACGTGCTTGAGCAGCTCGCTCTTGTAGCCGCCACCGAGAATGTGAATCTTCTTGACGGTGACGGGGTCCAGCCAGCCCTTGACGACGCTCCACACGGTCGAGAAGCCCCAGGGGGCGTTGATGAGGAACAGCTTGCCCAGGCGCTCGGGGTAGTAGTTTTGCGAAATGACCGACGCCTGTTTAACGTACGAGTAAACAGACGGGACCTTGGTCAGCGTCACGCCCTTGAGGTCCATGACGGTGCAGCATGTCTCCACGAGGTTGTCGACTTTGCGCGAGCACGCCGGCAGGCGGGGGTCGGCGAGGCGCTCGTACTCCACGGCCAGGTTGTGCAACATGCGCTCACCGCTAGTGATCTTGTACATGGCCGTCAGGTCGATGCCGCCAAGCGTTTCAATGTAGATGGGGCGGCCATCCTAGGCATGGTTGTTAGTATTTATTTGTCATGCAGCTGTGAAAGCGACAGCGGGGGCGAGCAAAAAGACCTACATTGTCCGTCTTGTGGTAGAATTGCTGGTAGTATTTTTGAATGTCGGCCTTCTCGGGGTAGTCCCAGGAAGCAATCGTGTTGTCGAGATCGGTCTCCTTTCGCCACTTTTCGGTGTCGACGAACCTGAGGTTGGTGTCAGTTAAAGCCAGGAGAAATGACCCGGGTCCTTGTTACAAAGACCTGGATAGGAGACTCACATCTGCTTGGCGAGGGCAACATCAAACTTACGAGCGCGGAGGAAGCGCAGCTGAAAGGAGTTGTTAGACGCTGGTTTTAATCGACGCATGCAATACGTCATAAGTGTGCATACACACCAGAGTCAACGTGTCAAGACGTTCCGTCAAGCCCTCGGCCTCGAGCATCATGCGCAGCTGATGGACCTGAGCAATCTGGCCGGCGTCCAGGTGGCCGGCGTGGCCATTCTGGGCCTCCTTGGCCACGTAGGGGAAGTCGTAGTGGTCGTATTTGGCGTCGAGATCCATGGTGGGGGACGGAAGGGATGGACGAGAGGGAATCGAGTGTAATGATGCAGAGGGGTAGGAGAAAGACGAATAGGCAACGAAGAGCCGTAGAGATGGTGGATGGCTTGAGGAGAAAGAACGGGGGGTGTTCCAAAAGAAAAGGGTTGGGAACGAGAAGAAGATGAAGGATTCGAAAAGGAGATTTGGAGAAGAGGCGGAGCGAGAGGCCAGCCCAACATTAGTGTGTCGTGTCTGCGCCTTGGTCGTCTAATTCGTCCTGGACCTCTCCACCTATCACGTGGGGTAGCCGCCGAAAATATATACTACAAATACAAATTAGTTACGATAATAGAGTTTTTAGAAGGACAGAGATGAATATATACGATATTAAAAAAAATTATATCTACTTTTTATAATTTGGTTTAAAAAAATTAGAGAGAGCTTTACTTTTTAATTCTAAGTACTAACTCTAATTTTTGACGACAAGTAACCTTCTTGGTTATATTTTAGAGACATACGTCTCATTTAAACCCTCAGCCTATCGTGCTACCCTCCCACTTGCCGGAAAGGGTGGATACAGCATCAAGATACAGCAGGCCTACTAGTTCGCTTTGCTTGTCGATTCTCAATCAACGAATGGGCAGAAGTATCAATAATGATAATACAGAGTACTCCGTACCCTTCATAGATTTACCTGGTCGTTACATTCCACGGACGAAGGTGTAACTAGTGACAACGCGTCGGCGACCCCTGCTTACTAAATTAGCGCGTCAGGGGTCAGGGGTATTTTCCTAAGCCTTCCCCAACAACCCCAAGGAGCACAACGGCGCCATCTCCATCACCAGTCTTTTTCACTGGGAGGGAAAATATGAAGAGGATCTTGGCACTTGCACTAGCATATTACCTTCGACGATGAGTCCGTATTGACTGAGTAAGCCCATCTCTCGCTTCCGTCGTGCTCCGGGTTTAATATTTCACGATTCCAGCAATCAGATATTCAACATGACCATCCCGTCTGTGTCTACCAAGCTGTCGGCCAGGATGCCGACACCGTAAGGAAGCTGACTGACGACAGCGCCATTCCGCTAGCGTCGCCGTTTTCCAAGTTGACCAAAGTATAGCTCCCCGATACATCTCTCCTTACCAACGCACTATGCTAAGTCTGTTTGAATACTGCCCCGAAGTGACCTCGACGGCGCTTTCCGGCACGTCTGGTCATGGCTGGCACAGCTACACCGACCCGCTGCTTGTCGCGTTGTGCGAGAGCGCAATATAAACTGGGACGCAAACACGAGCGACTATCTTTGGCAGACCAGCTTGGTCACTGCGACACCGACCCCTGGGATCAATGACTTGTATCTCTTGTTGGAATATGTTGGGGACTGTTTTTCGGTCGAAACAGACTCTGTTTTGTATCAAGCGGTCCAATATACCAGCTACACTGCAGCAAAGCTGGGTCGCACAAGGCGTGCCCGCGATGCTTGTTCCAGGCTGCTAGGCACGTGCCCAATACTTGCACTTACACTTTGCGCGAGTTTTGCGTCGACCTTTTATGCCCGATACCGGCATCTAGATGACACGAGCAGAACTTTGCAAATCTACATGAAACAAAGTAGCAGGCTGTCCAGAGAGCGCGCCAAGGGAACAAACTCACCACCATCAGCTATGTCATCACCCCATTTCCCACTCCCCATAAAACAACTACGCCGCAGCCTCATCGGGAGATGCTCCTCTGTAAGGAGCGGATCGGGAGAACACTCTGCCACAAAGTCTAGTCACCCGTCAACTGAAGATCACGCTCTCATTCAAGCACAGGTGGTCCAAAATGTAATGCTGGTCAGATTCAACACTCGCAAACGCAAAGTCTATTCGAGATGATTCGTATGACGTCACTAAACACCATCAACAATTCCCACGACGCGGCTGCTCTCATCCAATTCGATGTTTGTCTTGGCAATGCTAGCCTTGACGGGGTTCTTGGCCTCGAACACGTCCTTGAGCTCCTCGAGCGTCTTGCCAGCCGTCTCCACAAAGAAGATGTAAATGACAGCCATTTCGACACAGATCCAACCAATATAGACAAGGTACAACTTCCAGCCGAGCTTTTGGATCCCGACGCTGATGCCATACGTATTCACCACCATGGCAACGTTGAGGAAGAGAAAGTTGAGCCCAGAGCCCTTGGCACGCGTGCGGTTCTCGAGGCACTCGACGGCGTAGAGCGTCTGCAGAGGCGTGAAGCCCCAGGCGAAGCAGAAGCCGAAGACGTAGATGGACGCGATCACGGCGTAGGCCAGGCTGCTGTTGTCGGCTGTCTGCGCTGTGAAGGCGGTCAGCAGGCAGTAGGAGAGGAGCGCTCCCGTGAGGCCGCCGAGCATCATGGTGCGGCGGCCGAGCTTGTCCAGTAAGGAGGCACCCCAGACGGCGCCGAGCAGGGAGAAGATGGGGTTTATGGCGTTGAGAAGCAGCTGCTTGTTTGTGTCGGTGATGCCGGCCTGTACAATCATTTCTGGCTATAAACAGTGTAAGTCACTTGTAGTCTAATAAAGTTGATGAATAGCACTCACCATGAAGTAGGACACCACATTGTTGCCGCTCCACTGGCCAATAAAGGCCATGCCAATGACCATGCCCAGGCGATAGCGCGCCGCTCGCGTGTTGGCCAGCTCCCGGAAATCCCACCAGGCATTCTCATCCTTTGTCAGGTTGTTCGTCTCGACGATTTCGTTGTACTCGAGCGTCGGGATCGCCGAGTTGGCGTCGCCGTCTCCGTGATACTTGATCAGGATCGCGAGCGCCTCGTCCGCGCGGTCGTGAGCAACCAGCCACCGCGGCGATTCGGGAAAGAAGAGGATCAGGACCATGACCACCGCAGGAAGGCCGGCCTGCACCAGCGTTGGGACTCTCCACGCCCACGAGGACTGCAGATGCCTATGAGCCGAGTCAGCAACATTGCGTCTATACAAGAACGCCGTATGTGGCTTACACGTTGGACCCGTAGCTGGTCCATCCGGCCAGGATGTTGCCCAGCCACCAGAAATTATTGTACATGCCGGCCATGAAGCCGCGGTAGGCCGGGTGCGCGAGCTCGACCGTGTACGCCGGCCCGGCGGCGCTGGCAATGGCCGCGCCGAAGCCGAGCACGAAGCGGCCGCTGATGAACTGGCTGAGCGAGTGCGCGGAGCCCTGCACGGCGGTGCCGACGAGCACGACGAGGCAGCCGACGAAGATGCAGAGGCGACGCCCGTAGCCGTCGGCGAGCAGGCCGCAGAACGGAAAGGCGGCCACCTGCCCCAGGTTGTAGATGATGAAGATGATGCCGGTGGTGGATCCGGCGCCGACCAGCCCAAAGGACTCCTGGTAGGGCTTCATGGCGTTGATGCTTCCCATCAGAGAGCTATCTAAAGGTGTGTTAGATCTGGGGGTACATGTTTAGGGTAGGGAAGCATACCAAACCCGTTCATGGTCGAGACGAGATACCCAACGGCCATGATAAAGTACAGCTGCAGCATGTTTTTGGACAGCAGCTGCGGTTTTTGGTTCGCAATGGCTGCTGCGAGAGCGACAGAGCCGGTGGCCATGGTAGTGACGTTGCCCGTCATCTTTTCATCGGCCACGCTCTCATCATGGACGGTTTGTGTCTTGTGTCCCTCGTTTGCCATTTGTGCTATATGTGTTTCTGCAAAGGTGATGATGCCCGAGGCCTGTAGGGGTTGGGGTTCAACAAACGGCGAGGCGAGCGACGGGCTGCATTATAAACTTGTCGCCCTTTCCAAGCTCCAGCTCAGCCAGAACGGCATGTTTGAGTCTGGGGTTGCCAGAGTTCCCCGGGTTTTTTTACCCCGCTGCCGATGAGGCGGACTTTGACAAGGGGGAAGCGGCTATTGATTTTTGTATTACTTGACTCGTGGGAACTCGGGGCTTGTTGACCGAGATACTGTCCGAGATGCCAGCGGCAAATGTCTGCGAGGCGGAGAGTTGTCTGTAGATGGGAAAGTCGGCTTGGTAGCGACGTCTGTTCGACGAACGAGCCATGGCGGCGGGATTCAGGAGGGATTTTATTTGTACTGATTGGCTTGGCTTGATCAGGCTGGGGTCTAATTCTACTGGTTACCTTGGCTTGATCAGGTTGGGGGTCTTCAACGTACACAGCACGCCGGGCTGGGTCTAGATGCATATGCACCCCACATCCCCAGAGGACGCTAAACCGAGTTCTATTTGGCGGGGAACCACGTGTAGCAATTTTTATGAATTATTGTGGTGCGAATAGGTTTAGTCGGTTCATCCGTTAATCCGTTAATCCGCTCACCTGCTTCCAACGGCGTCCATTGGGTCAACTAGCAAGCACAGACAAACAGGTTGCATCAGCATCCTGCAGCATACACTTGAGATTGCCGTCACGTGTATCCATAGGGCTCTTTGTTATACCCCAGGCAGGCCGCCTTCCTGCGAACCCTTCAGCCGCAGCTGAAGCCCCAGTTCTCGCAGGCTGGCAGGGGGGGCTTAGTTGGTTCGGCGGCTTCGGCCTCGCCCCCAACAAATGAAGCCCAAATCGGCATGTGAGACCTGCAGGTAACATTGTCCCCGAAACCGACATGTACTGGTTGACCTCGTTCTGCACAAAGCTCACACATGGCCATCGCAGGACCCGTCGCAGAAAATGCATCCGCTCGCAGCAGGGCCTCACCTGCGACTACTGCGCCGCGCGCGGCCTCGACTGCCACCTCAGCGCCGAGACGGTGTTCCAGTCCGACGGCTACGAGACGATTGTGCCGTGGCGGTCGCACGCGCTGACGCACAAGTCCAAGCTGCTGCCGCCGACCGACCTCTGCCTCGAGCTCATCCACCTCTACTTCCGCTACGTGCACGTCTCGTTCCACGTGCTCTTCCACAAGCCGTCCTTCCTCGACGCCTACGCCCGCGGCTCGCTGCCGCGCATCCTGCTGCTGGCCGTCATGGGCCTCGCCGCGCGCTTCGCCCGCCACGCGAGCCTGGCCGCCACCCCGCCCAGGGAGCGCGGACGCCGCTTCGTCAAGGAGGCCGAGCGGCTGCTCGACCTCCACGACATGTCGCTGACGACGATCCAGGCCTGCCTGATGCTCGGCGCCGCGGCCGTGGTGGAGGGCGGCCGGGCTACCGAGTCCGTCTACTTTAGCATCGCGTGCCGCACCGCGCTGCTGATTGACCTGCCAAACATTGCTGCGCCGACGCTTGTTGAAGAGGAAGTCAACCGAAGAGGTGAGTCGCTGTAGAGTGGTGCCGTTCAAGGTGTGTGTAAAAGTGTTCAAAGTACTCTTGGACTAAGAGAAGTAGTTTGGTGGACCGTCTACGAAACGGATACCTGGTCGTCCACCGCGGTCCGGCTGCCCAAAATGATGCCGTTTCGCAATATACCCTTGCCAATGGCCGAAGATGTATTCCTCGGACTCCCCCTCACGCAGCCGGCAGTGGCATCGCCAGACTCCCACCGCCCCGTGGCAGATCAGCTACCAGTTCCGTCCCCAGACTCGTTGATTGCGCAGGCCATGACCATTGGCTTCACGCTCTCGAAAATCGACCAGATCAATTCTCGCGCGGCTTCCGGGCTCGTCAAGTACGTTGATCTCATCCAAGAAGTAGACTGCATCTGGCGGGAACTGCACCGCTGGCACTCCAACCTACCCGCCAACCTGGTCAACACGCCAGACAACATTGTCTACTGGTCCAGCAAGAACCAGGGAAACTTGTTCGTCTTCCTCCACATGAACTACTACCACCTCTGCCAGCTGCTATTCTACCAGTTCATCTACCATAGCGCCCACGACAAGGAGTGTCCTCCGCTCGCCCTCGAGTTCGCCGCCCGGTGCCGCGACGCCTCCTCGCAGCTGTGCGAGCTCCTGCACGCGGCCAGCGCGTCGCCGCACACGGAGCTTCTCAACTCGCTTGTCGGGCACGTGCTGACCATTGCCTCGACCGTGCAGCTGCACATCCTGCTGTTCGGCGAGAAGGACGCCGAGACGCAGAATGCGCGGCGGCTGCTGGAGCGCAACTTTGCGCTGCTCACCCGTCTGGAAGTGTACTGGCCGTGCCTCGATATCTCGTTTGCGCGGCTGGAGGCGTTTCATGAGGCGTGCGCGCGCTTCCAAGACGGCTCGCAGTTCCGCATGGATCAATGGATGCTCACGTTTCTGCTCGAGTTTGCGACGGCGGTTCCGAGGAACAGAACGGCGGAGAGCAACACCGTTTCGCACAACTCATGGCGCAATATCCTCGGCGGGCGCTAATTTGTTGCCTTGGTAATTGTTATGCTGCTTTCTAGTGCAAGCATGTGCATTTTCTGTAAACCTTCACTGCCATAAATATCATAATCCAGTAGATGGAGCTAGTTAATATCCTGTGCCCCGGGTAATTCGGTCATATATAGTACAAATATGTGCATTTCCTGTAAACCGTCACTGCCATGGCTTGTCTAACTATCAAATGCAGTAGATGGTAGCCCATCTCAACTGCCCAACCATTCCTCCCCGAAACACCCTCCCTCGTCGGTAATTAGTCCCCCGAAGTATTCCATGTCCATGCAAAGTGGCGCTCATGGCGCCGGATCGACGCTCCACAGAACAATTGTCCGGCGCTGAGTAGCGGGAAGCGGGCGGGATACGATGCGGGATATAGGCGGGGAAAGGTCCAACATGATTGGTGTATTCATTACTGCCGAGGAATAGAGTCCATGTCTTGTTGGCGAATCATCATTTATTGGAGACAATTCTGGATATCGAATTTATGTCGCTGGCACTTAACTACTTGTGCCATTTCAAATGGCTGTCCTCTGTCAGACGTGACTTGCAACCTTGACAGCCAAACCACTTACTCACAACACTGTGTTTCCTCACTCAGATGCTCCCGACACATCTATCATAATGGTAGAGAAACGCGAGGATCAGAGTCGTGAGATGTGTTCCGGACACCACGAAGCCGACCAAGAGGGTAGGCCCGACTACGCCAACGAGGCAGTGTTTCGACGCAACACGCTGCCGCCGCGGTCCTACTGGCTGCCCAGCACAGCGCTGTGTCTCAACGGGACGTGGCGGTTCGACTACGCCGGCAGCCCGCTGGAAGCGCCCGACGCGGCCCGTTGCCGACCGGAAACGTGGCCCGCGATCCCGGTCCCGGCGCACTGGCAGCTCCACGGCTACGGCCGGCCCCAGTACACCAACATTGTGTACCCGTTTCCCGTGAACCCGCCGCACGTGCCGGACGAGAATCCCACCGGCGCGTACGCCAAGTCGTTCGCGGTGCCGGCGGAGTGGGACGCCGACGCGCAGCTGCGGCTGCGGTTCGACGGCGTGGACAGCGCGTACCATGTCTGGCTCAACGGGCAGCTTGTTGGGTATGCGCAGGGAAGCCGCAATGCGGCCGAGTTTGACGTTTCTTCGCTTGCGCGCCGCGATGCGGTGAATGAGCTTTTGGTGCGCGTGTATCAGTGGTCCGATGGCTCGTACATCGAGGACCAGGATCAGTGGTGGCTGTCAGGTAGGCGTGCCCAGAGCCATGTCCATTCCTTGATGGCTCGACAGGCGCTGACAATGGCAGGTATATTTCGTGACGTCCATCTTCTCGCATTCCCTGCCAGATGCAGATTGGAGGATTTTTTTATCCGCGGCGATCTAGACTCTGCGTACCAGCATGGAATATTGCACGTGACGGCTGATGTACACTGTCCCCCGGGCGGTACCATTTCTGTCACTCTGCGAGAACAAGTCAAAAACGGTGCCGCGGTCATCTGCCACCGAGTGCAAGATGTCGCTCCGCTCACCGACAAGGTCGAGTTCCTCATTGAGGTCGAGAATCCATCCAAGTGGACTGCCGAGACCCCCTACCTGTACCAAGTCGACATTGAACTGACTTCAGGAGGCGAGTCCGCGCGCGTCACTCATGCTGCCGGCTTCCGAACGGTGGAACTCAAGGACGGGCTGATCAAGGTCAACGGCAAGGCCATCCGGTTCCGGGGCGTGAACCGCCACGATCACCACCCGCGATTCGGCCGTGCCGTACCGACCGAGTTCATCCGGCGCGACCTCGTGCTCATGAAGAAGCACAACATCAACGCGCTGCGCTGCGCCCACTACCCGTCGCACCCGGCCCTCTACAGCCTGGCCGATGAGATTGGGCTGTGGGTCATGGACGAGGCCGATCTGGAATGCCACGGGTTCGCCGAAGTCGTCGCCGACAACACGGCCGAGTGGGACGGCAGCGAGGCCGCCTACCAGCAGCTGGTGACGACGGTATCCGGGGCCGCGCGCACATATCTGAGCGACAACCCCTCCTGGACCGCCGCGTACCTGGACCGCCGCGTACCTGGACCGCCTCACGCAGCTCGTGCACCGGGACAGGAACCACCCGTGCGTCGTCGTCTGGTCGCTCGGGAACGAGTCCTTTTGCGGCCGGAACCTCGTGGCCATGTACCAGGCGTGCAAGCGGCTCGATCCCAGCCGCCTGGTGCACTACGAGGGCGACACCGACATGGGCACCACCGACATGCACTCGTACATGTATCCGGCGCTCGACGCTCTCGTCCGCCGAGCGCTGACAAAGGGCGTCGGCGACGACGGGACGGCGGACAGGCCGCTGATCCTGTGCGAGTATGCGCACGCAATGGGCAACGGTCCGGGACTGCTGGAAGACTACGAAGACGTGTTTCGCCAGCATCCGCGTGTCCAGGGCGGTTTCGTCTGGGAGTGGGCGAACCACGGCCTGGAAACGCAGGCACCGGACGGGGAAACGTTTCACGCGTACGGCGGCGATTTTGGCGAGGCGGTGCATGATGGCACCTTTGTCATGGACGGGCTCTGCAACAGCGAGCACGAGCCGATGCCTGGACTGGTCGAGCTGAAAAAGGCCTATTCGGCAGTGTCGTTTGAGCTCGCTGGTAGAAGCCTTGCCATCGAAAACCGGCATGATTTCGTGGGCCTAGAGCTCTTTGAACTGACAGTCCATCTCCAAGAGCTTGGTCAGAGGTACGTCATAGAATCACCACAAGCTCTTACACGTTGCAGTAGTGACCACTACTAACCTGTCAACTGAATGTAGCACGAAATTGCTCGTCACCCATACCATTCCCTTCCCCCCCATCGCCGCTGGCACCACAGCAGCCGTACCACTCCCCAGCGCCCTGTTCGACCACGTTTCCGATTCCGAGCTGCTTCTGACGGCCAGCCTGACTCTATCCCAATCCACCGTCTGGGCCGACCGCGGACACGAAGTCGCCTTTTTCCAGCACGTCGTCTCGGCCGCCCAGCCGTACTTTGCGCGTGCCCTCGCCGCGCCGTGCCCCGCGCCACGCATCGACAAGTCGAGCCACTCGTGGACGATTACGACTTCCAAGTCGACGTTTGAGTTTAGCCGCGTGCGCGGGCTTCTGCGCAGCTGGCGCTCCAGCTCTGGCTCGCTGCTCGCCGAGGCCGCGCCGCACCAGGGCGCGCTGACACCGGGGTTTTGGCGCGCGCCGACGGACAATGACGTGCGCGCGGCGCTGCCTCACTGGCGGGCGTGTGGCGTGGACCGTATGGCAAGTCAGCTGCGCCACATGAGCCTGGAGACGGGAGACGGCGGCACCGGCGTCGTCACGCTCACGACGCAGACCTTTATCGGGCCCGTATCGCTCGGCTGGGGCTGGCCGGCCACCACGGTCTACCAGATGCCGCCGGACGGGTCCGCCATGTCCGTCTTCGTCTCGCTCGGGGCCCCCGTCGGCGCCGCCGCCCCGACGCACCTCCCGCGCACGGGTCTGGATCTGGCCGTGCCGCTGCGCCTCCAGCAGCGCGTGGACTGGTGCGGGCGCGGCCCGGGCGAGTCGTACCCGGACAAGAAGCTCGGCCAGCGCATCGGCGTGTGGAGCGTGGACGGCGTTGACCGGCTGCAGACGGCGTATGATGTGCCGCAGGAAAACGGCAATCGTACGGACACGCGGTGGGTGCGGCTGCGTGCTACGGACCAGCAGGCCGCGACGGCCCTCTGCGCGACGAGAATCAGCAGCGCGTTTCCATTTGGGGCTGGTGGAGGCGTCGCTGCCGCGCAGGACGACACGAGACTGCCAACGCCCGCCGAGCTCTTCAATTTTACTGCGACCAGACACACGGCGGAAATGCTGGAAAAGGCGGCGCATCCGTACGAGCTTACGGAAGAAGAGTACGTGTTGCTTCGATTAGATGCGGCCGTTACTGGTCTCGGCACCGCTGCTTGCGGACCTGGACCCCGAGAAGAGTTTCTGGTACGGCCTGGAAAGACCAGTTATGGGTTTGTCTTGGAGCTAGAACAGCCTTGAGCAGGATTGCAGTGCAATACGGGACTCGTTATGTCGATGAATGAATAAAATGATGAATCAGGGTTCGATGCGAAAGTGAAGCGGCCTTGCCCAGACGATGGCTCCAGTAATGTAATGCAAAAACATTGTCGTAGCTAAATGTGTAGATTGTGTAGATGTAAAGTACAACAGGTAATCAAAGGGTAGGCTGTTCCTGGTTGCGGTCTGAGGCATCTCCACTCCAAACCATCCATTCTCAAAAACCATGCCACTTGCACGCTCAACGTCCGTCCCTCACGGCACCGGCGCCGAACATCACCCACCATGCGCTCCTCTCCCTGGCGCATCTCTCTGCACCAAGCCGCCCGCCTCATGAGCGGCAGCCGCCTCGCGCTGAGCCGCCCTCCCCCGCGGCTCTTCCACCAGAGCGCGTCCGAGTGCCTCCCTCGCCAGCGCAGCTTCTTCACCTCGAACCCGTATCTCTCCCGCGACGACCCGTCCGCCGAGCCTGCCTCCCTGGCACCCCCGTCGTCGTCACCCGCAAAACGCAAGCCCGCGCGCGCCACCACCGCCGCCGCCGCCAAAACCTCGCTCCGGCGCGTCGCCCTCATCGCGCAGCACCCCGAGCACAACACCACCACCACCAGCGGCCAGCAACCCCCCGCCGCCGCCACCGACTACTCCACCGTCGTCAGCGCCGTCTGCCTCGCCGAGGGCTTCCACATGCCGACCGTGCTCTCCATCCTCTCCTCCGGCTTTGACATGGACCCCGACGGCACCGGCTTCGACGCGAGCGAGGTCGTGCACGCGCGCACCGGCGGCGGCGGCGACGTCTTCGTCTTTCCCTCGGGCACGCTCGTCACCTGGGCCGTCGCCCCCGGCCCCGCCGCCGACCTAGCGCAGCAGCTGCTGCCGGCCGCCGAGGACGTGCACCCGTTGGTGCTGCGCGAGGCCGAGGACCTCGACTTCACGCGCGACGCGGCGCGCGCAACGAGCGTGCTGCGCGGCGACGTCATCGTGCTCGGCAGCAGCAGCAGCAGCCGCCTCGGCACGACGCTCGCGCAGATTGCCTTCTCGTCGGGGCTGGCGCGCAGCACCAAGCTCGGCGTGCTGGAGACGGCGCTGGCGTCGTACTTTGAGAGCACCCGGGCCGTGCCGGCGCTGCTCGCCGCCGGCGGCCGCCGCCACGTGCCGCTCAGCCGGCGCTTCATCCTGCGCAAGACGGGCGAGCTGCTCGCCCTGCGCGCCCGCCTCAACCACTACTCGGAGCTCACCGACGCCCTCCCGGACCTGTTCTGGGACAGCCGCTCCGAGCTCGGGCTCGACGGCTACTACGAGCAGGTCGGCCGCGCGCTCGATGTTGGCGTCCGCATCCGCGCCCTCAACCAGAAGATGGACTATGCGCAGGAGATTGCGACGGTGCTGCGCGAGATGGCCAGTGAGCGGCACGGGACCAGGCTCGAGTGGATCATCATCGCCCTCATTGCTGTCGAGGTCGGCTTTGAGATGCGCCATATTGTGCGCGAGTGGACGCACGAGCATGGCTCCGGCGGCGTGACTGTATAATCAACATGTGCATATCTGGCGTTTGGATAGACTTGATGGATTTTATGATACCCTACGCAATTTACGACATGTTTCACTGCTTGATCTAAAAAGAAATCACTGCCATTCATACTCGTAAAGCTTCCAAAAAGGCCATGACGGGCAGCTCCATGCCTCACTCATGCAATACACACGAGACCACGAATACAAAGAAATCGCCAAAGGCATTCCATTAAACAAATATCCTCTCTCTGTCGACTGGCCCCATCAACTTGTATAACAACAAAACAAGACGAGAGAAATAACGCCATTCCAATCAGCCTAGAACAAAATAACAAGACTTTCATAAAGAAATCTGTTTCCCTTGGTTTCCCCCCCGAGGTTGTGAATACGCCTGAATTTTTAATTCCCTCCTAGTCCTTCTCCATTTCCTCTTCTTCTCTTCTTTGTATAAAGCACCATTGTAATAGTGTTGCCGAAAAAAAAGAAAGGCCCCCCTCCTCTCCCATCAAAATGCAAATAAGACGGTATCCATTTTTGTTACAAGAAACACGTTCCAGAGCCGCACCAGCTTTATTACTGCGGCGGCGCCTGAGCGGCGGTGCCAGGAATGGGAGGCACAGGCACGGGCGTCACCTTGTGCGGAGGCAGCACCGGGGTGCTGGCCCTCTGCCCAGTTGGTGTCTGTGGCTTCGACTGGTTGGCGATGCTCGCGCGGGCAGCCGTCAGGGCGGCGTTGGAGAAGCCTCCGGGCTGGCCGCCAGCGGCGACGCGCGCCTTGGCCTGCTCCAGGATGCGCTGCTGCTGCGCCTCGGAAATCACCGTGTGGTAACCCGTGAGGCCGGGCGACTGGCTGTACCCCGCCGGCTGGTTCGCGACGGGCGCGTACCGTACAGCTCCTTGACCGGCCGGGCCGGGTTGGGGGGTTGGGGTTGCGAACCGCTGCTGAGTCTGCATGTTAGGAGACTGGCTGTACATTTGCCTCTGCTGCTGCGCCTGAGGGTGCGGGCCGTGCTGTTGAGGTGTACCGTTTGTATACCCCGGATAATTAGCCTGTGGTACGACACCCTGCTGCTGCGGGGGCTGGTATTGCTGGTAGGTTGCCGTGTTGGGCAGGCCCGACTGCACCTGTGGTGTCTGGGCAAACTGCTGTCGTTGTTGGTTTGCGTATTGCGGCATGTTCTGGTGTCCGTATGGTGTCTGGGCTTTAGCCAGCTGCGTAGCGTATTGATTAGCCGCGTAACCGTTTGGCCGAGTGTACTGGTTAGGCTGCGTCGGACGAGGCTGCTGCGGTGTCGCATTACGCTGCGGCAGGAAGCCATGCTGGGAGCCTGGTCGATAATATTGCTGCGGCTGTGGTGTGCGGCCAGGTGTGCCATATTGCGCGGCGGCCGCGTACTGGGTTGCATATTGCCCTCCAGTGCTCGGGGTACGCTGCGGTGGCTGGCGAGCGCTCTGGACAACTTGTTGTTGCTGTTGCTGTTGTTGCTGGTGCTGTTGAGCTCGGAGGCGAGCTTGTACACCAGCTTCGTCCTCCTCCATGGTGCCGTGGTAGTCGTCAGTACGTACTTGTACTTTAGTGCTGATGAGAAGATCATCTAACTGATCTCCGTTTAACTTGGCAACAGCAAAGGGCGGTAGCGTTTTGATGATCAGTGCCAGTTGAGATTTGAGAACCTCGTACGTGAGCACCTCGTCCTCAGACGGCTCTGGGCCCGAGGTGGCCAGCATGTCGCCGGTGACGGGGTCGGTAGACTGTCTGTTCTGCGAGTTGGGCAAGGTAAGATTACGGATGCGCTGGTAGGATGCCAATGTCTCGATCAGATCCGAGACTTCTCCAAGAATATCGTCGGCATCCTCGTCTGCCTTGCTTTGGGTGCCCATCACCTCGTCTAATGAGGGGTCAACGGCTGTCTCGTCCCAGTGATCAATGGCATCCTGGATGGCAGCCTCGTCAATCTCATCAGCCGCAGATATGGATGTCGCTTCCTTATTTTGCTTGTCTCCGTAGTAGTCGGCATCCAGCATGCGTTCAAAAATTTGTTGGCCGGAGCGCTGCCACCAGATGCGGCCAGCGACGCTCGAGGGCACAACGGCGGCCGAGTCATCCTTGCAAGGCGCAAAGGTAGAAAAGGCGCCGCGGAAGAGTGACTCGACCTCTGACATTTCGAGTTCGCTCATCGATGGCTTCTTTCCGGCCAAGCTTTCGGCGCGTTCGCGCTGCTTCGGCACGGCTTGGTACGAGGGAATGGCGTTGCTGTAATCGAGATAGTATCCGGAGGACAGCTTCGTATTGAAGTAGCAATTGGTACGCGCATTTGTCGGCTCCGGGTGGTAAAAGTCTATCGCGGTCCCCTTTGCTTGTGACTTTGGTTGCTTGGGAGGGTTCAGAGGCGGCAAGGGGCGCTGGGATCCAAACAGCTCCCCGAGCGTCCGCGTTGGCACCTGCTGGTTGGATCTGGTAATGGTTGTGATGGACACACCCGGTGGCAGAGCCATGTCAGCCAAATCGATATCCTTGGAAGCGGGTAGACTGGAAAATAATCTCCGTTCTTGCGGCGCGAAGCCGACGATAGACAGAACCGATGAGCCCTCTTGGAAGGCGGTTTCCGGGTCCGCCTGAGGTTCCGCTTTGACCTGGGGATATGCTCTCTCCTGCGCGGCGTACTTGAGGGCCTTGCGTTTGAATTCCCTCAGACGCACAGCCTCCTTGGGGTTCTCCGATGGATCGACATCTTTCAAGGCCTCGTTGACGGCTACGGCGACGTCGGCGGCGACATCGTCGATGGTCTGGTAGGATTTGGCGGCAAACTTGTCGCTGATGGTGGAGCGCGTCGAAGGTTCGCTGGATTTTTGGCGCTTGATTTGAGGCTCTTCGTCTGTTTGAATTTCGGGTAGTACACGCGTCAGGATCGCCTTGTCGATATCGAGCCTGATTGCGGATGTGTTAGCTGCGATGCAAATGACAGTATATGACAAGCTGCGGTGCTAGAGGAAAGATCATGCCCAGACGATGGCAAGTGTCGCGTTGGGAAAAGAAATGGCACGTACCTAGTCAGAACCTGAAGGTAATACTTGAGTAGTTCTTCTGAATTTTTCCCCTCCCAGTCGTCGGATGCAGTCGTCGTCTCCTGCTGTTGGGCGGGCGCCTCGCCGCCGTCGTCGTCGCGTTTCCGCTTGCCAGGGACAGACAGCTGCGAGTGGTCGCTGGGGGGGTCGGGCGATGCCGACGACGCGCCGTTGGCAGGCGCGAGCGGCACGGGCGAGGGCTGCGCCATGATTGTAGTGTCGATCTGTCACGTCTCTCGCGATGGGCGAATGCAGCCGCGGGGTGGTGGTGGCGGCTCTCGAGTGCTGGTTTGTCGCGATACGCGGTTTTCCGGTAGGGGAACAAGAGGGAAAAGAAAGTGGATTGGGGGTGCAACGCCAAACCTTTTTTATCAAGAGCGCGCGCGTTCGGCGGGCGAGATTCAATTCGCAAAGCAGCCCGAAAAAAAAGAAAAGGGCCCGGTGCATTCGATGGGACCGGGAATTCAATGAATTTAATCAAAGGGATTGGGAAGGGCAATGGAAAAAACGCAAGTTGCCAGGTTGCGTCGGCTCTCGATGGGGGAAAGACTGCTAACTAGGTAGGTGTCGGTAGAGGCCAAGCCAGCCAACCAGCCCGTCTGCCGCTTTGCGCTGCCTGAAAGGCTAAAATTACCCCCACGTGACTTGCTGCTGTTCCCTTGCGCCCGCAGCGTTGCACCATCTGCAGCCTGGAGATACGGGTGTTCCAAGGAATTGTCTGAGCGGTTTTTTGTCTTGTTGTTTTTTTCCTCTTCTCTGTCGAGATCATGACCATCGTTGGGGCTACGCTAGCTTGTAGCTCTCACAAATTTGAGCCATCTCGCAGCCGTTAGCTCTTAAATGGCAACACAAAGCCGCATAAATCACCTAGAGGCTAGCTCCCCGGTTGCCTCCAGCATGTTACAGGTCCAGCTCCACTGTTGCTGTTGTACTTATTATTTATTATCACTACCTACACGAACGAATGCGTCACTGCTGTACTACTCATTCATGACACATCATAAGGTGAAGCGGACTGTATTTGAAGGTACCTCGTATGGTGTACATAAAAGACTGTAAACAAACTGAGCAGTCGGACGCTATAGTCTCCTCCCTCTAAGCGTTCATTACCCGACCAAATGGTCTGCCATCCCACTATACCCGTCACTCAAGCCATGCTCAAGCATCTACTTAGCCCTGGCAAGACCAACGGCGTTCTTGTTGAGGTCATAGACGCTGTAGTAGCGGCGGAGGAAAGCATCGCCAAGGATGGCCAGAGGACCAGCTGGCGGGGGCATATCCAGAGGAGTAAAGGTAGAAACACAGCTACCACCAAGCTCCAGAATGTAGTCGGTAGCGGGCAGGGTGTAGTTAGAGCCGGCAAGGGTAAAGGTGATGTCGGGAAGCTTGTCGCGTGCGGCGCAGTCAATTGTGTACTGGCCGCCGAAGCCCTTCTTGGCACCAATCTCCTTGTTGAGAAGCTCAGCAAGGTCGCTAGGAAGAGTGTTGAGCGACGTGCCAGTGTCCAGGATGACACCGGTGTTCTCGAGCTCAGCAACCTCTTTGCCAAACGCAATGGCGTCAAAGTCGACCTCCCAGTAAGCCTTGCGGCGAAGGGGAAGGTACTCAATCTTGCCCTCGTAGTGGTTCTTGTCCACGCCGCCGAAGACGGCCTCGCTCCCCTCCTCTTCAGATCCAAGGTAGAAGGCAAAGACAGGCTCGTCAAGAAGCTTTTGCTTGATCATCTGATAGAAAGGGGGGACCATATGGTTTACGGAGATTGTATCGTAGCCAAGACCCAGAATACCATCGAAGCGGCCAAACGCAAAGGCCAAGCCAGGTTCGTTGGTGGCCTCAGCAAAGTCGGTGTTCTTGATGGTGAGGTCACCAATGCGGACAACGTCATTGGAGACGTAGCCAGTCAGACTGCCAGAGCCGTAGTGGATCTCAAAATCGGAGCCGTTCTTCTTGTACGTGGAAGAGGACGACGAGTCATATGTAGAGTGAAGGAAGCAAGCAATGCTGCTGCACGACTGGGAGGGAACCCAGAGGTTGGAGGAACCAGTGTCCAGGACAACCTTGAAGGTTTGAGGCGGAGTGCCAATGGTGATCTCGGAGAAGTCTAGGAGCTGTTAGAATCGTTCCGAGCTGGTGCAGCTTTCATGACCACTTACACTGAGCGTTGGCAAAGTTGGATACGGGCACGAGATGGCCGTTCTTGGACTCGGCAACCTTGGCGTTGAAGATGATGTCGGCACGGCTGGCAGGGCGGGCACCAAGGTACTTTTGGCCCAGCTGCTGAGCCTGAGCCTCGAAAGAAGCACCGACCTGCGAGCAAAAAAAGTCAGCATTTTCTATCCGCGACGCATAATTCTCATCAATAGCGGCAGGAGAGGGGGCCAACGCACCAACTGCTCAGCGAGCGGAATCTTTTGGAGCTTCATCTTGTGAATTCCGGCGTGGGCGGATCCGGCGAGGACGGCCGCGGCGATCAGGGCGCTCTTCATGATGGGCAAGCGGATGATCGGGGGACGTAGAGGGGCGATTCGGCGACTTGTTTACAGTGTGAATAATTCTCGATGCAACGACCGAGAATGACGATGGAAAGAGGATGTTTTTGGAGGAGGAGGTTGACAGCTGCCTTGTTGTTGTAGGAGGATGGAGGAGCATGACGCAGCTGGGGGATTGGGTGGGCCCGGTGTCGTTATCGATGGCAGGCTGGTTGCGTCTCGTGCCCAAAGTGCTGAGGACGGGTCGGAGCTTGCGTGCGCCACCAGAGCTGCCTACAGCGATGAGCCAACCACTCAAGCTACAATAATTTGGGTGCTTTGCCTACGACGTTCGAAAGTATTACCGCTCCAGCTGGCCTGTTCAAGCGATTCAAGAACAATCTGGAGACGCACGGAACAGAGCAGCAGCCGAGACCAAAGTGCCGCATTATTGCTCAGCCGACCACAATGCAGCAAAAACACAATTCGCCGCCGTCTTCCGAGGTACTTTTGCCACCGCCCAAGCTTGGTGGCTGGCAAGGTACCTAACCTGTAGTAAGCTCCTCAGCCCCCAGCCTGCCGTGGCGGCTTTCCCCTCACGCCTGCGACCTGCATATCCGGGTAACTACCATGCCCAGGCACCGTCCAACAAGGTGGTGTGCTCGTAATGACCACCAGTTGTGAGGCCGCCAGAGCGTTGCCAACAAATTAATAGGCTCTATCTCAATCGGGCGCCATCGCAAATGCGCCTGGTAACGTGCTAGTTATTCCGAGCCGGCCGAGGAAAATCATCAATCGCGCAATGGTCGCAAAGGCCTCCGGCGCTGAAACCGGGGCTGTTGCGGGAGCGTTCCAAGACAACACACAGCGATTTCTCGTAGCAGCCATGTAGCCTATCAACCTCAGCCAGCTTGATTGCGGGCGCGTCAAGAACTGGCCCGAAAGGCTTGGTTAAGGTACTCTGGCGCCCAGAGAGGAAGTTGGGGGATTAATGGACTTGACGACTTGAATAATCATTGTTGGCGCTGATAGTTTCGCCTGACAATCGCAGGATGGGCGCAAACAAGAGGGCCTCTCGGGCCGTTGCGCTACAATCCAATTTCGTTGTTGTACGGAGTAATACATGTTTGATTCGGTCCCTCCGCAGACGCGCACGAATGAGCGCTGCTCAGGAGGCCATGAGTAACTACAGTATCAGTAGACCATCGATGCAACCTGGTTCGAATTCATCCCTTCAGAGCAACGAGGCAGAGGCACGGCCTAGAGATGGAGCGCATGGCAGGTAGCAAACAAGTTATTATCAGCATTACGCGGATGTCAGTCTCAACAAATGAGCAATTGCCGCGTTTCCAAGCACGTCAATCGGTCCAAGGAACTCGGCCAGTAGACCAAGTCCGACATAATTGGGCCATCCAATGCGGCGCACTTTCAACATTCAAAGTTCGAATACCGGACGAGCCGAAACAGCAGCATTATTAGTTGGCAGGAAACCACCAACGAAGAAAGTAGGGTTGGTTGCGCAATCATTCCCATACCGGTCCGGCGAGTGAGTGAATAGTTAGAGGATCAAGCCTTGTCAGACACGGCCTGCTGAGTAGACTTTGACTCAGTTATCGAGATGACGGGGAATTGAGTCCGGAATAATAAGGCCAAGGCGTGTTCCAGTCGATTCCGACCGCTGAGCAGTCATCGTTACTCCTTTCTTTTTCCTGGCTGGCTGTCCATACTGAGATGCGGCTCGGCGTTGGATCTCTGAGACACTCGGCGACCACTGGGGTGGCTGGTAAATATATAGAGTTTGCAGTCAATAGTATGCCATGTACAATTACACTATGGATATGTTTATCATGCCGGACAACTATTGCAAGGCTCCTCTCGGTCGCTCGTATTCACTCTGCCAAGGGACAAAGAAGGTACTCTTTGTCGTGATCCACCCACCCAGACGCATGGTTACCTTATTATTAGAGAGGGTCTTTTGTTTACTCGGTAGCGATATCAGTCAAGGACCTTGCAAGGCTAAATCGTCCACATGATAAGTGAGCCTTGCGGTAAATGAAGTCCCGTCAAAACGTGAAGCATCGGCATCGGCGGGTTGGAATTACTGGTATAGCGGCAGATCTCTCGTTGGTGAACTACATAGATACAGGTGGCGGACAGTTGAGTTCGTGGTGACGCTTCCTAACGAAGCGAGAACAATTGTCTCAGGCTTTTGCAACATTGGCGCAGATGAAGGCACTTTCGTGCCAGGGGATGGCTGCATCCACGCACAGTTGAAGTAAACGATGCACTGTGCGCGAACTGGCGGTGTCACTTTATGCCGGATGAATGCAGGTTACAGTGGGTTGCATAAAAGGCTGTCGATCCTATGCACATCCGTACACACAAAAAGGCTTCATAAGCTGGCGCACATTCCCACGCACGCAGGTGGCAATGCGCAGTGCGCAATATCGGGGCCCGATCCTGGCGGGCGAACAAGCTTTTGTGCCTGAATCCTGAATGATTAGTCTGCACTCCGTAGCGGGAGTGCAAATAGTGCGTTTCAGAAAGCGCAGGAGGTTGATGAGGAGGTGTTGTCGAGTCCCCTTTCTTTTCACCGAGACTTTTTAGTTACGTGTATTTGTACTTTACTGCAATAACTGTTGAAGAGGCCTTGTCAGCACATTGCGGATGCACGTTGGCAGGCCGCAGGTTCATTAACTATGAATTTCAAATTTATTGCAAGTCGGTTCGCAATAGTTACTGTACGTGTTTGGTGGTACTCGAGGTGAACGAATGGACAGGTAACCGGATGTACCAATACAAAGCATTCATCAGCAGGATGACCTTTTGTTACGCGCTGGGTGTCACCGTGTGACACAGTGTGACAGTGCGAGGCATGTCGATCTCCGACGCGCAGACACATGTGTCCAGTGGACCAGGCTCTCGAGCAAGATGCATATTCCAGTGCCCAGCGCTGGAACCCGGGCGCCACCGTATGATATTTTGCATCGGTGGGTGGCTGTGCGGGATAGTTTGTATGTCCAGTAGTTACAATCAGGGACGGCCAAGAAGATGGTCGGTTTTTGTTACGGGGTAAAAGTGCTGAGCGTGTATTATTAGCAAACAAAGCCAGTGGGCGAAGCGTTGGCATTTTAATTGCGGTGGAGCCGTGGCGGTGATTTGAGATGAGTAGCGAACAGCCTGGAAGTAACTATTGATAGCTTCAATCAGGCACTCGCTGTATTAGGTTGTGTTGATCACGCACCGTCGCAAGGTAGTAACAGAGTGATTTGTCGGCACTGCGTTTGCGACAGCGAGCTCGAGATAGAATCATCGGCACTATACTCCGTAGTCCGTACGGATACTCAAGATACTATTACATCACGTTTGTAACTGTTTGTACGGTGTTATTAGTACTCAGTTCGTAACTTATTAGGGACATGGCACAGGGCTGTGCCGGGAGTTGAGTGCGCACTGTGTAAACCCTGCGCATCGAATAAAGTACGAGGCCCATATCCACCGTCAGCCAGCATCCCTTGTGTTCCGCGGACACCCACAGGGTCGAAAACAAAAGCAACAATGGGATTCGACATTGAGGAACTCTTCGAAACGCGGTGCTAGAATGTAGATGTTGTATTAGGTATTAGTGAATAAAAGCTTGTAACTTATCGAGTACTCCGTACCTCCTGTCTGCCTGCCAGGTAACGTGGTGGCCAATAGGCGCGTAGCATTCCAAGAGGCGGCGACAGACAGCGTGATTGCCCCAAGCCCACTGCGCCGTGCCTTGGACCGCTCGCCCAGCGGGACGGGAATCACAGGCACGTCAAGGTACCTGGCTTCTTGCTGAAGCCTGTTTGATGTTCTGGACCTGTCGCTGTATCCAGTTTTTGGTGCGCCGGTGTTGCTGGCCTGCAGTAGCGTCCATCTGTCTTGATGGATGACGGCTAGTTACCTGGTGGTAGGTAACCATTATTACCACCTTACTTGACCAGAGCGCAGAGCGAGTCCAGGGGCACAGTACATCTCACACTGTCCAAGCTCAGCAAGTTTTTAGTGTGCAAATCTGCTGTGCCCCTGGCCTTTGCTCAGCTCAGTGTACCAGCTGGTACCTGACCTTGGTACCTCGTGCTAGTACCGCCCCTCGAAAAAATCCCTGCTGCCTCCGCCTCCGCCCACCCCCCCCCATTGCCCATCGCTCGCTCACCTTCTCCCCTTTCAACAAAACAACCGAACGCCCTCAAGTCACTCATTCTGCGTTCCAGCGCTCATCGTCCCCGTTGTCTTTGTCGCTCACTTCCTTCCTTTGATCCATCACCCTTTGTTCAGCCGGATCATTCCTCTCTTCTTCTATCTAACTTCTTTTTCTTCTCTTCTTTCCCAGTCGTCGCCTTGGACCATTCTTGTCCCTTTTTTGACATTCGATTCGACGTTGTCGGCCCCTGGAATTTTTTGCAACGGTCGGCCCTTCGTCCCAAAAGCAACGGTAAAAGCAGGAGGCTTTTTCTGCAAGCACCAAACGTCTCGCACACATCCCGAGACACACAAAGAAGTAGCCGCCACTTCAACACGACTTGGCTCTCCCACATCCTGTGCCTCGCCATACGCCGCGAGAAATCAAATCGAACCGAACCGCGCCTTGAACGAGCGCGAACCCAACTCAGGCCGAGCCCAAGCGCGACGCCTTACTGCTTCTTCGCATATTTGCGCTGAGCGGCCACGATTCCTCGCTCTATTCGCTCCTTGACACTCAACGACAAGATGAGGTCTGCCATCACCCTTGCCCTACCCGCCATGGCTGCTCTCGGTGCCACCGCCAACACCCACGCCAACCTGCACCATGTTCGCGCTCCCATGCCCATTGAGACTGGTATGCCCCGTACTGGCACGCCCACGCTTAATGGCTGCTACTCAAGCTTTGGTAACATGACCAAGATTGAGATTGATACCAAATACCTCTCCAACGGCTCGTGCGGCAAGGCTTGCACAGACAGCAAGAATACCGTTGCCGCCGTCGCGGCTCAGGCTTGCTACTGCGGCACCGTGTACCCACCAAAGAAGGACGTTATCGATGCGTCAAAGTGTGATTACGGTTGCAATGGCTTCGGTGAGGAAATGTGCGGCAGTATCTCAGGCGCCTATTCGGTTCTCAACCTAGGTGTTGTCCTCGCTCCTGGATACTACAGTGATGCCTCTTCTTCTTCTTCTTCTTCCCCGTCTCCGACACCCACTTCGGGCAGCTCTTCGGCAGCATCGACGTCCACCGGTGCCGCAACGGGCTCGCCGGACTCGTCGACTGGGAAACCCGAAAAATCTGGCGGCGGTCCCAACACCGCTGCTATCGCTGCCGGTGTCGTTGTTGGTGTTGTGGTCGCTGCGGCTATCATCGGAGCCATTATCTTCTTCATTCGCCGAAAGCGCAACGCTGAGATTGAGGAAGAGCACCGCCGCAATGCTGCTGTCAATGCCTTCATCAGCGGATCCAAGCCTCCCAGCACGGCTGGCGGCATCTCCATCACGGACTCGCGCCTGGACCCTGTCATGGCTCATCGTCGCCTGAGTGACGGCAGCATTGCCGATAACCAGGATTACTCTCGCAAGATTCTCCGGGTGCGTTGTATTCAGTCGCATGTGCCAAATACGTTGCTAATATTTTAGTAGGTTACCAACGCATAAGCTCAACCTTGTAACGTCCCCACGAGCAGACGTCTCCGATTTAATACTGCAACTTAACTTATTTTCCATCTTGTCACTGGCATTCACGGCGTTTTCAGGTTTGCTGCTTATGGCCATTGGTGGATCCAGTGGTCGATGAACAGGCGGCGTTTCGTCACTCCTTACAGTTTTTGCTTATTTTTTGTACTCTTTTTAACCTCATCACAATGATGAGGTGGGGGTGGGCTTGTACCATTGCAAATTGGTATAGTGTCGAATTGAGGTCGGCACGTTGGGATATAGAAAAAGCCAGCAGTGTGAGCATGTCATCGCATCCGCGATACGATACCTTGGTACATCTTCTCTTTGTTCTTCGCCATGGTCTGATCTTGGTCTGCTTTTCTGACTTTTTCTTGTTTCCTGGCATGTGGCACTGGGGAACTTGTGGGAACGTATCTAGCAACTACGCGACAGAAATCAAAGACGATTATAACGCAGTATACCTACCCTGGTGACCGCCTATCTTATCATCTAAACCTAGCCAAGATATTCCATGGTGAAGCTAGTATCGAGCGGCGGCAAAGCCAGACTCGCTTATGGCGCGGCGCGTCCACTTTACGCGTCCAATTTATTATCATTTAGGAAAGTTATCAGTCCCGTGGCTTGGCCCGGTGTTTAGATATGTTTTTCGCCCCTAGTACATTTGGCTGTGCTTCTTCCAATCGAGGCATCACTTTGACCAGAAAACTTGCACCATGAAGCCTGCCTCAACCACCCTTATGCTCACCACGGCAGTCCTCGGCCACTGTAACGACCATAACAGCACTACGAATACCAGGTATATATCCTCTGTACAGCCGATTATCAGCACTGCGACTGCATGTACTGCTGGCACGTCTATCGACCACTAATATACCACTTGCCGCCAGTTGCACCTCTACCAACACTGGAACATCACCAGCCAACGCATCCTCGCCAGCCTCGGTAGTTCTCGCCAGTCACTCTTTCGAGCCGTCTCCCTACGGTAACAGTGCTAGTGCGCACATTCATGCCGGTCCTACTAACTCTGCTTCCACTAACACTGGTCCAGCACCTACGCTCTCCTACACACTGACCAGCAAGACGACTCTCCTCAACACAGCCGCCGCCACTGAAGCCTCCTCGGCCATCCCAGCGAGCACGCCCGACGGGACCGCCTCTCACCCCGCACCAGTCGGTAATAGATTTCATGGGGTGATTCAGGATGAGCTCGCCGGCGAGATCGCCGAGGACGAGAACGGCGACCCGCTCCCCATCCGCTTCGGGCTCGAGGGGTTGGTCACGCTCATGGCCAACGTGCCCTATGCGACGTGGCTGTGGCCGCGGCTCCCCTTGTCCCTCCGCCCGCCCGTGACGGCCCCCGTGTCCGAGTTCAGAGACACCGAGTGCACCGAAAACACGATTAGTGAGTACGAGGAGCGCCGCGCCTCGAAGAACCTGCATTGGTTCTGCAACCGCTGGCAGATTGACCGGAAGCGGCTCTACGCGTCCACGGCGGGCGAGACGACGCTGTACATGTGCGCGTACGGGGCCCTGAGCAACTGCAGCCTGGACATGTACAAGGCGGTCAGCGCGCACCTCGATCAGCGCTGCGGCGCGGGCGCTACGGGCTGGGTGCACCTCCGCAAGATGCGCATCGGACGCGAGCGGACGGCCGAACGGATCGTGATCTGCCCAGACCTCACGTGGTCACCGCTCATGCATTATACCATGGACCAGCGTGAGAGGACGGTGGGCGGCCGCCCGTGGAAGGAGTGGCGCGTGGAGTATAATATGGCGCGGGCGAAGGAGGACGGCAGGGTGAAGGGCCTCGAGGAGCAGGGGAATAACGAGGAGCCCTACTAATGCTGATCTATTCTTCGTGGTTTTGGCGCTGCCACGCGCTCCCGGGGGACCAAGGACAGGACATCCCAGACCACACAACGCCGACAGATTAACCGGCTCCAAATTCGAGAGAAAAAATACGTGCGGGTAGCTGGGCACCTCTAGATACACAATTGGGGTAGCCGTTTGTATGGAAGTGGATATAGAGTGTCCCGTACAGGATTATCATCAGTCGCATAACTAACAAGCCATTTTCAGTATGGTTAACTCAAACATGTAGTTACAACCTCAACAAAATGAAGAAGCGTATAGAAAAGGCAATAAAATGAACAGGACCAATGCATACAGAAACCGAAGCAGAAAATAGGGAAGAAAATGCAATAGCGAAATTGATACAGGGTAAGTCAGACAGACAATCACGTGACGAAACCGCGAGAAGCTCGTCGCCGTAACGCGTTCAAACAAAAGCTGTGCTACGCTTTTGCGACAGCTAACTATCTCAACAAGCCGAGCTGCGTACACAAATCTCGTCTAAACATAATATTCGCGCCCACCGGCACATATCTCATCCCATTAAAGCGATACGAATCTGGCAACAAATTTCACAGAGCAGGACAAAACAACGACTTTCTGTGCTGGGTCTGCGCCCAAGCAGATTGCCTTCATAATGACCTCTTCAACTTCTCCCCGAGTACGACAGACCACACAAAACACACTTCTCACGTAAGGATGCACATTCTCTGCGACACTGCCAGCTTATCCCCGTGAAACCCCAACACAAATCGCTCACAAATACTAGATACAACCTCTCCCGACGCATACACGATGTCCAAACATACCCGATCCAGTCGCCTCAAGGAGCGACCATCCTGCTGTACGGCCACGAGACGGGCGTGACCATCGTGTGGCGTGGTGGACGCCGCTTCAAGCCCTCGAAGAAGCCGGAGCCCGCGAAGCAGCACCAAAACGGCAGCGGCTCCGGCGCCGACGCCGGCATCATGGTGATTGACTCGGACGACGACGACAACCAGCCTGCCGCCAAGAAGACGTTTGTGGACAAGCCCGAGTTTGAAGCCGCCGCGGCGACCGAAGATGGGTCGTACCCGCCCATCACCCAGACTCTCGACCTCACGCTCGGCACGGCGGTGCTGCACGTGGCGGTGCTGCCCAACAGCCCCAACACGGCGGAGGGCACGGCGACCGGCGCCGCGCTACTCAGCGAGCGGCTTGTCTTTGCCGTGTCGTGCGCAAGCAACGACGCCTACGTGATCGCGCTGCCGAGCACGCCGCCTTCGGCAGAGAGCAAGGCGCGGCCCGAGCTGCGCGTCGACTTGCTGGCCGGGCAGGCGGGCTCCGGCGCGTGGGGTGAGACACTGATCGCGCTGGGCGGCCAGACAAGACCGAGCGACGGCATTGCAGTGGCGCTCGCGAAGACGGCTGCCTCAGCACGGCCCCGTCTCATAGTCGCGGCGCACGCCAAGCAAGCGTCGGGCGTCCTGCAGCTCTGGGACGTTGCGCTGGAGGCGAAGCCAAACCGGCCGCTGGAGCCGTTTCAAACCGAATACCTGCCCAGTCCGCTGAAGAGAATCTCCTTCAACCCTACGCACGGCACGCAGCTCCTGACCGTGTCCGCCACCGACGCTACTCGAATCTACGATTACGCTGCTTCCTCGATGCCCAACGACCCCGAGGCCACGGGCCCCTTCCCCAGCCAGGGCTCGTGGCTGCTCTCCCTATACCAGCCCTTTGCTAAACCCTCGTCGGCGAGGAAGGCGATCCTCGACGCGGCCTGGATAGCAAGAGGCCAAGCCGTCTTCGTGCTGCTTGCCGACGGCATGTGGGGAATCTGGGACATTGACGGCGTGAGCCCCGTATCGACCAGCGCGACCATGTCGAAGAGGCTCAAGTCGGGTGTGCGCGGTGCGGCGCTGACCGCCTTCAGCATATCCGGCTACGTCGAAGGCACAGGCTCTCTGCGCACAATGGCCAACCAGCAGAAAGAGACGCAGCACGGCGAGTTTGCGCCGATGACGCCGCATACCCGCAAGCAGGCGACTGCTTCGCTGACATCTGCCAACACGCTGGACAGACTGGCGAGCGTGCACGGCGGCGTGCGAACGGCCGTGGTTTCGTCAGTGAAAAAGTCAGCGCAAGAGGAGGCATTGGTACTGTGGGTCGGTAGTCTGGAGCACGTCTGCGTGGTGCCTGCCATCACCCGGTTTTGGGAAGCACAGCTGAACAAGGCATCTGCTGCTGGCGTGAGCCTGTTTAGCGGCAGCCTGCCCTCGAGAATGGTCAAACTTGCCGATCTAGCTACTGGCTTGCTTGGCGAGCCGTGCTGTGGCGTCGACCTCATCCCCACAAGGAGTTCCGGTTCGGTCGCAGATGGTGGCATGCCTGTGGAGGTGGTGATCCGCGGCGAGACCCGACTCGTTATTGCCCGCGACGGCGACGAGAGTGGGAACAAGAAGCTGGCGCTGTACCGCCCCAGACGCCTCTTCTCCAAGGAGCGTCCCAACGCCATCATCGTGCACGGCGAAAACAACAAGGCCCTGCCGAAGCTGTCTTTCAACCTGAGCACAGCCAAGGTTGGGTCGCTACGTCGCAAGTCGACACCCGTCGATTCGGACCACGACATGGACGAGGGGTCGTTTACCGGCGGCCCACGACCGCGCGTTGGATTCGACTTTGCCAACACGCTCAGCGCTGCGGCGGACGAATCGGCGGATATTTCACGCGACGTCGAGACCGAGATGCTGGGCATTATGGAAATTGACCAAGCGCTGGATTCCATGAACGGGACACCCGTGAATCATGGCCGAAAGAGGGTTTTCTTTGATGCGTAATGGGAAGGCAACAAAACTAACGAATCTCGAGGAAGCGGACGTGTGGGGTGTGCGAAGAATGAAAAATACATGAAATTTTCCAGGTGGTTTAGTCAAAAGGACAATTGTACGATACCCTCATTTTCTCATAACCTTTGTATAAAGAGCACAGATGAGACGCGGGCGGGTTGACGTCGATGTGAATGCTTGCTTGCATGTTACTGTGAAATGTTCTCTTTCCGCACGGCAAGGTGGAGCACAAGGCGAGATCAATCCTTGACGACTCTGTAATCCGAGCGGTATATCAAATCCCTTTTCCAATCACCAGAGAACGGGGCTTTCTACGCGGCGGAGACGAGGCCGCGGAAATGTAGAAGCTCGTTATATATGCCACCAGCCTGACATGGCAGCTCAACTTGCAGTCAACAGCTAGGAAGCCGTCTTGGACTGGCGGAGCTTTGGCCTTGCAGGGCCTCTCTTTTCATGTTGGCTTTGGCGATACTCTGGTGATACATCTTCCTCCTAGTTGCAGTGTAGTATGAAATAAAAATAATCTCAAACCTTTTATAGCATTGTGCTTGATGCGAGTTGCTCTCGAAGTGGCCATTGATGAGGGTTCGCGAGAAAAGTGGAACCACTTAAAGCGGCTCCCCACGACACGCGCCGCACGCGTTGCAACCTCTCGTTTGCAGAGCGAAGCCTCGTCGTTTTCTGTGCCCGTTCTTGATTGGCACGCTCTTTTTCTTTTGACAACAAACCGAATTCGCCTTCTACACATATAATCGGAGGACCCCAGACCCCGGCTGTCATCATGGGTATCAAACAGCTTTTCTCCATCATCAAGGAGGAAGCTCCCGAGGCTATCAAGGAAGGCGAGATTAAGCAGCATTTCGGCCGCAAAGTCGCCATTGTACGTTCTCCTCACCTCTGATACCTCCCAAGCATGCCCGCCCGAAGCTAATAGTAACTCTTATTTCTCAGGATGCGTCGATGAGCATCTACAGCTTCCTCATCGCAGTACGCTCCGACGGCCAGCAGCTCACGAACGACACGGGCGAGACGACATCGCACTTGATGGGCATGTTTTACCGGACGCTACGCATGGTGGACAATGGCATCAAGCCGCTCTACGTGTTTGACGGGGCGCCGCCCAAGCTCAAGTCGGGCGAGCTGGCCAAGCGCTTCCAGCGCAAGCAGACGGCGCTGGAGGGGCTTGAGGAGGCCAAGGAGACGGGCACGGCCGAGGATGTTGAGAAGTTTTCACGCCGCACGGTCCGAGTTACGCGCGAGCACAATGCCGAGTGCCAGCGGCTGCTCGCGCTGATGGGCATACCGTTCATCGTGGCGCCGACCGAGGCCGAGGCGCAATGCGCGGTGCTTGCCAAGGCCGGCAAGGTGTTTGCGGCGGCTAGCGAGGACATGGACACGCTGTGCTTTGACTCGCCGATTCTGCTGCGGCACCTGACGTTTAGCGAGCAGCGCAAGGAGCCGATCCAGGAGATTCATCTGGACAAGGTTCTTGAGGGCCTGAACATGGAGCGGAAGCAGGTAAGTTTCGTGATGCTGGAAAATCTCGACGAACGTTTCTGGTCACTAACATGCGGCACCAGTTCGTCGATCTCTGTATCCTCCTCGGCTGCGATTACCTCGACCCAATCCCCAAAGTCGGCCCCACGACCGCTCTTAAACTCATACGCGAATACGGCACCCTCGAGAAGGTGGTCGAGGCCATGCAGAATGACTCGAAGAAGAAGTACATCATCCCCGAGGACTGGCCGTACGAGGACGCGCGCGATCTCTTCTTCTCGCCCGACGTGCGGCCGGCCGACGACCCGCTGTGCGATGTCAAGTGGGACAAGCCCGACATGGACGGGCTGGTGAAGTTCCTGGTGGGCGAAAAGGGCTTCTCCGAGGACCGGGTGCGCAGCGGCGGGGCGCGCCTAGAGAAGAACCTCAAGAGCTCGCAGCAGGCGCGCCTAGAGGGCTTCTTCAAGGTGGTGCCCAAGACGGAGGCGGAAAAGGCGGCGCACAAGCGCAAGCTGGACGAGAAGAATGAGGAGAAGAAGAAGAAGCTCAAGCAGGAGAAGAAGGACAAGGCGGCCTCCAAGGGCAAGCCAAGAGGAGCGTGATGAAGGGAGGAGCGGAAACAATGTAGTCAATGATTGCTTATATGGAATTTTTGGGATCTTGCAGTTTGGAGAATATGGCGCAAAACGGATTCGGATCAGAAAGATGGTCGAGGGTACGTCTGCATACAATTAATGGCACGAATGGTTGTTCGGTAAATGAGCACTTGGTTGTACTTGCATGACCACTTGGTTGTACTTGCATGACCACTTGGGTTTTAGTTTGTGACATGGGTATTGAGTTGTCGCACGTATGATAGTAACCGGAGAATTCGCCAGCACCTTTGGTACGAAGCCCACTGCCCGTGAAGCTGTGGCGTGGGATATGGAAAAAAAAAAAAAAGGAAAAAAAAGAAGGAATGTTCGAAAATAAATAAAGAGACACCGCATTGAAAGCATCGCCAGCAACCGGTTGGCTTGCAGTCTTGCCCTTCCTTCGGCCCAGGCACACAACACCATATGGTAGGCGGGCCGGTGCCGGTTGTTAGTGCATGCCCCGGGGTTTTCGGGAGAGGGTTCCCGGACATGGTTTCCCAAAAAGGTCGTCAAGTCGGTCATCTGGCTCGCTGTCATTTCCGGTAGAGTTGCTATCTGCAGTGCATATTGTAGTGTCTGACCAACGCAACTACATGTGCACCCACCGTTGACCATGGCGCTGTCCCGCAGCCTCGGCATCTGCCATGTCGTGCCCCAGAAATCCACTCACTACAGTGACACCATCTTGACTCGCCCGGCCGCACCCACCCAAATACCGAAGCGGAGCGCTAAATACGGGTGGGCTGGGTGTTCTTTTTTTTTTTTTTCACATGCCAGAGAGACGTGCCAGCAGAGCCCCAAGGCTGCTTCCGGGGACCCCGGCCGCGATAGGTCAGGCGCTGGACCACTCACAGCGGCCGTGTTACGACGTGCTTACAGAGGAGGAATGGGCGTTTCGACCGAGTCTGCGCCAGCTGTGAGGCCTCGCTCAACGCTGCCAAACTCGACGTGATTTGGGGTCAATGTTGCTGAAAAAGACTCTCCAGGCGCCTCTTTTGTTCTCCCAAACTGCAACTCGCAAGAACATGTCGGCCTTTTCCGGCGCCAGTTTAAAACGATGGTCTGCTGGGCACACTAAAGTTACTGACTGGCACACGCTTACCAGCTGGTTCCGTCATAGTCGCATGTGATTGACACGGGCGGCCGGCGAAAGCAAACCTCCCCAAGCCGAGTTTCTGACTATTTCACTCTCCAAGCTGACCCCGATGTCCCATAATACATACCCCATGTTTCCCCAAATCAGAGCCTCTGCATTGTTCTTTCATAAGCCACCCTTTCTCCCCCCCCCATCATTCTACAAAACCTTGCTGGTCCCCTTCATCCATCCATCTTCACTTCTTTCCTCTTTGTTCTCCAACACATCTTCCTTTTGATACCCCCTTCAAACACAGACACCATGTCCAAGACATTTACCGTCAGCGACGTCGCCACGCACAACAAGGCCGACAGCCTATACATCATTGTCGACGGCGACGTCTACGATGTGACCAAGTTCCAGGACGACCACCCCGGCGGCAAGAAGATTCTGCAGCGTGTCGGCGGCAAGGACGCCTCGAAGCAGTTCTGGAAGTACCACAACGAGGGCATCCTGAAAAAGTGGCACGCCCGCCTGCACGTCGGCTCCCTCGACAGCAAGCCCAAGCCCAAGCCCGCACCGGAGCCCGTGCCGGAGCCGTCCCCCAAGACCGTCGCCGCCACCCAAAAGGAGGTCTCGCGCGCGAGCTCCGACGAGGAGAGCGCCGACGCCCTCGAGCCCTTTGGCGAGCAGATCCCCTTTAGCGACCCCGGCTGGTACCAGGGCCAGCACTCGCCGTACTTCAACGAGACGCACGCGGCGCTCCGCGCCGAGGTCCGGCAGTGGGTCGACGCCGAGCTCGACCCCAACGTGACCGAGTGGGACGAGGCCAAGCGCGTGCCCGAGGAGGTGTACAAGGAAATGGGCCGCCGCGGGTACCTCGCGGGCCTGCTGGGCGTCAAGTACCCGACCGAGTACGCGGCCGGGGTCAAGTCGGTCGCGCCGGAGAAGTGGGATCTCTTCCACGAGCTGCTCCTCACCGACGAGCTGTGCCGCACCGGCTCCGGCGGCTTCATCTGGAACCTGATTGGCGGCTTCGGCATCGGCGCGCCGCCCGTCATCAAGTTTGGCCAGCAGGCGCTCAAGGACCGCGTGCTGCCGGGCCTGCTCAGCGGCGACAAGCGCATCTGCCTCGCCATCACCGAGCCCGACGCCGGCTCCGACGTGGCCAACCTCACGTGCGAGGCCCGCCTGAGCGACGACGGCAAGCACTTCATCGTCAACGGCGAGAAGAAGTGGATCACAAACGGCATCTGGGCCGACTACTTCACCACGGCCGTGCGCACCGGCGGGCCCGGCATGAACGGCGTGTCGCTGCTGCTCATTGAGCGCGGCGAGGGCGTGAGCACGCGCCGCATGGACTGCCAGGGCGTGTGGTCGTCGGGCACCACGTACGTGACGTTTGAGGACGTCAAGGTGCCCGTCGAGAACCTGCTCGGCAAGCAGAACCAGGGCTTCCGCGCCATCATGGCCAACTTCAACCACGAGCGCATCGGCATCATCATCCAGTCGCTGCGCTTCTCGCGCGTGCTGCTCGAGGAGTCGGTCAAGTACGCCAACAAGCGCCGCACCTTTGGCAAGAAGCTCATCGACCACCCCGTCATCCGCATGAAGCTCGCCCACATGGCCCGCCAGACCGAGGCCTCGTACAACTGGCTCGAAAACGTCGTGTACCAGTGCGAGCGCATGCCCGCCACCGAGGCCATGCTGCGCCTCGGCGGGCCCATTGCCGGCCTCAAGGCCCAGTCCACCCTCACCTTTGAGTTTTGCGCCCGCGAGGCCAGCCAGATCTTTGGCGGCCTGTCCTACTCCCGCGGCGGCCAGGGCGCCAAGGTCGAGCGCCTGTACCGCGATGTCCGCGCCTACGCCATCCCGGGCGGTAGTGAGGAGATTATGCTCGACCTCAGCATGAGGCAGAGTCTGCGTGTGGCAAAGGCTATGGGTATGAAGCTGTAATGGAGTCAAGGAGGAACTTTGTCTTTTCCTGTCGTGATGACAAATTCCCGGGGCGTAACGAGGGGCATGACAAGGGCTAGCTAGTATAAAGCTTGTATGAGTAATAGCGTGTATTTACTTAGGGGGGATTCAGGCCCCAATTTCAAGTCTTCTCTTTTATGCTATTTTATATCATATTGCGTTAATAGATACTTACATAGAAAATACACACCTAATATATTTTAAATAAATTAGTTATTTAATTCGGGGTATATACCCCTATAAGAAGAGTTATAGAAGATAAATAGAAATTAAGTAGGAATAATAAGAATAATAAGAAAGATAAGAATAATAAGAAAGATAAGAAAAATAAGAAAGTCTAGAACTATAAGAAAAATAAGAAAAATAAGAAAAATAAGAAAAATATAAAGGGTAAGAAAGATAGGTAATTAAGAAGATAATAGTATATATTATATGCCTAACTAGGTTTATTTTAGAGTAGTGCTGGCAACGAGATGCTAAGGGCATAAGCCTTGGTGCCTTGGTGTGTGTAACTACCTACCTCGGTACCCATAATAAGGGCTGACTAATACCCGATGTCATCCTCCCTAAGATGTCATCTTCCCCTCCCGACACACTTCTTCATCCCCTTGCACCACCTCAGCTGTTCTAATGGCTACAAACGAGGAAATTTTGCGGCAACGGATTCGGGAACTGGAGCGGGAAAAAGCAGAGGCGGAGCGGGAAAAAGCAGAGGCGGAGCGGGAAAAAGCAGAGGCGGAGCGGAAAGAAGCAGAGGCGGAACGGAAAAACGCGGAGTACGAGTCTCTGCTCCAGGAAAAGGATCGTTTGCTCCAGCCCACAACGCTTGAGGAATACCTAAGAAACTGCCAGGAGCACATCTTGTCCAAGATTCATCTCGTCACCGATGGCTACCTCACCACCCAAGCTCCTTCGACCAATCCTGCTCGAAAGCACTGCCCTACCCTTCTAGCGCCTTGGGACGACTTTAACACGGCACAGACCAAGATGATTCGGCGAGTCTACCAGATTTTCCCTCGCGATAAGCGACTATTCGAGAGCATCAAATTCCTTGAGGAAATGGGCGATCGCATGGATGACTTGCGTGTTCGGAGTGAGGCTTCTCTTGTCAACGTCCAGCACAATGCTATTGAAGTCCCTGTGCGCATCATCATGTCCAAAATCAACGACTTTGATCCTCAGAGGTACGACCTCGCTGTTCCTCAAGAGGTCAATTTCCAAACAACGGCGAGTGACCTCCGTGACCCGAACGATACGAGGGATACTACGAAGCGAGACGAAAAGCTACGGACGGACCAGATTTGCGTCTTTCGAAATTCGGCTCACCAGAAGGACATTGCATTTATCATCGAGTACAAGGCACCCCATAAACTCCATACGGCGCATTTTGAGCAGGGACTCCGGCAGATGAATATTTTTGAAGAAGTCGTCAATAAGACGACAATACCAACCGCTGAGCCTGAAAAGTTTAAACACTACGCCGAGCTTCTCTCGACAGCCGCCATTACACAGACGTATCACTATATGGTGGAGGCTGGGCTGGAATACGGCTATTTGACCAACGGTGACGCCATTGTTTTTCTCAACATTGACTGGGCTAACCCGACGGTGCTTCGCTACTATCTTGCACGACCGTCGCGCGAGGTAGAAGTGGACCAAGATACTGCTTGGAGTAATGCCGTCTGCCAAGTCCTTGCATTCACCATGATGGCGCTCCAATCGAGTCAGCATAGCAACGATGAGCGTGTGGCCGCAGCGAACAAGTGCAAAAAATGGTTGGTCGATTTCGCCTGCATTTTGGACCAGATTGTCAAGGAAGAGGTAGCGAGAGAAGAGAAAGCTGCCAGTTCGAGCCCCACAACGCCTGCCACAAAAAAACATCGCCGTGTGCCGAGCAGCCCGGAATGGCAAGGGACACCGGTCAAGAGGAATAGGCGAAACCCACAGTCGCAAGCCGTAGTCGAGCCGTCAAGTCGGGTACTTCGGCCACGTGGACCCGATAGGTCTGGGGGTGGAGGGGCAGGCTCTGGTGAAGGGGGTTACAGCCAGGGTGGCACTTCTAGTGGTGATGGTGGCTCAGGTGAGGCAGGTGGCAGTTCCGAGGGATCTTCCGCTGCTGGGGCCTCTTCACGATTTGCACCCGGCGGCGGCGGCGGTGGTGGTGGACAGCAAAGGCAGAGGCAATACTGTACATCATCATGTCTCCTCTCGCTCGTCAACGACGGGCCGCTGGACAACAATTGCCCCAACGCGGCGTTGCACCGCGAAGGAAAATTTGCCGAGCTCGACGCTAAAAATCACAGACATACTGTGCTCTATTCACAGTTTATGGTCCTGTTACAAGAACAGCTTTCCCAAAGCTTGGAGAGGGGCGTTGTGGTCCTCGGAAAAGAAGGTGCGTGTGGTGCCCTTTTCCAGATCACACTGCTGCAGTTTGGTTACACCTTCATCGCCAAGGGTGTTACCGGAGGACGCGTGCCAGACTTGGAGAAGGAAGTGGCCGTTTACCAAAAGTTGCGGCCTCTGCAGGGCCACGGCATCCCCGTATGCCTCGGGTCTATCGACCTCAGGCCGCTAGGCCAGGTTTATTTCTACGATTTCGACGTGCGTATCATCCGCTTCATCCTGTTGTCCTACGGTGGCACCGAGGTCAAGGCAAGCAAGGACAAGTCAAGGGCACACATCATCAGCACAACCTCATCTATCCTCGACAAGATGCATCGCCTTGGGGTGGTCCACGGCGACGTCCGGCGGCCCAATGTGCTGCAAGGGCCCGACGGAGAGATCAATTTGGTCGACTTTGACCGTGCCGTGATTCTACCAGCCAAAACCACCCGAGGCACCCTCAGTGCAATCTCGCCTAATAAGCGAAGGCGGCTTGTAGGGTCTGAAGAGGAAGAGGATAAAGGTGCGCTAACTAAGGAAAATCCGCTCTTTTATTTCGCAATTCAGCAGGACAATAGCAATACGCTTAGTCTCTTTTCTCTCGATTGCGGCAGATTTATTAACAAGGAGGTAATATAAGTATACTAGGCTAGGCTATACTTAATACTATCTAGCTAGTATATATATATATATTTTATATATTTTATATATTTTTTATATTTTATATTTTTATATTTTTTATATATTTTATATATTTTATATATTTTATATATTTTATATTTTTTATATTTTTTATATTTTTTATATTTTTTATATTTTTTAAGTAAGTCGAGCTGGTAATCTATATATAGCTATAAGGAAAGTGTACTAGAGAGAATTTTGGCGATATTCGTTAGCGCTACTCGTGCCTGCCTTGAACGCATGCCAGCGTAGATATTTTCCAGACCGCTGCCCGCCTTTAAACAGTCCGATGTCGATGTCAACGCCAGACGGAAAGCATTGGCAGAGATTGCGAAGTACGACACCACACAGCTGAAGATGGATTACAAGCGAGCACATGCCCTTTGGGAAGATATGCGCGACAGCCTGCAGTTGTCGACCATGCCGAACGGGAAGAAAGTGGCCACATTAGTAACGGAACACATCGCAAAGATATATAGACAGCGCCATAGCCAAGCTAGAGCAAGACAATACCACTATAGTAAATATATTACTACAGTAATTACTACAGTACTATAAGCACTAAGTAATCTCTATATAGCTATAGATAGACGCGGTTGCTAACTGTAAAGAACTTAGTCTTAAGTCTCTAGTTATGGTGATTTTTTCATAGTTACTACTGTTATTGCTATAGTGTTGTGAGTCGTAATTCTTGCTGTAGTTATATCTAGCTTGGCCACCGTGGCGGGCAGCAGACTATTGACAACGTCTCGGGGGTTAAACCCCATGATAGTCTCGCATTAGTTAAATACGGACAGCTAAAGATATTATCTAAATGGCTCTCTCTATCTGGCCGTCTGTCTATAGGTGATATGCTATGGTATGAATCAGCTTTATCCAACCCCCAGTCTCGCCCATACGTGCTGCCACATTGCGGACAAACTTTAGGTCTCGTATGATTCGTGATAGGCCTATCATTGCGAGAAGAGGGTATCGACCACTACCTCTGCCACGACTGTAGAACTGGCCTTACTATATATATATATGTTGTCTTCTTATTTTCTTATTTTCTTATGTATTAGATATGATTGTGAGATGATGGAAAACATGGCGTCCACGACACAGGCGGTGCTGATACATCCCAACCAGCGGGACCGGACCGGAAAAACGCGCTGATCGGGATAGCATGGCAGCCTTCGCATAGCGCCCACTGTTGAAGTTGGAATTTAACAACCCCCTGTAATTTTTTTTTGACTTTGCAACAGTATAGAATAGCCTCATTAATAAACTCTGTATTTTTATACAAATTAATAACCTATTGGCTTGGTGGACCGAGCAGTTGTGCCGAACCCTATACTTGATATTTGCATGCCTTCTGGCCTTGGTATCTCAATTTGAGCCTCAAGTTGCTGTACGCGGCTCTTTGCAAGGCCATAGGCGCGGGACTTACAAGGGATTGGTCATGGAGGGGGCACTCGGCGCTTGCCTGATTGAGAACAGGCATGTCAAAAATGAATGGTTATCTCTACCGTATCAAAGCAATGACTTTTAAAGAATGCGTATACGGCCACGGGAGGGAAACGGTGGATTATTACCTTTTCCAATGCGGGAAACCAACGATATGAGCTGCGCGCACGCACGAGCACAAGATGGGATACTTGTCCTTCTGGTTAGGAGGAAAGTCACGTTCGGTAGACTGAACTAGACACCACACATCACACATAGGTGTAGCTTCAGCAACAATACAGTACGGTTGCGACGCGACGCTTCGACAGCTTACTCATCGGCTAATTATCCTCTCTCACGCATCGATTCGCTTAACTCCGTTCTCTTACTCAACAATTCTTTTTAACTTAGGAGGCCGGCTAGGTACTGTGCTATTTATTAAGCAACCTAACTAATTCAGGCCACCTGCCAGCAGTAATCTCTCACTGTAGCTCCGGTAAACGGCAACCCCGCGTTCACGTGACCCGTCGACCTGATTGTTAGGCAACTCAGACTGCCTACTTCCAGCTAGTTACACTACGGCACCCACCTAGAACCTTCCTGCCAAGCAACACTCACCACAACCTCCTCTCCAACCGTCTACTTTCCTCCCCTTCCCGCACGAACCCAGGGTCTCACCAGCGCCTACTTAACCAAACTATCAAGCAAGAACAATATAATTTTGCACTCGCCGCAGATTTTTCCTCTCCTGAACGCTTACGCTTTGCCTTGTCTCCGCCAAACATCCGCGGCGGAAAAAAATTCCCAACACCGAAGCTCCCTTCAAACACACGCAAACGCCCAACGAAGCACATCCGCGCCACGAGAGCCAGCTCCATTTGCACTGGCTTGCACAGATACTCGCACTATTTTCTCTCCCACAACCATTGATATATCATACACTGCCCGCCGGCAGCTCACGCTATTATGACAGATCAACTAGTGGATAAGCTGAGAAGCACTCAGATCAGGTCCGATGCTACCTGACGGATGCAACCCAATGGCTCTGCGGCTTCCGCTAACCTCTCTTTTCTCCTTCTATAGCAGTGATAGCTCCTCGCCTGCTCCTGGCGATGATTGGAAGAAGAGCTTGAAGATTCCCGCCAAAGATAACAGACAGCAAACAGAGGTTCGTGCCACTCGCCACCTACCCAACAGGCGCAACTCGACATTGGAATGTGGTTACGGTCAACTTCTTGAGAGCCATTGGCTAATTTACCTGAATCACAGGATGTCACAAAAACAAAGGGCCTCGAATTCGAAAACTTCGCGCTCAAGAGAGACCTCCTCATGGGCATCTTTGAAGCAGGCTTCGAGAAGCCTTCCCCGATCCAAGAAGAAGCTATCCCCGTTGCGTTAACCGGACGCGATGTCCTGGCTCGAGCAAAGAACGGCACTGGCAAGACGGCCGCTTTTGTTATCCCCGTCCTCGAGCGCATCAACCCTAAAGTCAACAAGATTCAATGTCTCATCCTCGTCCCTACCAGAGAACTGGCCATGCAAACCTCGCAGGTCTGCAAGACTCTCGGCAAGCATCTCGGTGTCAATGTCATGGTTACCACCGGTGGTACCGGCCTTCGCGATGATATTATTCGCCTTCAGGAACCTGTCCATATTGTGGTCGGAACTCCGGGTCGTATCCTCGATTTGGCAGGAAAGAATGTTGCCGATCTGAGCGAGTGCCCCATGTTTATCATGGACGAGGCTGATAAGCTTCTGTCTGCCGAGTTTACTCCCACGATCGAGCAGCTTCTTCAGTTCCACCCCAAGGACCGCCAGGTCATGCTCTTCTCCGCCACCTTCCCACTGTCTGTCAAGGACTTTTCCGACCGCAACATGTCCAGCCCGTATGAAATTAATCTGATGGACGAGCTCACCCTCCGTGGTATTACCCAATACTACGCCTTTGTTGAAGAGAAACAAAAAGTACACTGCTTAAACACCCTCTTTTCCAAGCTGCAGATCAACCAGTCCATCATCTTCTGCAATTCCACAAACCGCGTCGAACTTCTTGCCAAGAAGATTACTGAACTTGGCTACTCGTGCTTCTACAGTCATGCGCGTATGCAGCAGTTGGCTCGTAATCGCGTCTTCCACGACTTCCGCAACGGTGTTTGCCGCAATCTTGTATGCTCCGACCTCTTGACGCGTGGTATCGATATCCAAGCTGTCAACGTTGTCATCAACTTTGACTTCCCCAAAAATGCGGAGACTTATTTGCACAGAATTGGTCGCTCTGGTCGATATGGCCATCTTGGTCTCGCTATCAACCTGATCAACTGGGAGGATCGCTTCAATCTTTACAACATTGAGCGCGATCTGGGCACTGAAATCCAGCCCATTCCTGCGAGCATTGACAAGAGCCTGTACGTTTACGAAAACCCTGAGAGTATCCCTCGGCCTATCTCAAACCTGCCCAATGCTGCTCCCCAGCAGCAGGGCCAGGCTCTGCCTCCCCAACAGCCCCAGCAGCAGCAGGGCAACTGGCAGACCCAGGGTCAGCAAAATGGCAACTACAACAACCGTGGACGTGGCCGGGGTCGCGGCGGCTTCCGGGGTCGTGGCGGCGGTAGTGGTGGTGGTAGCCGGGGTCGTGGCCCTGCTCAACCCCAAAATTAACCTCCAATCACCGCAAGGAGACTGGTGGTGAGTGACGGAGTCGGAGTTGGTTTCCAGTATTTGCATTTTGGAGCATGAGCAAGCACTTGTTTGCATATTCTGCTCTTCTTTTTTTTGTTTTACATTTTACCTGGACTGGGAAAGGGAACTACACAGCCATGTTGGATTGTACAATATCGGCACGATCTCTTTTGGCGAATGGACGGAACGGCGAATTGGGCTGCGTTGCTTATGACCTACGATTGATTATTGCCCAATTGGGGCAACTTCCCTGAGGGCGAGGGAATGCACGAGACTGCGCTTCTCAATTTTGGCGCTGTTGCATAGACGTCACGCATTTGAGGACGAGCCCGCTTGGATGGGCAATTTTCGGTAGCACCTTGGGCTGCTACACGATGAGAAAGGAATCACACATTGGGGGGGCAGCAAGCAGAATTGCCGATTGCTGAAGGCTTGCATTCGCCGAGCCTTTATGCATGGCTATGCCGGGATAAAAGTCGGAGAGACTTCCAATAGTGATGATTCCTTTCAGCTGACTCTATGGGCATTCAGGTTGCACTTTTTCGACACTTTATGCTGGGACAGGCATTTGGTTTATCGAGGTCATTAGCTGACAAGGATGGGGGCCTGTGGGCATGGTACCTTTTTTTTTGACGACGTCACGCATGTCTAACGGATGGGCAATGAAGGAGTTTGCAGAAGAAGACGGGATGTTGAACATGACGCCAAAATTTTACAAAGGTATTCAAGGAACAAAGGACAACGGGCAACGCGGTGGTAGCCTGTTGGTGGTTGCTAAGGAGGGAATATGAAGGCGATATACCCAAGCGGAAGAAGTAAGGAGTCAGCGGATGATAAACAAAACCACAAAAAACTAGAGAGGCGCAATGGTTTCCTGTCTGCGAGTTCTCGAAGGATTTGCCCGTCGGTAGTCATACTATCGACGCGGATGAGCCCAGGGGCGAGTACGAGACAAGTGGAATAACTAGACAATACAATCAAGGAGGGCAATGGCTCTCCTTCCCCTCTCACACACTAGCAGCCAATATTGAAATGTGAGGACGGAGCAAGCAATGTCTGACCCTCTGCTGTAGCATGAACTCGTGCTTGAGGAAGCAGCGTTGAGTTCACCAATTCCCTCCTCGCGAAGAGAAAGGGTGCAGAGTATCAGTGGCAAAGGTTAATCTCCGGATGGAATGAGAGCTGAATACCACGGAGGAGTGAGGTTGAAACAGCCCAATTTTAGTCCGGATCAAAATGCTACGTCACAGTAGTTAGTGTTGTGTGTTGTATGCTACGAAAAGTTGCGTCTCGGCAGACTTCAAGCTCCAGAGCAGGCACAGCTATCGGGGCACAAAATCACTCCCCGTCCGCAGCGGCGCTGTCCGATTGCAGAGCAGCGATGAAGAGGCGACCATGATGAGAAGCGTAGTAGTGAGACGAGCGGCATGTACCGTGTCGGGCCTTGGTGGAGGAGAAGAAGAAAAGGAGGAAACACTGGGTGCGGGTTTTGAACAAGAGTGGGATTGAGCTCGCGAGATTACCTAATCAGCATCCTGTAAGCTTGGCATTGACTATGTGTAGGATCAGTGGCCAACTCGCGGCATAGTAAAGCATATTGCGAATTCAGAAAAAAAGGCCAACGGAGGAAAAAGAAGGAAAGAACGAGTTTGCCCGCTTTCCCATCTTGATGCTATAATAGTAGCCGTTTGGCCGGTAGGTTAGCTTTATTGGCCAGCTGGCTAGTTCAGGTCCGCTGAACTAAATGGGGAGCCCTGAACGTACATACACGTTGACAAGATGAAGTATTTATATTGTTAAATTTGTGTCTACTTAGGTTGGTCTTCAAGGCCCTTTTGCGTACCTCTTGCCCTCTTTAGAGAGTTCGCCAACGTTACACAAAAGTAGTGACCAATTCGTGATATGCAAGGTGCATCCTGAGATGTACGGCTCTCGAGGTCGGATTGATCAGAAAATAAAGGTGACGGCGATAAATCAGGTGATAGAGATGCCATCGCTGGCTGAAAGACTATCGGGTCATTTCAGGGCGAATTCTGGTAAAATACGCTCTTTAGACTACGGGCGCAAATCCCACATACATTGCTCTTTGATCGAGACCACATTTTAAGGAAAGCCGTTTGCGTTGACTAACGATGGCTGATCTGGACAGTGACATGTTCGCTATACTCTGCCTTGAAACGATGGCTCGGGCGTAGGTCCTCAAGAAATTCTAAAGCTAGTGTCTGGAAAGTTGGAACCATTATTCTATCCAATGACAGCGAAATTGGCAGGGCTGGGTAGAGTTGCAGCCCGAATGACAACTTGTAGGTGAAGGATGTCTTGGCTATCGCAGGCGTAAGCGACCGCTTGAGTCAGAGACTTGCATTGCGATCATGAAAGTAGACTCTGAGAACATCAAGACTAACATGTGAATAAAATCAGGTGAAAACGGCACTAATGCGACAAAATCTCATTGCCTTGAATTACACGACCTCCCGCGAGGTTTGCAACTTGGACGATTGAGGTGGGGCCAGCTCGATCTGGAATAATTCAATCAAGCGAGCATGTGCACGTGACTTGGACAACGATACCCCACCATTAGGGTCACGCCCACCAAACCACGCAAAATTTGGGCAGCCGCAGGGCAAAAAAAAACCGTGGGCGAAATTTACGGTGCGCCGCCCCGTTATCCCAAGTTCCGCTCTGCATCACCAAGTTTTAAGCCATTCGACGATCGAGGTACGACCCCCCGAATACCACGTTTTCAGCACCGACACAACACCACAGAGCCAATCGAGACTGACAAACTCAGGTCCTACCCCCCCGACAATCATTCGCAATGTCTTCGCGACCTACCGTCTCCATCATCGGCAAGGATGGTGCTCCCACCGGAGCTACCCACGCCATTCCCGCCGTCTTCTCGAGCCCTATCCGTCCCGACATTGTCCAGAAGGTGCACACCGGCATGGCCAAGAACAAGCGCCAGCCGTACTCGGTGAGCGAGAAGGCTGGTCACCAGACCTCTGCTGAGTCTTGGGGCACTGGTTAGTGAAATTGTCCGTTTGGAGGGGGTCGAGATGTTGCAAATCGAGAAAAAACCGCCACAAAAGAAAGTTTGGACGAGCGAGAGAGAGAAGGCCGAGGACTTTTCGCCCATCATTATGAGGCTCCCGACTGAAACTTTGTGGCGGTACCCGAAACCAGCATCTGGACTTGCTCTCAAACGACCACCCATCGAGGCGAGGAGAATTCTGGACTAACAAGCTTCATTCATCACCAGGTCGTGCCGTCGCCCGTATCCCCCGTGTCTCTGGCTCCGGTACTCACCGTGCCGGTCAGGCCGCGTTCGGTAACATGTGTCGCTCCGGCCGCATGTTTGCGCCCACCAAGATCTGGCGCAAGTGGCACGTCAAGATCAACCAGGGCCAGAAGCGCTACGCGACGTGCTCTGCCCTCGCCGCCTCCGCCGTGGCCCCTCTCCTCATGGCCCGTGGCCACCAGATCATGACCGTCGCCGAGGTGCCTCTTGTCATCGACTCCGAGGTCATTGGCTCCGACGCCGCCGTCAAGACCTCGGTTGCCACCGCCCTCCTCCGCGCCGTCGGCGCTGGCCCGGACCTCGACAAGGTCAAGGGCTCCAAGAAGCTGCGCGCCGGCAAGGGCAAGCTCCGTGGTCGCCGCCACCGCCAGCGCCGCGGCCCGCTCGTCGTCTACAACTCCGACACGGACGGCAAGGACCTCGTCCAGGGCTTCCGCAACATCCCCGGCGTCGAGACGTGCCCTGTCAACGCCCTCAACCTGCTCCAGCTCGCCCCCGGTGGTCACCTCGGCCGCTTCGTCGTCTGGACCTCGTCCGCCTTCCAGGCTCTCGACGACATTTACGGCTCCACCACCGAGGCCTCGAGCCACAAGCGCGACTTCCTCCTGCCCTCCAACGTCGTCTCCCAGTCGGATCTCTCCCGTCTGATCAACTCGTCTGAAATCCAGAGCTCCCTCAACGCCCCCAAGGGCGAGGCCACCACCAAGCGCGTTGGCGTCCAGAAGAAGAACCCTCTCCGCAACAAGCAGGTTATGCTCCGTCTTAACCCTTACGCCAAGGTCTTCTCCCAGGAGGCTCAGAAGAAGCAGAACTAAGTTTGTCATACTGGGTGTGCAGTGTGGACATGGGATGATGATTTCTTTCTAGTCTTAGTGCAGGCATGAAAAAAGGAATGAACATTTTAAACTTCTCGTTACATTTTGCTATCAGTCTGCTCAATAGCGAGTCAACTTGATGTTTGCTAGAGTGATGAGGGAAAATACCAAGACTTGTTTCTAAACTAAATTTTAGTTGCGTTCTACCTGCAATGCTCCAAACCTCATTACTGTGCGATTTTTAAGCGCCCTATATCCAATCGTTCCTCATAAGCAATGTGTAGTGCCATCTATGTACATAGCGTGGGGTGGTATCAAAAGTCGCGGCCCCCAACAAGGGACGTCCCGCCCGCAGCCTCGTCGTTCTTCATTACTCATCGCTCTCAAAGCCCAGGTTGGCCAGATGCTCCAGCTCCGGCTCGCTGGACGATCTCAGCTCCGCGACCAGACGCTCCATCTCCTCGACGCTCTTGATGCGCCAGAACCTCTGCAGTCCGGCCGCGAAGCGCCGCGAGCAGGGCTCGATCTTCGCCTCCGTCTCTGTGCCAAAGCACAGCCGCAGATACGCCCACGCCGTCTCCGCCGCCACATGCGGCGTGGCCGCAAACATGGCGCCGGGCGCGGTAATGACCAGCTGCGGCTTGTGCGTCAGGAAAATCATGAGCGCCTGCCCCAGGGCCGGTCCGTCCAGCACCGGGACAGAGGCGCCCTTGGCCTGCCACAGCGGATGGTTCTCGAGGTGAATGCGCACCCAGACGAACATGCCGCCGCGCGGCCAGTCGTACGACATGATGCGCGTCTTGGTGATGACGCCCCAGTCCGAGTCGAGGTCGCTGACGGGCGTCGACTGCTTCAGCTGGAACAGGCTCTCGTCGAGCCGAGAGCACATGCGCAGCATCCTTCGTTCGTAGACGCCGCGCAGCCCCTCGAGCCACCGAACCCAGCCGTCCAGCTCCCAGCTCTTGAACTGCGCCTTTTCCTTGGCGCTGAGCTGATGAAAGGACGAGATCTTCTCTTTCTGAGAAGGTCCCATCAACATCTCAACAACCATCGCTTGCACGAAACCAGACGGTTGTTGGGTAGTCGTTTCGGTGATTCTTGTCCAGATGTCAGTTTTGACCGCCAATTTTTTTTAGAGGGGAGTATCTGCGCTTACCTTTCCAATCGCTCAATGAAAGCCGGCTGAGCTGTGATCCAGCCTAATCGACACCCAGGCGCAATAGTCTTGGAAAAGGTGTCCAGTCTAATGACGCGCCCATCTACATCCATGCTCAAATACGAAGGAACGAGAGAATCAAGAAAATCGTACCCGGTCAGCTTTGGGGGCGTGTACGGCGCGGCCGGTCTGGCCGCATAACCTCTGGACTCTGCCTCGCGTTCAGCGGCGGACGCAAACTGCAGATACCAGTACGGGTCATCTTCGACAATGATGATGTCGAACCGCTGGCAGATGGCGTAGATCTCGCGTCGTCGCTCCACCGAAATGACAGTGCCAGTCGGGTTGTGGCCCATTGTTACCGAATACATGAAATGCGGGCGCCTTCCCTGTCGGGGATCCCAGTTCTCCAAGACACTTTGCAGACCGCCGGGCCCGTTGGCCATCATGCCGTCCGCGTCAATGTCAACAGGCACGACCTGGATCCCTCTGGGCTCGACACAGGCGAGCACATTGTTGTACACGTAGCGCTCGCACAGCATGCCGGCGCGGCTGGCGACGGGATCGCGGTCCGGGTTCCACGCGTTGCTGATGAGATGGACCGTCTTGGAGAAGCCGTCGGTCGAGCCGCAGGTGATGATGACCTCGGGCCCGCCTCGGTACGGGACGGTCGGGTGCAGCAGCTCCCGCGTGAACTGGCGGATCAGAGAGAGGAGCGGAGGGTAGCCGCCGGCGGTGCCGTACTGGAGCGCGGTGGACAGGTCGATGCGTTTTACCGGATCAGTCTGCGGCGTCGACTTGGGCACCTTGATGCGCCACGATGCTGTTTTGGTGTCGCTTTGCGGCGCCTTGTTCTTCTCCGCGACGGGCACACTGCCCTGGCGCGCGGACACGGGGTGGTTTGGTGTACATTGGTAGCGATCTGGGTTGGCCGTCTGCGCCTCGAGGGTGTCGAATGGGAAAAGCTCGTCATTGGGCAGACCTGAGAGAGTCCAGGGTTAGCAAACGGTCCACGCTCGGCCAACTACGTGCTGGAATTGCCGAAAACAGGGCCAGGGGAACTTCGTACCTCCGCCAAGGTTTCCGATGTTGGGGATAGCGAAGAATCTATAAAACTCCTTGATGGAACTGGGTGTCCGCCTTTTGGTGATTTCGGAAAAGTGGTGGCTCAGGTCTTGCGGCGGAGGAAGCCGTTCCTCCAAGGCAGCCATGGCGCGACAGTTGTGAGAGTGTGAGAGTGTGCGAGTTGAAGGATCTCAAAATCTTCAAACTCCTCTGATTCCGAGTAAGTGAATTGAGTCGAGAAGCTAAAAGTGGAGTAATAAGGGCCGTGCAATTTGAAGCTGAAGAGAGGGCGGGAGGCCGTTGGATGGACAAGAGTCAGTTGTCGAGGCTAATTATAACTATATACCATTGCTAAAGCCTGTCGGCCGCCCAGGGTCCTGCGGCAAGCGAATCCGGGACCTTGTTCCGTGTTACAATAGGTTTCAACGGCATGACTACAAAGGACCTATTGGCTGATAAGAAACAGGGCACATGGCGCATCAGGTCAGACGGAGGAGGACGAAAGGGCAAGCCGGAGGTGGGAGCAGGGCGGCCGATGAGCGGTATGGAGCAAGGGCGAGACTAAGAATAAGATTTGCCGTGGCCCAGAATCGGGGCTGAAAGGCTCACCGGAAGTCTGCAAGGAAGGCAAGAAAAGCTCACCAGGTATTCACTAATAATATGGACAAGTTATAATTAACTAGTTTACTAGCCACCTCACTAGGCATGGAGTAAGCGCCAGGCTAGCGGACTAATATGGTGAGTCGGAGCGGAGTTGGTAGTGGCTGGTCTCGAGAACGGGTTCACCTCGCAGGGTTTCCGAAGCTTGTGGCGCGCAAGGGATTTGGAGATGGACAAGCATTGTGCTTGTGCTTTTGCAAGTGACAAGGGGTGGTGTGTGTCGAATGGGGGTAACAAGATGTCGAGGTCGAGGTTGAGGGAAGGAGGCTACAGGTTGCTTTGCTGGATCGAGGTCACACCAGTAGTCTCAGGAGGAGGCACCTCCCATCTGTACATATCTGCAGGAGCCCGCGTGCGAATGGGATGGTACGGATCCTGACAATTGTTTGGTGAAGGTGTGGGCGGGCTCGCCGCTCATTAGCTGCGTCCGACGCCGGCGGTCAAGAACCCGAAGCCTGTGGCCCAGTACGTAGTTGGCTGCAGGAGATTCATAATTGAAGGAGTTAGTTTCACGGTGAGGAGGACAAAATAAGCCAACGCCCAGAAACCTGGTCGGAAATCCGGGCCAGGGGTGGCGAGGATCGACGACGTCCCAGCCTAGAACACTTTCCAGATCTTCTCCTTGTCTCGGTAGTGGGCTCTTGCACACGCGGCAGCTTACAGCTTACTCGGCGGTCGGAATCGCTGTTTTCCCCCTCTCAGGTCTCTTTGAGGGTTGTGCCGTCTTCTGTTGGGTCGCCTTACTAGAGCGTTGGGCTGATACTGGCAGTCTACTTTGGCTTGACCGTAATCACACATCTTTTCTTCACTTGCTGTGCTGATTGGAAACCAAGAAGCTGGGCTATAACGCTCGGTATATGGGCGGCCTAGACCAGCATGTCGTCGTTGCCAATACGGATTATGACATGGGGCCTGCTAGCGAAAGTTGGGCTAGGGGCTACGAAATAAAATAGGAGCCAAACGTATGTACAAGGCTATAAAGTTGCTAGTTAATTGTGTGTTTAACTTGCTCTATACTATCTAACTTGAGTCAGCCATGATCAGAGAAGAGTACTTGGCTGGCGTGACAAAAGGGAACATCTGGAAACGGTAAAGAATAAGGAAGCCACAGAGAACAAGGACCTGCCCAGAATATGATCTCGGTCTCGGCGGCTTCCCGCTAAAGTGATTGAACAAGTATCCATTGTTTTTATAAAAGTGGCCGCTCTATCGAAAAGGCTCAAAGTTTAAAATCTCGACTCCACGAAGAAACGGGAGACACACAGGTTTATTAAAAGGTAGTGCGGAGTAGCCATCCGTTTCTCCTTGTTCGCTCCAGCATGATCCGTGCAGCTTCGGGATTGGAGATGAGCTAGAGGTTCGTAGGACAACGCCGCGTCGTCTTCGATCGGACGACGGCCGAACAGGCGCCACCTCGGGACCTGGTGGTGGTCTGAAATATGGACCCCAAGTCTCACTTGAAACAAGGTATCATGATGGATGAAAAGAACCCTGGCAATTGGGAACAGCCGACATGGGAGCATGGAATAAGGAGTCGCCGAGGTCTCTCTTGCCATTGAGTTGCGGCTGCTCTGCATAGGTATTACAGACTGGTTTGTACCATCCACCCATAGATACACGCACATGTTTGGGCGCACGATTCCACGATTCTAGTTCTAGTAATGCGTCTAGTCTACGTTTCCAACGTAAGCGGACGTCATGCATGCATCACGAGCGGGATGCGCGGCACAAGCTTCGGCCATTGAGCACCAATGTGGAATGTTTAAGCTGAAAAAGAGAGCTGCCCGATGTTGAGATCAGAAGTGGTGTGCCATCTATCGACTCTCGACGCATCACACTCGCAGACGAGGGGACCGCATTGGCCGCGGGGGAAGAGGGGGCTTGTGATGCATCACTCGAGCGCCTCCGCATGCAAAGAGCTTGCATTCATTGCCTGTACTGCATGCCAAAGCTGCTCCGGATTCTTCTCCATGCATATGACGTGGGGGTTTTTGGCTAGGGAGGGAGTGCATCGGATAGAGATCCGTCATGCCGTTTTCACCAAACTGGTACAAAGCAAGCCGTGCAGGCTGTAGAAGTAGATCGACATGTCGAGGACAAAAAAAAGCCATACCGGCTGTGTATGTACTCGTCGGTGGATGTTCGTCTGTGAATGTATTCATCGATGTATGTGACATACTCGTACCTGGAAACTCACTGTCAGCATGCAGATGCACCAACAGTCTCCAGCCTCTCTATCACCGAGTTGGTTGTGACGACATGAAAATGGCTCCGACAACTATTAGTTACTTCGGGATTCTCCAATTCGACAAGTGGAGGCGCTTCGGGAAACCTTGAAAAGGAAGAAGCGAGGATTTGGACAAGGGGGGCATCGGAGGAGCCGCATAGATCCCTCACAACAACGAGTTTTCAAGGTTGTATTGTATTACATGCAGGGTCTAAACTGCATCATGGTCAGAAGCGTTTCATTCGGTAGTTACTACGTGCTGTCGCAACCGTTCAATTTGAACAGGCAAGTAGTGAAGCAGGGCGAGAGGTGGCACGACAATAGCGTTCGCTAAGTTGGCAAATTGAATAGGCGATTCTCACGTCGATCAGTTTCATGCCATGATCAATAATAAAACGTAGACCGATGGCGACGGAGCTGGGACCGACATGGGACGGATGTAAGCAGCCATAACCTACCTGGTGACAATGATGGGTCGGGACAGGGGCTGCAAAGGTTGCAAGCGACGGTTTGCCAGTTATAACGCGTTTCCCGAAGATTGCAAACGACTTATTGGAAGACATGAACGGCCCTTGAGCGTCTAGCATTTTGGCTTTTACAGTCGTGCAGCAAATCGATACCAGGCAGGCAGAGAATGGGGTGGTGCAAAGCAAGGCCGGGAACAAGACGGTGATGAAAGCGATAAGATTGGACCCCTCCCGACCCTTTCCTGACCTGACGTTTTCCTGAATGATTCAAGTGCAGACCGAATGATGTTAGGCTGGGCTTGTGCCTGCGTAGACCTTTGACAGCTTGGGGAGTAGGGGCACTGTGACTGGTACTGTGTTGGCACTGTGAACGACACTGTATCAAGTTGACTCTGGCAGGCCAATTGAAGCGTTTGATGCCCGCGTATTCTGGAAACCAACCAACAGAATATTACCCTGTGATATGAACTTTGCCAAGTTGGTATCCGTAGAATAACAATTAAATAAACACGGGCCAAACTTCATTCTGGCGCAGGAACGGAAGCTTCTCTGGACTGTGCCCCACCACTTTACACCAACACGCGTAGAGTTGGCCGGCCATTCACGGAAATCACCACTCCACGCCCGTCGCGTTCAGCTTCCCCCAAAGCATCGTCAGTCAGTGCATTACTTCTTCGTACCGCATAGCAGGCTTTATCGACATTGAGAATCCACCATCGATTCCACCTTATTGAGTCCGCCCACCGCAGTCGCCCCGACGCGACGAGCGCCCGTCACCCACCAGCGACGAACGACATTTGCCCTCCCCCCCCTCCTCCACCCCGGCTCATGCTGGCATCATCCACGGCATCATGACTGGGCGCACTCGCCGCGGATCGACCTCGAGCGTCGAAACCGTCAAAAACGACACCTCCGTCCAGTGGTGTCAGGAGGCGTCTGTCCTGCGCTCCGTCCCCAAGACGGAACCCAGCGACGGCTGGCCCATCTTTCAGCTGCGCGACGCCATTGTTCTCAATCGCGACAACACCACAATTGAGAATGCGCTTCACATTGTACCCAACGGTCCCTTTATCGTGCGCGGCTATCTACACTTTACCGCCGACGAGAAACGATTTGGTTTGTTTCACTTGCCCATCTGTTGTCCGTGTTTTCTACTAACAGGCATGGCTCCCAGTGCTCGTGCGCGGACGATCACCAATTCCAATCGAAATTAGACACTGTCTGCTGTACTCTGTGGGCGAAACAGAAGATGGCAGCCCTCAAATTTGGGTGTCGGGTCGGGCGGGCTGGTTTGAGATAAGCCCTTGCTCGAGGTACCAGGCAACCTACGACACCATGTGTCAAGCAACGACACTCTACTATAATATAATGGATACCATCGAGGAGATGAATGAAAAACCACAGCGCTCCAAAAAGTCAAAATCGCCATCGCAGAAAGATGTGCTGGCGTCAATATTCCACAAGGTCTGCATCGCTTTCTCGAACCATTGTGCTCGCCTCTAATTTCTTGTCTGCAGTATGCCGCCTCTGTGGGCGATGGTTCAACGTTTGATGACGTTGTCGATAGATGCAATAAGCATGCTATCTTTCTCATCTCCCAGTTCATGCAAGACGAAGGCGGGCTGCAGTGGAAGTCGACTGTCTTTTACAGATGGATGAAGCTCCATAACGGTGTACGTCTCCCAGAATGCCCACGAATTCCGGCAAGAGCTCGATAACTGACCTTGCTTACACAAACCCAGCCACTTTTTGAAAAGATTGACAAGGCGAAGAAGAACCCGCGCCAACGTACCCGATCGCCGTCCTTTATTGAGCCACCGCCGCGCGTGAGCACGAGCCTGTCGAGAACGAGCCTGTCGAGAAAAAGCGAAAGCATCGAGGAAATCGAAGAGTCTGCATCTAATGCGCCCAACACACGATTGAAGCATCGCTCTACCAGCGCCGCGGCACCGCAGACAGTTATTCCTATGCATCCAAGACGAAGCGAACACCCGGCCACACCACCACCTCTGAGTCCTGCCCCTGTAGCGACTGATGGAGACTCGCCATTCCAGACTGTGCTGACCGCGCTTGAGAAATCGTTTGGCTCTATCAGCCCTGGAAAGACTGGAGTTAAGGTATCTCAGCTTCTTAACAAGTTGTATTTTACCTACAAATTCCCTACCTACAGGGACAGCACCAGTGGCTCACATAAGCGCCCCGTCGAGGAGGTTCTGCATTACAACGCCACCGCTCTTCTTGAAGCCATCGACCATGAAAAGTATAAAAATGGAGAGGTATACGACTGGCTCGTGGTTCTCTCCAAAACTGCGTTTGTGCCTGTTGCGTTGCGGGCAGATGCCATACCTTACCGCATCATACTGAGAGAGCCTCGTCCGTTCCAACACCGCAAGCCCGAGATGAGGCTTGAACCTGCTCAAGAAGTTACGCGGACACCGAGCCCGGCAACGCCCAGAATGGGCAAGCGACCCGGCCGACCCGTTGGTAGCAAGTCGAGCCTACGCCCTGTCCAGTCGACCAATAAACGGTCCCGTGCGCTCGACGGCGACGACACGGACACTGAATCAGCGGCCAAAAGGTTGAACTTTTCGTCGGACCAGGACGGCGACGAGACCATGGGCGATGCCAAGTCGGAAGAGCTGGACAGTATTCTTCAGATTAATGACTCGTCCGATGCATCGAGTGAGAATGAGGACATTGACGACGAGACCAAGCCTGTTAAGCTGGGCATCCTCGCTGAAAAGCTGCCGGATCCGATGCCGACGGGATATCAGGGCACATGGGTCTGTGACCAGCCAGACTGCGACTTTATCGCGCGGGGCGGCGGCGAGGACGAGTTGGACGATCGCATCTCGGCGCATCTGCAAGAGCACGAGCAGCTCGTGGACAGGATGCAACTGGCCGTTGCGGAGAGCCGGGGACTGCTGCCCATCAAGTAAGTGCTGCTCCGTGAATAGCTATGGAGAAATATCGCTAACAATCTGAAGCCATCTTTTGGAAAAGCTCAAGCAAATAGGTGAAGGCGCGAACGAACCGATCGACACACAAGGCATCCTTGCGCCCCGACCAATTAAGCGACACTTGTTTGTGTAAACCACAAGCGATTGGATTGCCATTCATGACGACTTGCTTTGGGCTTGCTTTTTGGATTTTTGCGTTCCGGTGACGGTTTGGTATTGGATTATAGATTAGTGAGATAATTACTCACGACAGGATTGTTTTATGAATGGAATGAATAGCAGAAGGTGGTTTGGGGGCAGCTGCTTGTCGCGAATTGGTCTTTGAATATAACTACTTGGGTAATTCTCCTCTATTCACGAGTACGAGGCATTCTTGCCGCACCGCCATGCTGAGTGTGATGTGCTGATGAGTTTGGAGGTAGCGTGATCCTGATTGGTCAACCCCTCACGCCGGAATCTAGTCGTTGCAGGTCAAAAATCGACTTTGCCCTTGCTGTCTCGGTCGGAATAAACGGCTCTTCTACTCCGTACCGGCGTTTGGCTGGGCGTATGCCGGGCTGTGAATGACTGCCGAGCTTGCGGGCGTGGCGTTGGGGCTTCCGAACCAATCGGCACCTTTGCCCGGACAAGACGGAAAGCAAACAAAAGAACTTTGAAGAAGCTATTGGCCTTTGAATGTCCGGTCCGCAATTGACTCGGCAACACACGCTGGCAATAGGACTCGTTGCTCACACCGCCCATCCGGGGACCGCCGACAACTGCAGCGCCACTGGGAACAAACAAGAGGTCGCAGTGTTGCTTACCTGATTGGGTTTTGTGAGCCCTCGTAGCATCACATGACTCATCCCTTCTTTTTTTTTGCCTGTCATGACTGGAAGGGTTTTTACCCCGCGATTTCGGACGAGAAACATGGGATGATCGACCTTGATAACAAGACAGCTCCGCTTCCCACTAACACGCCCTGCTTTCCCACAACCTGGATAGAACGTGATCACCGAGCGGCATTCGAATGCTGTCTTTCATTTTGATCATCTAGATGAATGAAGCAGAAATCATAGAACCATGACTTCTCAAAAGCTCTCCCGCGAAGCGGTGCCGCTTGCGCTCGCTGATGTCACGGCTCGTGGGCCTCAATTCCTCAGCGACGTTACCAACCGGCAAGTCGAGCCCCCCATCTCCCCCACCCCAGACCGATTCCATCGAACCCCCCTTCGGGCTGACCGACCATCTTCTCTCTCTCAGTCTGCGCCACCTGACGCTCTCCAAGGGCGATCCGACCGAGGCGCTCCTCTCCGCCTCGGCGGCCCCCCACGTCTTCAACGTGGTGATCCCGCAGCAGGGCAGCCCCGTGACCACGCAGGGCGCCTCGGGCCGCTGCTGGCTCTTTGCGGCGACCAACGTGCTGCGCGTGCCCATCATGGCCCGGTTCCGGCTCGCGTCGCTGGAGCTCTCGCAGCAGTACCTCTTCTACTACGACAAGCTCGAGGCGGCCAACCACGTCCTCGAGCACATCATCGACACGGCGCACCGCGACGTCGACGACCGCCTCGTCCAGCGCCTGCTGCTCGACCCGGCCGACGACGGTGGCCAGTGGGACATGTTCCGCAACCTCGTCGAAAAGTACGGCGTCGTGCCCCAGTGCCTCTACCCGGACTCGTGGAGCGCGCAAAACGCAGACGGCCTGCGCGCCGTGCTCGGCACCAAGATCCGCGCCTGCGCCTTTGAGCTGCGCGAGCTCGCCGCCGCGAGACCGGCCGACGCCGCCGCCATCACGGCCCGCAAGGCGCAGATGGTCGGGCAGATCCAGGATATCCTGACGACGCTGCTGGGCGCGCCGCCGCGCGCCGACGACGAGTTTGTGTGGCAGTTTACCGACAAGGACGGCGCGTATGGCGAGCACCGCAGCACGCCGCTCGCCTTTGCCCGGGAGTTTACCGGCGCCGGCAGCGCGTGCGACCTCGCGGCGCTCACGTCCGTCGTGCACGACCCGCGGCACCCAGAGCACACCCGGCTCACCGTGGACCGCCTCGGCAACGTCGTCGGCGGCCGCCCGGCCACGTACATCAACGTGTCCATGGCGACGCTCAAGCGCGCCTGCGTGGCGATGCTGCGCGCCGGCCGCCCCGTCTTCTTCGGCTGCGACGTGGACAAGTTCCGGCACCGCGGCCGCGGCCTGCTCGACGTCGCCGCGCTCGACTACGCCGCCGCCTTTGGGCCCGCCACCACGCTGCTGGAGCAGAGCAAGGCCGACCGTCTGCGCTCCGGCGAGTCGCTCATGACGCACGCCATGGTGCTCACCGGCGTCCACGTCGACGAGCGCACCGGCGCCTCTGTCCGCTGGCAGGTGCAGAACAGCTACGGCGAGGCCGACGGCTACAAGGGGTACCTGGTCATGACGGACGCCTGGGCCGACGAGTTTCTGTACCAGGCCGTGGTGGACGCCCAGTTTCTGGGCGAGGATGTGCTGGGTGCGCTGGACAAGGAGCCGCTGGTCCTGCCGCTGTGGGATCCTCTGGGTTCGCTGGCGTGATGCGCACAACACCGAGCGCCGATTTATTCTAAAATGGGGAGAAGAGTCTTGGTCCCTCCACCACTCATAGCCATCATGGTGGGCTACAATCCAAACTTGGCATTGGAAACAACGTCACTACAAGCACAGGCGGCTCCTTCGAGCTCTTTCCTCAAAACCAATGTAGATATATATAGTCCAATATCGAAACCCAGTATCCCTATAGCCCTACTACCCATAGATTTCTAATCTCGTGATTGAAGAAGCAATGCAACCCAAGGAAACCGCTACTGTACACTTTTTTGCCTTGCTTGGCCCCGCGCACCGTCTACGCAATGCCATTCTCGCCATCCACCACCATATGGTCCTTGGTCGCCTCGGCGACAAAGGCCGCCTCCACCGCCGCACGACGTCGAAACACGCGCAGCCAGCGCTGGCCCCACCGACGAATAAGCGCCTCCTCCGACTCGCTCGTACCATCATCCTGCATCAGCTCGTCCTTTGTGCCGGCGGCCCACGACTCGAGCGCGTCGTTGATGGTGCGGAACAGCTCCGTCATGTCGGCCACCTCTTTGGCGCGCGTCTGTTGATCGGGCTCGCTGTCGGGCGGCGCCGCGAGAACCTGCCGCACACGCGCCGTCACCTTGGAGACGGTGTTGAAGATGGCCTCGTAAATGTGCGGCTGCGCCAGCGCCGCGCCTGGCGCGCCCTGGTGCGAGGCACTGTCGGCCAGAATCGCCCAGTCAGCGACGGAAAAGGGCGTCAGGATCGAGTAGTTGAGCAGCTTCTCGATGATGGACAGTGCTATGCCGGGGTGCGCGTGCCAGTAGGCCATGACGGACGAGATGATTTGGGCGTGGGCTGCCGGAGACGCGACACCCGCGTCGATCAGCCGGACCTTGCTTCGGTCAATACAGGCGAGGACGTGGCTTAGCGATTTGGAGCCGACCCAGCACATGGCCGTCACGAACACATCGGTGCTGGCAACGACGGGATCCAGGGCGCGCTCTGCGGCCTGTGTCTGGATGGCGTCAATGATGGGCTGTATCTCTTCGTCAGTGGCCTTGCGGCGCAGCAGGGCTCCAATCTGTTGGCCCTCGGCGGAGAAGGGGGTGTCTGAGCTCTTGTACTTGAAGTCTGGCACGTCCTGTTCTTTTTCAGGACCAATGAGATGCCGGTAAGGTTCGGGAAGAGTCTTTTGAATTCTTTGCGCAAAGCTCAGCCGGATCTCCTTGTCCAGCGCACCGTTGAGGAACCACTTGGCCGGGTGCAAATCGGACAGCGCGGCATCGTCTGACCACTCCGCCCATTTCCACGTGAAGCCAAAGTTGCTCAGGTGATGTGAGAACCAATTGACGCAACGGTACGACAGCTCAAGATCCATGCGCGGATTATTGCGGTACAGGTATCGAATAGCTCTGCCTAGACTAGGAGCAATGGCAGCCGGTGCCAGCTTGCAGGCTTCTGTGAGCACTGAGTGGTAGTAAACAAGCTTGCAGTGGGGCGTCGGCAGCTGGAAGAGCTGCGAAAAGACAGTGTCGACGGCGACGTCTTCGGGCTTCCAGGTCGAGCGGCCGTTGCTGGCGAGGCTGCGCAGCTCGTCAAACGGTGTCGCGCGCTTCACAAAAGTGGCGTCGGCAAAGTAGCAGTCAATGTCCATGAGGAAGCGCGCCGTGGCGTTTCGGTTGAAGTCGAGGCCGTTGATAGTGTCGACGAGAACATCGCGGATTAGAGAAGAGGCAATGTGCTGCGTGCCGGGCACAGACTCGAGGCCATCCTGCTCCGCGTAGACGGACATGTAAACCTCTGGGAAAAGGGCACGGGGGCCGGTAACCAGGGTGGCCGGGATGGAGATGGCCGGAATCGCGTGCTTGCGCGCATTCGCCAGCTTGTCCTGCGTCTCCACCTCCGAGAGCGGCATCTGCCATGGGCGAGGCAGGCAGGCCAGCTCCCAATCCTTGGCAGCTTCAGCTTGCAGCTGCTTCTGTAAAAGCACCAGCACGCTGGAAGAAGAAGTCGAGCTGTCTTCGTTGCCCTTGCCATAGTATGGGTCGACCAGCGCATGCAGCGCATGGGGCTCGGAGGCGATGATGTCGGTCTTGTCCATAAGCTCGGCGGCCTTTTGCTTGAATTGGCCCGGCGCAGCAACCATGGCGTAGGGAATCGTGAGGAGAATAATTTTGACGATCTCGGTTCCAATAGTCTACAGTTAGTTAGTAAAAACATCAACAGCGATAGGCGCGATTCCCACCGGACACGTACATCTTCGGAGCTGGCTGTCTGCAGATCAGCCGCGCGGTTGAAGAGTTCCTCCAGAAGGGGAAACACTCCATCACCTTCCAGGCTCCCCTGCAGACAGGCCATAAACTTGAGATACAGCTTCACCTCGGTCCACTTGCCGGCAGCAATGGCGTTCTCCAGGTCCTTGGCCAGGCGCTCAAGAACAATTTCCATGGCCTCGGGCTTGAGCGCGTTGGCGACGAGCACTACCGCGGCCACAAAGGGCGTCTTTAGAGGCTGCTCCAGCGCCATCTGTAGGACCAGGTTGACGTAGAGGCTACGCAGATGCTCGTCGTCGTAGTTTTCGGTCATCATTCGTGCGAGGGAGAGCACCTCGTCGGCCCATCGGCGCAACGGCGACTCGGCAATGGCGACGAGCTGTTTTCTGAATCGGACCGGTACTGGCGCAGGTGCTGGTGCTTGCGCTGGTTCGTGTCGCCTCCTCTGGCGTCGGTCATAGTGGTCATCATCGTCTATTTTGATGAGCAATAGTCAGCTTGGACGTCCTCGCACAGTGCCTTTGGAGCTTCCCGATAGCTCCAAATTCGAGCCTCGTACCTCTATAGCGTCTTTTGCGATTCTGTCCTCCAAATTGTCTCCTGTCATTGTCAGCCATGGTGCCGGTCTGCAAATTATTGCTTGAGAAAAGGCCGTTTCTGTGATTGCACAACAAGAAAAGCAACCATGATCTTGGATCTTGCCCGCAAACATCTACGCTACACGTCGCGAGGAGGTATGGAGCTAACAGACGGACACGGTGTGCTGCCTCAGGCACCAGCTACAGCCTGGCATAACCAACCATGAAAAATTAAAACACGCGTTTGCTCCAAATAGTTATGTGCGCATCATTGAAAAGAGTAACTACGGCAATAAATTGAATCAGAATGTTTTGTTTCCACAGACATCGACACTATGAGCACCAGTGAATTGCGCGCACATACAGACATGTCACCCACATAAACAACCATTGAACGCCTCAACTAGAAACACAACCTGAATTCATTTTGGTATATCGAATATGCAGCCAATTCCGACCTGCAATGGCATTATGGTATACAAGCGGCAGGCTTGCGCCACTTTGTCGTTAGAAATGCTTATCGGTATAATTGCTCTCCGCCTTGAAATAAAATCCACCGTGCATAATTCATCATCCATAGCCAGCACATGAAGCAGAAGAAGTGCTGTTACCAACAGATCTCCGACGGTTAACGCTGCTTCGAATTCATCACAATCGTGGCCATCCAAACTTGATGCAGCTCATAAACAAAGGAAGAAAATGGACATGAGGCCTGCTCCTTGGTTGGTAATGCCTTGCAGAGCCACCAACAGCTGTCAAGCCGCAATGGCGCAAGACCCATCCGAAACTAGAAGAATTCGTTCAAGCCGCTTAATCTCCACGCTGTGAGGATAACAAGGCCACCAGGCATGCAAATAATGAAACAGAGTAACCGTCGTTCGTTTGAAACATGCAACTTCGTCAACCAACGCTGGGGTTTTGTGGGAGCTCCATCTGCTGCAGCTTTTCATCGGGCGTTCCACCACAGTCAAGCCAGTTCACCCGAGAACATCTCCTAGACTGGTGCTCTATGTTGACTTTGCTGCCGGGACCAGGCTCAAGACGGAGCATCGGACGTGAATCTCACCATCCCGCGAGGTTTGGCCGAGCCGCCCAATTACTAGGCTGAGCAGGTCAGTGGCAGGTTTCGTCAAAATTGTCGAGAACAGAGCTTGCATGCGGGGAGAGGGGGCTTTCCCCGCTGCCACGCAAAGCTTCGAACCAAGTGGCTAGCCAGAGCATGTTGGCAAGAAAGACAAGAGAAAATCAGCACCAGGAACACTCAAGGCGCTCAATCAAGTTTAGCCATCATCTCCTGCTTCGGCATCGGGGTAAAGTTATCGATATCGAGACCTCGTGCAGCGAGAACAGAACGCTGGTGGGGGGGGACTAATTGGCTGTTCAGTTCGGTGGCGATAGACAGCTCTTTAAAGTAATTAGTATCTTTCAAAGGAGAGTCAGGGAAAGGGGGCGATGCGCTTACCGTGACGAGTAAAATTGAAGAGCTCGGGAAGATCGCGGAGCTGACCCGTGCCGTGTCTGGAGTCAGGCAGCTTCGTCTCGGGATCGCGCAGCTCATCAAAGAACGGGTGGACCATGGCATTGACGGCAGCCTCTCTCTCGGTAGGTGTGTATTCGAGCAACTTGGTGATGAGATCAATGGCGTTCGCATCAGCCTTGCGGAAAACCTTGTTGAAAGGGTGAGGCTTAATCTGGGGGAACTTGTGTTCCATATAGTTGGGGTTCATGGTGCGTATCTGTTCTCTAGTAGGCGTGCCCAGGACTTTGATGATTTCGACCAATTGATCAATACCAGATTCGCCAGGGAAAAGGGGTTGACCAAGCATCAACTCAGCCATGACACAACCTGTCGACCAGACATCTATGAGAGGGTAAATCAGCACGCTGCACAAAGTAGTGTTGCGTCTGTGTGTTCTTACCAATCTTGGTGGTGTAGTTTGTGGCGCCGAAGATGAGCTCAGGGGCGCGGTAATATCTCGAGCAAATGTACGAGACATTAGGCTCATTCTCGACGAGAATCTTTGCACTGCCAAAATCGCAAAGCTTGAGGATGCCGCTGGTGGGATCGAGAAGGAGGTTTTGAGGCTTGATGTCACGATGGCAAATGCCTTGCGAATGGATGTAGGCGAGGGCGCGGAAAAGCTGGTAAATGTAGAGCTTGACCTCCAGAATGGGCATGGTCGTCTTCATCTTGTTGAAGAATCGCGATGCTCGGTAGACAGTCTCGGGAACGAATTCCTGGACCAAGTTGAGGTAGACCTCATCCTTCTGTACATGGGACGTTTAGATTGTGTGAGAGAATGGCGATGGAGTGTGGGGGTGCTTACTCGTTCGCCGTTTGAGTAGTAAAAGGCCTTGAGCTGGACAATGTTGGGATGACGGACAATACGCATAATCTGGAGTTCGCGGTTCTGTCGAGGCTTATTAGGGTATTGCCGTCTTTTTCTCCTCCGTAAAAGGAAGATTGAGCGGGCAGAGAGGCATACCTTGAAACGTTTATCTTGCAGAACACGCTTGATGGCGGCATCCTCGCCGGAAGGCGAGAGCTTCGTCTGGAAGACGACGCCGAAAGAACCATTGCCGACAATCTTACACTGGGTATACTGAAGCTCTCTGGTTTCGCCAGTTACTCCATCTTGAACGCGCTCACGGATGACTTCTGTGAGGGGGTCAGTAGGTGGTCAGTAGGTGCAAAGGGGCCGGTTTCGCTCGTGGCGACATGAGCCACAAATTGGGTTGGCTTACCTCCCATCCGTAAACTATTGAACGCTCCAGGTCGCTGCGATGACATGCTGCAGATGTTTAGGCCAATTGACGATTCGAATACTATTGAGCGCAAGTGCAGGACCGGAAGTGCGGTATATCAAGGGGTTGGGTGGCTTTAGTGGGAGCCGTGTTGGGCAGCAGGGTCCTTCGAGACCCGTGTCAAACTAGTACGTTGCGACGCAACGTATGCCTCCGAAACTTGGGAGACGTGAGTATATGGAACAAAGACCGAGCTGCTTCGGACGAAGGACTGTTAGCGGATCGGCTCGACAGAGACGTCGTGATATGAGGCAGAGAGGCGACGAGGCAGCAAAGGGCAAGGGGGGCCGAAGCCGCAGAGATGCGACAAATTTAATCAGAAGAGGGCAGAGAAAACGAAAAAGAGGCAATCAGACGCCGCGACGAGCGCGCAGAAGAGGCAGATGGAGATGCGATTGAAAAGTGCAGACCAGAAGGGAATTAACCGTGGTATGCAAAGGCGATTGTGGAATGATGATGGTTGGTAAGGTTGGTCAGGGACACTTTGGCTGGGGCTGGGAGCTGGGAGGGGCGCGAGTGCGATGCGGGGCATTACAGCGTAATGTATGGGACGTGGGATTGGAGCTCGTCGGCATGCAGAAGCTATGCGTCGCAAGCACAACAGTCCATTGGGATTCAAACAGCAGGCTTGAGGCGCAAAAAAGACGAGCAATGAGTGCGTGGAAGGGTGCTTGAGCGCAACAGAGGAGCGGCGGAGAAGAAAGCGGACTGCATGTGAGGGCGGTGATGAGAAGCAACTTACCAGCACAAGGCACAGAATGGGGGCGAGCAGCAGCAACGGCGACCGAGGAGCTGTACGGGACAAAGAATGGACAAAAATGGCGTCTTAAAAGGGCACTGGACAGTAGCGAGTACGCAGGTGACCAGGAAGATATGCACGACTAAAGGATAAAACCAGCAGCAGCGGAGGTTGGCTCAATCAGGTCCCAGGCGGCGAGAATGTAGTCGGGGTTTGGGCGTAGCTAGAGCTGTCTGCTTTTGTTATTTGCGTCGATCGAATGCGGCTGGTGCGTTGGGGTTCGACGAGGGACAGAGGCAATGCACACTGAGTAAACGGTGGGCAACGAGGTGGCGTTGGTTGTTTGGACGGACGTTGAGGAAGAAGCGACGTGTAGATGCGCTCACGAGAGAAGGTGGTATTTTTTCATTGGAGTTGGAGGGGGAGGGAATATTAAGCTGGGAGACGGAAAACGGGGGGCGGTGGTCGTCGGGCAGGCTGGTTGGTAGGCTGGTAGGCTGGCAGGCTGGTATAGCTTAGTAGGTACCTAGTGGTAAGAGGAGGAAGCCTAGTCCGCGTGGTACAGAGGCGATCAAATTGGTAGCCAAGGAACCTCTACAGGTAGGATGGTAGGTGACAAGGAAAGTACCTCGACAGGTACCTGCAGCGAGGCATTAGTCGGCTAGCGCGGTGGGCTTCAGTGGTCAGCACCCCTGACCTGGGCAGCCTGGCAGGCTTGGGTAGAGACCTGACAGCGCTGGGAGCGGCGGACGAGGCACTAAAATTGGGCTTCCATCCACTGGGCTGCATAGAGCGACACCCACTGTAGAGGCACTCCGTACGGAGCCCGGGGAGGGGGATGCTATTCGTAGAATAGCTGGGTGCGTACCCCAGTGCATGCGGTTGGTGCGGGTACAACTGAGCCAGGTGATGTGCCTGTCAAGGGGGTACATGGGGCTTTGCTGACAGTCTGGGCCAGTCTTCGTGTACCAGGCGGACAGAGAGTACAAGGCCGAGGGTCCCAAGAGGCCCAGCGGGGGCGCTGGCCAGAGTGGGCTTTTGTTGTTGCTCCCTGTGCAACTGTGCAAGTGATTGACTGACGGACTGACTGGGGCAGCAGCATCTTGGGCTTTTACCTAGTACTAGGTAGTACTAAGGTACCTACCTACCTTTACCTTTACCTAATAGTACCTACTCAGGTGGTGCTCATGTGCCCATTTTTGAGACTCGCCCTGCCCGCACAAGCTCGGCAGGCCAAAGTTAAAACACGCCTCCCGTGTCAAGCGGGAGCCCGAAGAAGAAAAAAGAACTGAATGGCTATTATTTCTCTGATTGGTGGTCTCTTCGTGAGCCTAATACTCTGGCTTTTGGGCTTTATACATCGCCCTTTGTCGGCCTCCTGTTTCAACCCGGATCATTTAGGTTGCCTACGTAATAATGGGGAGAAGTACCTATCCATCTAGTAATTGTACAGGAACATGATAGTAGTAAATGATACCTAGCTACCTACCTGTGTAGGTATGTAGGTAGGTAGGTACTTAGTACCTGGGTGTTAGTTTGTCCCTTTCTTGCTCTCTTTCTTACCTGGGTACCTTATACTCTTTCGCCTCGCCAACGTCCTTCTGCTTATACTGACACCACCTTATAACCAACTTGGCGTCGCATTTCTGCAAATTCTCGTATACTTTTCTCTTCCAGTTATTAGTTACCTGTCTTTGTTCCTGCTTCATCATTTATCGCTCACCACAACCATCCTTCTTGTCTCTCTTTACCCACCCTACGTCTTCCAATGAGGCGTTTGCTGACCGTCCTCCCCTGCCACCCCCTCCATCAGTCGTGTACAAGTAAAGTTGCAAATTACCGGACCAGAGAAGATTTGTAGAAATCGGAGTGGTGCAGGGATGAGCAGCCCAGCCAGTTTATCTCGAATAAATGCATATTAATACTAAATAGAAAAAGTGTCCCTCCCTAGGTACCTAGGTACACAACCAGCTGCTCTGTCCGGAGAGACACATCCGGTGGGGCCTCCGTTACAGCGCCCTCACTCCCTGGAACCACGAAAGGCCAGTTGCCCGATGGCTTCGTGAGACCTCGACAGCGTCTCCGTCGTTTGCAAGGCAAGTGCACGCTGCCAGCTGACAGCTGCCCCTGCCAAATTTTCACGGACAAGTCTTCGCCTCATTTTCTGCTACTTCAGCTTTGCACCTCCATCAGACAACTCGTCTACTATGCCCCGGAGCATTTTCCAGTCGCGCTTATCCAACTCGCTCACTCCATGTCTGCCAGCCGCCTACTGCCACACCACCAGCTGCCTTGCCACCCTGCCCGTCCATCACTATCCAGCCGCTCGTCTACGGAGTAAGCATCTACTCCGTACCAGCTTTGCATCGACCTCCATTTCCAACTAGTTAGTTACCAGGTTCTCATTCCTGTTCGTTTCAAGAGCCAATCGCCAGTGGCAGATGCTGTCGCAATGCCAGAAAAACAGGCACATCACAAGGTCTCTCAGCTCTCCAAGTGGAGTCCTCATCCGTGGCGCCTCCAATTATGGCACTAGGCTTTGCGCTGATCAAGAGATGTGCGGCGCTGACAACCTTGAGCCTCCCATACGTTGTTACGCTCTGAGATATTGCTTCGCCGCCGGTCCCTGGCCGCCGGCGCCGGCGCCAACGCTACCCTCTGACTTGTCTCTGACCTGTCTCTCTACCCGGACCTGCACATGGCCGGCTATAACAGTCTACCATTGTGTCCGTACGACGTGACCATTCAAATGCTAGACAATATCATCAAGCGCTAATAATCTAGAACACAGGCTGTTCGAAAAGATAAAACGATCGGTTATGGGTGGTCCCCTCACCTTGCAGGCTTGCAAGTTCCCTCGCCTCAACACACTTTGGACCAGCTGCCCCGCCTGAGTCTTTGCCCCAGGGCAGAAAAGCTAAAACGGGATCTGTCTTGCTCCCTGCCGCGACATCAAGATGTGCCAGCAAGGACCAGGGGTTGTCGGTCACCCGCTTTGGCATTGCAGCCATTGTCACCTACAACCCACGAGATTGTACATACTGATAGTTCGTTCCGGTAACTAATAATGCTGCCAGCACGGCTCGGCGAGCTCTCTTTTTGCTCTCTAGCCATTGGCAGCCAACGGCCTCGCCTCGCAATAAGGCCGGTGGAGAGTTATTGCCCGCAGAAGATGCATCGGCGGGGCGTGGATACGTGTGGTGGATCTTAGATGGCTTCAACATGCCTGCAGACCTGCAAGTTATGCTCCTCCTCCGTCGAACAGGACCTGACCAACTGACCTACTTCGAACGCTCCAGCTGGTTGATTGGGGGGCTTGATATTGCGAAACCACCACCTTGGGACATGGCCACGCCGTCTGCCGGGGCATGAGGCCTCGTGCCCTAATGCCGTATCCACTGCCATGATCCATCTGTGCCACCGGCTGGTGGAGTGCGCGACTTGCCTGGTTGTGCATGGCTTCGCTTCAGGGATGTCCGAACCTTGTGTACGAGTCTTGTGCGCTGCAATTGATGCTGTGTGCGACGGCTCATGTACTCGCATCCACCATGTCTGCAAGACCTCTGCGCATCACGAGACACTGAGTGCATTTCAAAACACGGCGGCACATGCACGCGCAATCCGCTGTGCTGTTCAGAATTCAGTCTAAAATGCCCCACGCTTGTCAATTCTCGAGACGATTGCCGCCCTCAACAGCCAAAGAAACGCCTGATGCAGAGCGGTACAGACCAAGGCCAATTGGCACACCACGACGCGGGGTCGCGAAATAGCTATCACGACCATTATTATAGTGCATGGCGTCGAAATGGTGGTGGGCACAACGGGCGCGGCGCGCCGGTAGTGTTGCGTGGACAGAGCCGGTCACACTGGGGCTCGACGTCATGCTCCGCCTGTCACAACAACATTCCGTCTTGGAGTGGAGGGGCAAAGCTCTGGGTCGACTCTTGACAGTTGTGCACCGCACACAGAGCAGCTAGTAATTCGACAATCACATGGGACATTCCTAGGAGCTCAAGGGCTGGAGGGCGAGCAGTCTGCAACATGGAAACTCGGTACAATCCAAACAACTGCCTTGGCCTTTTCCTCTTGAAATACTGGAGGCTCTGGGTCGGGCAGTGGCTGGCGGCACCGAAAACACTAGAGCAAACCAGCCAGAAAGTTATCCTCCGCTTTCGCAACATTTCTGGACTAGAAGGTCGCTGCACCACTCAGATTGAATGTCTGGGGATAAAAGGTGGAATGAGAGGTGGTCTCATGACCAGACATGACCAGACCCATGCAGCGCTAACGCCCGGATTTGACTCTGGAGCTAACCAGGGCCACTGAGAAGAACCACCACTGGGAACTCATCGCCGTCTGATCAAAAAGATGCTCAGAAACAGGCACTTGGAAGGATTGCGTCGTACTAACTAGTTACCAACCCCGAAGCAGTTGTCCATAGACGCCATGACGAGTGTTGGGTTGCTCCCGGGTTGCTGCCCGGCATGCACACTGAATTGCACCACCATTACGACTTCCTGCTTCTTTCCTTGGTCGTGGCGTGAACTGGCTCGCCTGTATTCGTCTCCTCCGACCTCCCAGCACCTAGCGGCGACCTAGGCCCACCAGCGCGCCAACCATGTGTTGCTTATTTCCTCCTCCACATGCTCGATTACCTCTCTTTTGGTCTGACATTGACGACATGGCTCTTTACCCGTGTAAACTTCCCGCCAATGGTCATCACTGGGCTGATGCAAGAAATTCACTTGCAGCCGAGGAAAGCGAGGCACTCTGCCAACAAATGCCTCAACAGATGCATGCTTTTGCAGCGGCGTGGTGGTAGGGGGTATGCAGATAGGCACTAACAAAAACGCTAGGCTGCCGACTTGCCAAATCTCGATTGGACACCTATTATGGCAAGAATTGCAAAGCACCTCCGAACCTGGGTGGCGTCGGCGAGTCACCGAAATAGTGTGCTTGATATGGCTTATACCCGAATGGTTGAGCGCCCAGCTGTCTGGATACCGCGGAGGCACGGCACGATCAGCCCTGCACACGACACACTTATATCACGACAGCATCACGCTGTCTCTGTAGTTCCATTAGGAGGCTCATTTGACAGGTTAGCTTATGAGTCCAACTCGGAAAGTCGATACAAAACGCCTCCCACAATCTCTTGCCACAACCTAATGTCTCTACGGAGTAGCAAAGACCTCTGTGCAACTTCGTCCGGCCTCAGGCATTGGCCAGAGGTTATCACAGAGGCAATGCCCGGAGCCTCACCTTCGGCCTGGGATTTGTATCTCGTCTGCAACCCTGCAAAGATCCATCTGTCATGCGGCCGGAAATGCGGCCTACAACGTAGTGCACCCGCTGCAGCCGGCTCCATTTGCCCACTCCCGGTGGTGAGGGCCGGCCGGCCGAAATGCAGATGGCCATGTGAGCAGTGCTGTACGAGCCGCCCCTCCCCTCATATAACCTGACAAACGGGCGTATTGAAAACCGGTGGCCCCATTGCACTTCATCTCAGACAGAAGAAATGCACCCACCGATTGCTGCAGATGCCTTGTTTGGGCGACCATTCCAGGCTTCGCCGACCATGTTTCACCAGAAGCTGCCTAAATCGAGGCGTGATCAGCCTCACGCCAACCAACCAACGTCTCTTTTGGCTGCAGGGCCAGCCGGCGGACGTCCGACCATGAGGGTGCCACCACCCAACCAGCTGATGAATTGTGGCCTACAAGCTCATGCCATCAAGAACCAGGAGGACACATGTTTTCGCGGCAGCCAAGCCCCCTTTTCATCCACTCAGCGAGGTCAGCAACGCACCACCCTAACCCATGACCCCTGCCGCCGTTCCTGATCTTGTGATGCCTCAAATTCTTTTAATTAATAAAGGAGCACTGGAGCAGGCCACGGTTACGCACAGCCTTGAACCCCTTTTTCTAACCTGTCTCAGGCTAATTGGGAGGGATTCGTATGTACTGTTCGGGAAGCTTCCTTGCCCTCGTTGGTCCGCCCCCTGCGTTGGTCCAAAGCTGGAGTTGTCGGCTCGTTGGCTGACTACCTCTTACATCGCGATTCGAGTCCGGTTCTCGGCTACCCTAGTATTGGGAAACTGCTAGCTAATTCAGATCATGATATTAAATTTTCAATAACCAATGGCTCAAGTCAAACGAGCACGTGGCCGTCCACAGCGAGCCTCGTCCTATCAAAACCTCATATCGTCAGGTACACTCAGTTTGAAAGATGGAACTAATTTAATCCAAGGCTGTCGTCTTACTACACCCTTGCTCTACGCTTGCCAACTGATCTGGGCGAGCTAACGAACTTCCGTAGACTTTATCCACCACCCTCGCGGAGCCTCAACACCTCAGGACCACTACCCCTGTATCACCGATGGCCTTTTTGAACACTTTCTTCGGACGCTTCAGCCCGCTAGCTCCAGCCACAGACGTCAAATCCTGGCTACAAAAGTGCTCACATGGCCCTCTTCCCCTGCTGCATCGCATGCTGTGTTGCAAGCCCTGCTCGGCGCATCTCTGCCGGGTGTGTCATGCACGTCGAGCTGCATTCGAGGTTTTGTGTGCAAGGCGAGAATTCCCGTCCACCTTGCCTAGAACGCTCATTCTAGCGTATTTTGGGATGACCAATTGCAGAAGCAAGACGTCACATGCCCTTGAAGAGAAATGAAGAAAAACGTACGTGTGCCGTGTGTCACAATGGGTGGCGTTCTCGGGTGTGACGTGACAACCACGGGTAGATATCTAAGACATGAGATGAGAACAAAGAAGAAGGATACGGAAACGGGGGAGATGGTGTTCATGCGCCATTGTTCCAAATAAGGAATCTTATCGAGCCAAGGCCGGTGGCAAAAGATGATGACGTTATTTGAAGAAGCAGAAGAAGAAAAATAATGAATTCGTAAAAAGCATGTCATCGTACGCGTCATTTCTGCACTCTCTGTACTACAGGCGTCTTTTCAGCTAAGAGGTCCGGGAAAAAGGTGAAATCTTTTGCCATTCACATGGCACCTGATCCATCCCCGTTTCACGTCGCTCTCTAGTCCTCGTCATCCAGCTTATCTGCAACCGTGTCCTTGGACTTGTTGATGACCTTCTCCGGGGGCCTCTCTACAGGCGATGCCAACGCCGCCGCCGACTCGACCGGGCCCGCCGATGTGGCCGCGGCGACCACGCCGTCCAGGGGTGTCATCTGGCCACTCGCGGGCCCGCTGGGAGGCATGCTGCTACCGGCAGCGAGCAACTTCATGCCGTCGGGGGAGCCGGGTATCATTTCCGGGTCAAGGCCGGGGATGTGGATGCGGCGGGCCTCGTTTTGGTACGCGGCGGGAATGATTTCGATGATTTCGTCGCGCGGGAAGCGCAGCGCGGGGATCTCGACGGTCGAGCAGTGCATCAGGTAGGCGTAGAGCACGCGCAGGACGGATTCGTGGGCAATGATGAGCAGGTCATTTTGCTCACGCTCCAGCTCGAGGATGATGGGCTCGAGACGGACGGCGAGGTCGTGATAGGACTGGTGGGAGCAACGTGTTAGTGCGTGTGGTGAGATGTTGTGGTGAAGGGTGGGCTAGCGTACCTCTGCGCGGGGATACCGGTGGTGATAGGGGTCAACTTCATGCTTTTCGACTTCGTCGGGGTAGAGCTGGCGGATGACGCGCTCCGACAGCTTCTCGCAGATGCCTGGGTTGAGCTGGCTCATCTGCGATCGCTGCCGCACTTTGTACTGCAAGTCCCGCAGGGTGTCAGCGGTCTGGATGGTGCGCAGCCGTGTCGACGTCCACACCGTCAGCGGCGGCAGCGACGCGGCCGCCTCGCTCGACTCGGCGTGTTCCTGCTCGCGGTGCTTGAGGATCGTCTCCGTCATCTTCTTGGCGTACGCGCGGCCGGCGTCGGAGAGCGGTGCGTCGGCGCGGAACGAGTCTTCGTCCTCCGTGGTGCCAGCCCGGACGAAAAAAGTCTTGCGCGCCTTGATGTGCAGGTTGGTGAGATAGAAGACGATGCGGTGCGAGAGGTAGCTAAAGTTGACATTGTTGTAAAAGAATTTTTCGCCGGCATTGATCATTTTGATGTAGTTGAGCTCTTCTTCGGCCATGGTTTCAAATACGGGAATGCGAACTTCAATTCGCTTCAAGTAGAGCTTGGCGGCCTCGTCGGGATCCATTCCGGCAAACTTGATCACGTTAGTTCACCTAAAATGCTCAGGGCAGATGTGTTACATACGTCTGGCGATGAAATTTTGACATTTCTGGCGTTTTCCCGCAGGATGCGTTCGTCATCAACAAACGATTCAATGAAGAGAGTCTAGAACTGTTAGCAAGTTCACGTGTCGTGTTGGACAGCCCTCCTTACTTGAACGTCATGTTTGGCCAGCTCCTTAGCCAAGGAGCGGCGACCGCTTGCCGTTGGGTTCACTGCGTCGTAGATGGCGACTTGGCCGTTCTCGTGGTTGAGCCAGCCGTAAATGTCCTCGCGGCACTTTTTCAAGATTTTCTGACGAAGAATGACTGATTCAGCCGAAGCATTTGGAAAAAAGTAGTCTTTTGGCACGGCGCTTTCCGGGCCAATGGTGGCTCGTCGGTAGTCTCCCAGGTGGAAGATGCGTGTCTTGACACCTAGCCACCCAAGATATCGAGCTAGCGATACACAAACGTGGCTTAGAAGGTCAGCCAAATGAGGCGAAGATAAAGGGCGGCCGGAAATTCTTACGTCTTTCCTCTGGCGGGCGGCCCAACCATGACGATGGCTATCCGGCCCGAGTGGAACAGTCGACCAGACATGGTGCTGTAGAGCTGGGCCGGAGCCATATTCGAGTCCTCGACCACGTCATGGATGCCGTCAATAAAAGTCGAGCTTTTTCGACGATATCTAGGCGCATTTGCCGCAATCTCGGCAGTTCTGGTACAGTTAGCATGCGCTTGTCATCATTTCTAGGTCGCCAGGCTATCCCCCACGCGAGTTGCTCCGATAGCTGTACCGTCGGGCAAAGGCGGAATGCGACAGCTACAAGTCAAATTTTCCACGTACAATAAGGTGTCCATTATGAGGGCGAGAGAAGCTGGTCGGTCCCGCGGGTTTCAACGGCAGATTGTTGCCTGATAATGGTCAGTTGGGTTTACCGCCAAACGGCAACGGCTTTGAGCTGTCCCGTTGGTGGGGTGCCTGATGACAGAAGCTTAGTGCTACTTGGAGCAGCCTCGTCTTGGCCAAAAGAACGAAGTGTATGGGTGTCAACGAGGTTTCTGAATTTAAGTAAATGTGAACAGAAAAACGTGAAATCGCCTGACTAACGGCGAGACACCAAGGTCACAAGATCAAAAGACCAAGAAGACCGCGGTTCGTTTGCTTGTTGTCCAGGGTAGTCGCTCCATGCGTGGCGTGCATCAGGATCTCAGATTTTGGCGGGGCAGGCACATTAGGTAAGCCGACTCGAGATTCAACTTGCACCAACATGTCAGGGTGAAAGTCCCGGCAGAGCTAATTGACGCGGGGGACGATTCGCCTTCTTCAGCAAAGAAACAGGTAGTTGCAAACGAGGTCCTAGACTTTATTTGCATTGCCCTCTTTCAGGCCAGGTTGGGTCACCAGCACGTGCCTAGCCACAAACCCTCCCAAGCCCGGAGCGGAACATTTTAGACGCCGGCCGCCCGAGCCACTCATCCACAGTGTGGCTGGTACGCCGTCATCAGCTCTGGCGGGAGCCACCCTCGCCAAAGGCCTACAACCACTGAAAATTATTCTCCTGCTCTCCTGCCATCCCTAACTCATCCGAGCTTCGCCCATCCACCCCTTTGACAATCTGGCGTTTACGGCAACCAGAGACTTTCTTCCGCCTCCTTTAGGCATTCTCGCGATCTAGGCCTGTGGACTATATTTTTACTCGTCACCAGCGTGCATTGGTTCTGGACACCGTTCCCTTTATTTCCGCATTCCCCTTGCTGGTCGTCGTCGCTCCTCCCACATCGCCGCACACATCAAACCACCAGTCACAATGGCCGCCGCAGTCGAGTCCTTGCGCTCGATTCTCTTCTCAAACCCCATCGCGCTCACCCTCGGCGATGGGCTCAATTCCTTTTCAGAGCGCCGCGCCAAACTCGGCCTGGCCAACCCCGGCACGATAGAGCAGTTGAGCAGGGAGGTTCAGCGCGATGTCTTCCTCACCAACCACATGTTCACCGGCATCCGCGCCGACCTCACCAAGGCCTTTAGCATGTCCCCGCTGTTCCAGGTCTCGCACGGCTTTGCCATGGGCGAGAAGCTTAACCCCTACACCTTTGCCGCCATGTACGGCACTTCCAACGTATGTTGACCAGTCCCGTATTTCTCTCCACTTTGCGCTCTTGTACTCACCCATGTACAGGTCTTCTGCCAAGCCAACGTCGACAATGAGGGTTCCGTCTCCGGTCGCTTTAACCTCCGATGGTCAGACAAGCTCATTTCCAAGGTCCAGGCCTCCATGTCTCCCGATAACCAGGACATGGCCCAGTTTGAGCACGAATACACGGGCAACGATTTCAGCGCCAACCTCAAGATGCTCAACCCTTCCTTCCTCCAGGGCGGCGCGACCGGAATCTATATCGGTAGCTACCTGCAGTCCATTACCTCCAAGCTTGCGCTCGGTCTCGAGACTGTCTGGCAGCGCCCCTCTCTGAGCCAGGGCCCTGAAACCGCCGTTTCCTACTGCGCCAGATACAAGGCTCAAGATTGGGTCGCGACTGCTCAGCTCCAGGCCGCCATGGGTACTCTCAACACTTCTTTCTGGAAACGGATCTCCGACCGTGTCCAGGCTGGCGTTGATCTGACTCTCGGTCTCGTGCCTTCGGCGGGCATGATGGGTGGTGGTCTACAGAAGGAGGGTGTAGCTTCTGTTGGCCTCAAGTATGACTTCCGCATGTCTACTTTCCGCGCCCAGGCCGACTCCAACGGCAAACTCAGCTGTCTTCTCGAGAAGCGTGTGGCGCCTCCTGTCATGATGACCTTCGCTGCCGACATCGATCACTTCACGCAACAAGCCAAGCTTGGTCTCGCTGTGTCTATCGAGGCTGCTCCGGAGGAGCTCCAGGACCAGCAGGAGGCGCTTACCCAGAACGCCCCCAACATTCCCTTTTAAATAACGGTCTTACTCCTATGGTAGTCCTCCCAACGCAGCGATCCTCGGCTCTATCTAAACCCCATAATCAACATTTCAGCAAGCCCGAAAGCCGCGAAAGAGGCCCATCCTTCTTCTCTGTTGTCTTATTACTTCCCCCATCACCTTGTGCTTTTAGTAACGAATGATGGCTCCTCGCTTTTTCTCCTGCTGTGGGTGCCTGCTTACGGACGTTTCATCACCTTTAAAATAGACTTGGGCGGCGCGGGAATCTCCATCTGTTGTATGGCCAAGCTCACCGAATGATTGTCGAGCCACTGTATATTACACTCCTCTTTTATTGTTATTTCTTTGTCTCCTTGTTCTGCTCCGTTTTGGACAGAGCGAAAAGGTCTACGTGGAGGAAAAAAGCATATTTGTTGGCACATATTTGGGATTCTTTTCTTTTGGAAAGAAACCGGGGGCGGATTTTGATTCGATGGAGACGGCCGCTGGCATCGAATTGTATACCAGAAAGCATGACGGGTGTGCAATAGCCCAAGAGACGAAGAAGAGAGGCGGGCGAGGAAGAAGATGCCACAAAACGCAACAAAGCTTTATAGAAAGATTCAATGAAGACGTTAATTCACAATGTACGATCAACACTTGAAACAGAATGAAGGCTTGCATTCACAGGAGGGTTATTAGACCATGCCCGGTAAAACATGCCGCTTGCTATGAAGAACAGAAGTAGTTGCGCTTTTGGTTCTGGTTAACATACTCTTGGGAAACAATGAAGAATTGAAGTTATAGGAGGGGTATCTAGACCATGCCCTGTAGAGTATGCAGATGCTGTAGAATAAAGAAGCAGTGCGCCTTTGGTCAATGCGTGTGACCATGCGGGAATCCAACAAGTTGTTTCCTCTGCTCTAGGCTGAGTTTTTCTTGCGTATCCAAATGACATAGGGATGGCGCAACTAGGAAGAGCGGCAAAATAAAAGAAGCAGACAGAGCTCTCGGCTCCTCCCAAGCTCTTGCATCCGCATGATATATATAATCTGAAAAGAAACGCAAACATCCCATTCCCTCCTCTTGCTCTTCTCTAGTCATTTACCAATGCAACATAATTGTACTCAAAACGCCATTCAAGTTTCATAATTCTTCATCAACATTCGTTCGTCGTCAGCCGTTACATTAGGACGCACTCTCGATCTGGCTGGGAGCTATCCTTTTGCTTGCTAGGCTTGGGCGTCTTTTCCCGCGTCTTGCTCTTGCGCCGCGACTTGCTGCGCTTCGACTCAGTTTCTACCGCGGTGACCGAGGTAGCAGCCGCCGTGGTGGCTGTCGAAGGCGGCTGCGGGAGGCCGTCGGCAACGGCGGTGGCGTTGCGAAAGACTTCAAAGCTGGCGTTTCTCGGCGAGGGCGATCCTAACGGGGTCGTTCCTCTCTCCTCGCCGCCGATTTCCATACTCGACAAGGCGTCCCTATTCTGCTTCATGAGACCGCCAAGGCGAGATATCGTCAAACTAATGCGTCCCTCGCCAGACTGGCTACCGGGCCGACTCTGACGGCCGAGGTTGAAGCGTGATGCGGCGCGCGAAAGACGGGGCGTCCTGTTGTCGCTGGGAGAGATGACGGGAGAATTCGCCTCTGGTGTGCGGGTTGGCGTCATGCTTGGTGTGACGACAGAAGATAGGGTAAAGTTTGCGCTGTCGCGCCGAGACTCGGTAGGTACCGAGTTAGAGACTGAGGGTCGCGCGGACCGATCGACGGCCACGGCCGCCGGTCGTTCGTCATCCATTGACAGGCGGATGCTGGGTGGCTTGCTCGGGAGAGAGAGGCCAGCATCGGTTACTCGAGAGCTTTGCATCTCTAGACTGATCTTGGATTCCTGGTAGGATGGCGGGCCGGTGGCGGTGCCGTCTGTCGAGGGGCAGGCTACTTCCAACATAGGGACAACCTGATAGAAGAGCAGATAAGGCATCTCTTCGGTGAGAGACTTCTTGATGTTGTCGACCAAGCTTACGCGGGGTTCCTCGAGATCATCGAATTTGACCCATTGGGCTTCTTCATAATCCGGGGGCGGATCGAAGCTATGACGTCTGTTGGAAGTGAGAAGTTTAGGTGCGGCTCTTGCAAAGGCAATGTAGTGTCCACTCTGGAGGGCGTCACCACGATGACAAATGACAGATTGCAGCACAAGTTTGAAGTCTGAGGTTAATGGGGATTCATCGGAGTTTGTGTCGGGGCCGTCGGCGAGCATGAAGTGCGGCAAACGAAGGCTGTCAGGAATGTCGATATAAGTGTTGTGTCGTTGTGGCTGCCCAGTCTCCGTCATGGCATAGCGCTTCAGACAGATGCCAACGACAGGGCGCTGTTCAAAATTGAGTGCGACTTCAGAGTTACTGCGAGGCTCATTTGCTCGAACAGCGTGCCAAGCTGTGACGGTTAGCCCGGGTTCGCTAGATAGGTTTGTGAGGCCGAGGTAAACTCACGAATAAGTCGAAAGAATTGCCAAGCAGGTATAGTCACGGCTTTGACCACCATAGAGCCTTTTCGCCTGAGCTTACGAGCGTAGTCGGCATCGGTGCTTGTTGGCTTTCCGTCCTCATCGAGAACGATCCTCTGGATGATGCTTGTAGATCTATTTCTCAAGGAAAGCCGCTTTGGAATTGCGGATGCATCAAGTCTAGGTACCTCATCAAGAGACACTCCCGTCGACGTAGCCGGCCGCTCAAGAGGGGTAAGGCCGCTTGCCACTGATGATGAGCTGGGGAATGGGTGCAGCGGCGACAGATCCACAGGAGAGGCACTGAGACTTGCGGAGTCACCTTTCTCCTCGGGTCGAACCAGTCGCAGCGTGTTTTGGCGGAGAAGAGTAGGGGTATCAGGGCCCCTGTCCTCAGACATTGACTTTTTGGCCTCTTCGCTATCCCGGAGTACATCGACCTGGGCGTTGAAGTATTCTTCAAGGCAATCTTCGAGCCTGATGCTCTTGCCATTCTGATTTGGCGGGACAGCTAGGTTCAGTAGCCGTTCGTAGACGACCTTGTGGTCATCTGTGTCCTTTTTCCCTTGATGAAAAAGATCGACTTGTAGGGATAGTAGTGGAAGTTGCAGAGTCTCGGTCAGAAAAGCGAAGGCTTCAGATGTGTCCTGTTGTTCCAATAAGCGGGCGTCCGGCCACCCGCTGTCGCCCATAGCTTCTTGAATTAAGCGTGTCTGCTCGGTGTATTAGCGTGATGTTGCATGTATGTACTCAGTTTTGCGTTGACGGCCACCTACCAGATCGATCTTGATGAGCTTGCCAGACCGAAGCATATTCACCCATACTCGGAGGAGGTTGACAAGCTTCGCCTTTGGATCATCAGGTGGAAAGTCAGTTTTGAGCATGCAATCGAACGCATCAAGCTTGCAGAACATGGAAAAAAGGAGAGCGTCGAGGTAGCAAGTAACACCGCCTCGGTTTTCCGCGCCGAGCATTTGCACATTCCGATTGTAGGGGACGATTGTGCCGGCAGCGGATTTCTGTTCGATACTTATGTATTCGGCGATATCTTTGGCGTCGCCGTCGCCGAATCCGGTACCGAGCATGCCTTTAATATGTTCACTGCTGACATTGGTAATGCTGAGCTCGTCGAGGCGGCGAAGTACTTCCTCAACCTAGAATGTATTAGAGGTCTGCGGTTCTGGTGATCATTGTGGTAGGAAGCTGAAAATAATTACCTTGGTGTCTTCTTCAGCCTTGCCGGCTGCATCCCTTGACTTGGTATCGCGGCTGAATAGAGCAAAGAAGGCCTCGGTCGATTTGGGTCGGCTCTGGGAAGCGAGAGGCGTTAGCAGGAGGCTGGCCACTTGGGAGGTAAACAAAGAAACACCAATAGTACCTTCGAAGGCGGCGCCGACTTGCTTCTGTTATGTGAGGGATTCTTGTCCCGAAGGCTCAAGAATTTGCGAGGAAACTCCTTCATGGTTCTATTTACACCCTGAGCTGCGGTATTGTCGAGGAGGATGAGGGTTGTTGCGGTACGCGATGCCTCGCAGATCTTAGCGAGGCAGCCAGAGACGATCAATAGTCATGATCCAATAGACGCGAAACCAGGCAACTTGTCTATATGAGCTAGATGGACAGCGTCGTCAATGGCGCGCGATGCAGGACTGGTCGGTGGTAGAGTAGCGCTTGCTGGCCAAAGTTTCGGTGGTGGGTGGCTGGGTTCGGGCCTAAACAGGCGGGATTGATGCTGATGCGAATGTCCAAGTATGAGAGAAATGATAATAGTGAGGGCTGGTGAGCTGGGTGCGGAGTGATGTTCTTGGCGGGGAGTATAATGGGAGCTTGTTGTCATCGCGAGGTTTCAAGGGACCAGCAAACGATGGAACTCGGCAAAGCGAGGCAGGTGGGGGTGGGTTGGTTGTTAGGCTTATTTTTAGCGGGGGTTTTATTTTTTGGAGCATCAGGCGAACTGAGTCCACTGACAACCTTCAACCTCTTTGTAACAAATAATTTCTGGGGCAGCATTAGAGAGAGGTAGATGTCATTCTTTGTCCGTCAAGTTTGGTTGGCGACAGTTGCGGATTGCTAGGTCAGCGCATACCACGGCGGCAAACTAAACCTGGTACCTCCAGCCACTGGCTTACCCTACCTAAGTAGGTAGGTAGTGACGCTCCCACCTGATGATCTCCTGGCCAGCTTGCTGTGTGACCTGCAAAATCGTCAAGCCCGCATCTATGTACGGAGTACGCAGAAGCCATGTGCTCCTGGCCGGCCGCGTCAGTTGCTGACGCCAACAATACCCCCTACCTCCAGGCAGCCAGATTTGGAACTCCTGGTTTACCAAAAGCTCGCTTTGCCACATAGGCATTGCTTCTTGGCCGTTCCAAGTTTTAATTTTCCATTATTCTAATTCTAATATTCTTTTGCTCACAACCACATTCAGGTCTCAACGAGTACTACTATAATTCCGAAATTTGAAAATACGAAAAGAGAAATTAATTAGTCACAAAAGAAGCATGACTTGCAACTGATATCTCTTTCTTCTGTGAAGACAGTTAGCACCGCCACACTAGCCGTGGCTGACTCCACACCAGCCACATCACGCAGCTTCTAGTAAATTTGCAGGCTTCCATGACCACAGACCACACGAGACTTGGAAACTCCTCTGCAACGCCCTATTCACAACCAAACGCCAGACATTGTCGCCATGGCTGGTGCACGCCAAGGAATGCGCGCGCTTAGAGCCGTAAGCGGCAGGCAATTGAGCCAACAGACCGCCCAGCCGTGCGCTCGCCGCTTTGCCTCGTCCTCGACGGCTTCCCAAAGCCCCTTGGCCGCCATTGAAGAGTCGACGTCGTTTTCTACGCCGGGACCCGACGACAACGCCGTCAAGTCCTTCCAAGAGGCCAAGGCCAACAACCAGAGAAATAAGCAGCTACCTGGCAGTCGGTGAGTGGCTTTCCTCGACTCGTCCTCTCTTATATGCAACCTCCCTTTCCTCGCATCGCACATGCATTACCTCTCTTCACGAACAAGATATTTTTAACCATTGTCATGTAGGTACCAATTCCACCCTCCCAAGTACAACCGCGGACCTCTCCACCCCATCCAGTCACCGCCCTCCTCCGACCCGACGGCGCGAGACTTCATCCCCGGGCCGTTCAGCCTGCCGCGGCTCAAGCACACCTACGACAGCACGATTGCGCCGGACCTGATGACGCTCACGTATGCGCACAAGCCGCCGGGCTACGAAGCACCGGAGTCGACCAAGGGCGAGCTGCGCACGTGGGACGGCTCGTCGCCGTACCACAAGAACCGTCCACGGCGCGGCCCGCGCGGCGGCCAGTCGGGCCGCCTCGGCCTCGTCGAGCGCAACATGACCTGGCACAGCCTGCCCGAGATCACCGCCGTCACCGTCAACTCGTATGCGCCGCAGGCAGCCGAAAATAAGGAGTACCTGGACGTGGCGCGCGCCGTGGTGCAGGCCATCACCGGCGAATTCCCCGACGTCACGCGCACCCGCTCCAACGTCATCCACTGGGGCGTCCGTAAGGGCCAGAAGACAGGCGCCAAGGTCACGCTCCGCGGCGGCGCCGCGTACGAGTTTGTCGACAAGCTGGTTACGCTCGTGCTGCCCAAGATCAAGGACTGGCCCGGCGTCAAGGGCAGCTCGGGCGACCGCGCAGGTAACCTGGGCCTGGGCCTGAACCCCGAGTGGATGTCATACTTTCCTGAGCTCGAGTATAACTTTGATGTATGTTTGATGTTGAATTTACGTATGTGTGTTGGATACTGACTTGTTGCCAGATGTACCCGCCTCACCTGATGCCTGGCTGCGACATCATCATCCAGACGACTGGCACCTCGGACAGACACGGACGTCTTTTGCTGGAGGCCCTGGGATTCCCGTTCTACGGCAAGGTTACGTACTGAACAACGTACTACGAGGAGCGAAAAAATTGGGGAAGCCGAACGTTGTCACTAGCATAAACATATCCCGTGTACCAACATTTGTATGTATCAACAAAATAGATTTGAAAATAGGATTCCATTCATTTTTCATATAAATGGACCTGGTATGTAATTGTCTAGTTTTGCACAAGTATGAACGCCCCAACACCAGATTTTATGCAGTTGTCCACCGTTTGTCTTGACGAATTGCATGGCTCAAGCAGCAGCCATGGCCTTTTCGCGCAGCGGCGTGATGATGGTGTCCACCGCCTCCATGTCCATCGCGTCCACCTTGTCCGCCGGGTGCCCCGCGGCGACGAGCTCGACGACGGCGGCGTCCAGCGCGGGCTGGTAGTTGCGAATGGCCGAGCTGAGCGCGTAAACGGCTTTGCGACGGACCGTGTCCGTCTCGTCGGGACTCGTTGCCAGCGCCACGAGCGGCGGCACCCCGCCGACGGCGAACAAGCGCTCCTGCGTCTTCTCATTGTTCTGGACGGCGGTGCCGATGCACCAGGCGGCCATGGTGCGGATCTCGGCCTCTGGGCTCGCGAGCTGCGCCAGCAGCGGCGTCCACAGGCCCAGGCTGGCCAGGTTGTTGGCGTTGTCGAGCGACTCGATGAGCTGCTCGAGGTTGTCAAAGGCGATGAGCTTGTTCTCGAGCGTCACGTCGGCGGCCGTGATGATCTCCATCGAGGCGATCATCAGGTCCGCGTCCGACGGGCCGCCCATGAGCGCGGCCATGACTTCGGGCGTCAGGTTCGAGACTGGCGCCGCGGAGGCCCCCTCGCCGGTGGTGGCGACGGCGCCCGTGCCGTTGGGCTGCTCGGTTTCCGTGTTTTCGATGCTCCAGCGCAGGAGCTCGTTGAGGCGCTTGTCACCCATGGTTGTTGCTGGGATTGATTTTTTTTGGCGGGGTTGGTTAACTTGAAGGCGGGGTGTTTTGTCTTGCCGAGTTCGTATATTGGATCTGATATTGAGGTCGTCTATGGAGTAAAAATATGCGGAAAACAGTATAAAGGAGAAAGAACTTGAAAATGGCGAGAGCGAAGCCGTTTAAAAAGAAATTGGGACGTGGGGTTGATCTTTGCATCTCAAAGCTCTGTCGAAGTTCGGCCAATCTTCTCGAAGCTTCATGAAGACGCTAGCTAGATCTAGACTAGCCTCACTTTTTGACCGTGGCTGTTGAAGGCTGATATTTTGACAACAAGAATTGGTCAAATGACAACAAGCTAACCGAATTGGTAGCGATGCAGAGATTCACGATTCAGACGATACAGACGATACAGACGATACAGACGATACGGGCGATACAGGCGATACAGGCGATACAATAGGTGTTATTATCGCAGATTCAGGGGCTAGAACGACGCCTGAACTAATTAACAATCAATGCCGCCGGCTTTATTATAGCGAATTTATTAATTATAGCTATCGTGGCAGCCTTAAGAGATAAGATACAATTAATACTCGTTTATCCCCTATAAAACTTGGTGGAGTGGCTGCGTGGGTCTATACCAATTCGGTTTAGCTTGTTGTCATTTGACCAATTCTTGTTGTCAAAATATCAGCCTTCATGGCTGTTTGGGTGGCTGGACTCTTTTAACTTCATGGTCTGTCTGGTGGTGACAGGAATATTGAATATTGAAACAAAAAGGATGATAGATCCATCTTCACTGAAGTTTCCGCGGTGATGTTTGCCAAACTTCTACGTTCTGCGTCCAATGCAGTAGTCATGAGTGGTACCATCATTTCGAACCACAAAGTCAAGCGAATGGCAGTACGCCGTGAGAGGAGAATGTCTATGAATATCGAGCCCAGATTTTTCAAATGTAGCCAAGGATAAAATACGAATGTAACAAAATAGAGAGCCTGTGGGGGACGGGTGCTGGAACGGCGGACGTTAGTTACGTTCTACGTAGCCGAGCTGTTGTTTGCCTCGAGTGTGAGCGAAGCCGTTTGGTAATGCCGTTGGAGTGGTGGTTAGAAAAAGAGAAAAAGTAACGCTTCGAAATGTGTGGGAAAAGAGGAACGGCGAGGACGATATCGACGGTGATTAATTTGTAGGGCTGGAGGAAATGAAGTCTGGTAGGGCTCCGAAGTAGGGTTTCTGATGTAACAGTGCCAGGACCCTGGAACCCTGGGTCACTGGGAGGCGAAGTGAGAGGCGAGATGACGCAAGAGGCGGTCAAGGTTGGTAGAATACAGTCTTCGATGGCATCTAGATTTGTGAGAAATGGATTGAATTAGGGACGGTGACTAGTTATTAGAATACCCCGCCTCAACGAGATATGCACACAAGCTCGCTTGCGCGTCAAGAGGCGAGACGAGGTGTGGGAATGGGCCGTTGTGGGCTGGGTGACGACGTCGGGTTACGCCACACGAGTGCTATCTCTGCGGAGAGATGTTGGCATTTGTAAGGATGGTTGGTGTTAGTGTGGTGCGTATTTTTAGTGAGTCAGGAATGGAACAAGAGGTTTTGCGGACGGGCGGCGATGGAAGACATTTCATGTATGATAGTGGTGGAAGAGGTAAGATGATGGCTTCCTGCTAGATGACGACATGGATGGGATGGACTGGCAGGGCCGCCCGTCACAGCCGCTGGTGAGAGGTTTCGGGGTCAGACAGAAGGAAGAATTTGAACGAATTTGAACCAGTTTTAGGTTAGGCGTCTCCAGGCGAGAGGCCAAGCCACAACTTTGGGTCCACCAACCGGAAGTGACGGACGAATCAGAGGCGGGTGAGGGCTGTTAGTGAGCACTTGACTTGACGGGAGTGAGTGCTGAAGAAGAGAAGTGTAACTATGGCAGCTGGGGCTCAGCATTCCTGGGTTGCAGAAGAGGTCGGTCCGTCGAGGATTGACCACGGGGTATTCTTTGCATTCATCTGGCTAAAACGGATTTTATGTATGCCTAGAAGCAGCTAATTTTTTTCCTGCTTTTTTCACTTGCTGATAACGGACGCCAAAGATGGCACCAGTAACTCGTACTCTGGTGGCAGTGCACACCCCTCAAACTGCTGGTGCCGGCCCGCCCACAACTATTTTTTCGTTGGCGGCTGGTTAAACTCACTGGCCGTCAGTGAGTTTGGTGGTGTCCAGGGCGTCCAGTCCGTCCAGTCCAGCGCCCACCCGCTCGTACCAGCTGCTGCCGCTGGTGCTGCTTGCCTGCCTGCCTCATGTACCGCCCCGCCCAAAGCACGCGGCGGAGATACTTGCCTCCTTTCCCTCGAGCCCCTCCCTTCCTGCCTCTGGCCTTTCCATCTTGTTCCCTCTACAAAAACATTCAATTCCCACTCCATCTTCCCTTCTTCCCCGTCTCCGAGTCTTGTCCCCTTTGGCTCAATCTCCATCTCCTCATCCAGCTCTCGAGGTCCTCGTCGTCCCTTGAGCTCTTCCTCTCGTCGCATCCCTCCGACTCTTTTTTTATTTACTCTTCACTAATCCACACTCGCAACCATGGAGGGTACGTTGCTGTTGCTTTTGTCACCTCGCCGCCGCGTTTACGCAATCCCGCCCCTCCCCGCGATGCATGCTGCTGCTGCTTCCGCCACCTGCGATGCCATTGCCTCTGTAGTGCCTTGAATCAATTACTGACATGACTTTGCGTCTCTATAGAAGAAGTTGCTGCCCTCGTCATCGACAATGGGTAAGCTCCTAACCCCCACCGCCTCACCGACAAGTTCGCCTGCCTGAGCCCCCTTACCCCTCCTGGTCGATCTGCCAGCTCGACAGAGCCATCGCCGTTCGCGCCAACACGCTGCGCACTGTTCGTCTGGCAGGCAGGATGGGGATAACGTTGGGCTCAGAATGACGAGCGAGGCTTTTTAATTCATTTCTTCCATACTGACCAGCGCTGCAGCTCCGGTATGTGCAAGGCCGGTTTCGCCGGTGATGATGCGCCCCGAGCTGTTTTCCGTAAGTACCCCACTTTAGCTCCTGTCGCCAGTTTGCACGCTTTTTGGCCCAACGGCCAACGTGCGCCTGATGAACGGCGAAATCTCGAGCTTCCGCTGATTCTTTACCGCAGCTTCCATCGTCGGTCGTCCCCGTCATCATGGGTAAGTCTTGCCGAAAACAAAGAGATGCGCTGGAACCCCCTGCGCCGCCCACGCACTCTTGCGCGCATGCGCCCCCCTCAACGCCCCCACCAACGTCTAACGCCATTTCGCAGTATCATGATCGGTATGGGCCAGAAGGACTCCTACGTTGGTGACGAGGCTCAGTCCAAGCGTGGTATTCTTACCCTCCGCTACCCCATCGAGCACGGTGTCGTCACCAACTGGGACGACATGGAGAAGATTTGGCACCACACCTTCTACAACGAGCTCCGTGTCGCCCCCGAGGAGCACCCCGTCCTCCTTACCGAGGCTCCTATCAACCCCAAGTCCAACCGTGAGAAGATGACCCAGATTGTCTTCGAGACCTTTAACGCTCCCGCCTTCTACGTCTCCATCCAGGCCGTCCTCTCCCTCTACGCCTCTGGTCGTACCACCGGTATTGTCCTCGACTCTGGTGATGGTGTCACCCACGTTGTCCCCATCTACGAGGGTTTCGCTCTTCCCCACGCCATTGCCCGTGTCGACATGGCTGGCCGTGATCTTACCGACTACCTGATGAAGATTCTCGCCGAGCGTGGTTACGCCTTCTCCACCACCGCCGAGCGTGAAATCGTTCGTGACATCAAGGAGAAGCTCTGCTACGTCGCCCTTGACTTTGAGCAGGAGATCCAGACTGCTGCCCAGAGCTCTTCTCTCGAGAAGTCCTACGAGCTTCCCGACGGTCAGGTCATTACCATTGGTAACGAGCGTTTCCGTACCCCCGAGGCTCTCTTCCAGCCCTCTGTCCTCGGTCTCGAGTCTGGCGGCATCCACGCCACCACCTTCAACTCGATCATCAAGTGCGATGTCGATGTCCGCAAGGATCTCTACGGCAACATTGTCATGGTATGTTGGACCCGCCTGTTTTCCCTGGCTTGGTCGTTAACTCTTTTAGTCTGGTGGTACCACTATGTACCCTGGTCTCGCCGACCGTATGCAGAAGGAGATTACCACTCTTGCTCCTTCTTCCATGAAGGTCAAGATCATTGCTCCCCCCGAGCGCAAGTACTCCGTCTGGATCGGTGGTTCCATTCTCGCCTCCCTGTCCACCTTCCAGCAAATGTGGATTTCCAAGCAGGAGTACGATGAGAGCGGACCCTCTATCGTCCACCGCAAGTGCTTCTAAGGTGAATTTTTCCGGCCGGCCAGGGCTCAACACTTGAACTGACGCTTGCCTAGCAGAGGAACACCAAAACAAAGACCCCCTTTCCTTCAACGCTGGCAAGGACTGCGAAGATGGCGAACGACGGAGTATATTCTGGCCTCGTGCGTGCCAAAATCGACCCTCGTATTTGCGACGCGCTTGATGAAGTAAAGAGGTTGGGTGCTGGTTATTTGGGGGTAATGGCAACGGCCTGTGTGCTGTAGCTCGGCTGGGTATTTGACGAGGCTTACGGACTAGACGCTGAAGTTTCACACCAAAAATTCTTTTTATATCTTTGCTAAAGGGTGTAGCCCAATGGAATGCGACGGTTAAGTTTGTATACTTAGTAAAAAATGCGTTGTGATTTCCATGGGAATTCGAGTGTTTTGGAGTGCTATGACTTGCTCGCTTTTCAATTTGAATGATTTCGTTTTGATATGTAATTCAGGATGCTTTGAGGCAATGACTTGCTCAATTTACTATGATCTAGATGTGGTATCTGCCGATTGGTTTAGTGATGCTTGACAATTGGTTTGCGACGAGCCACTTTGTTCCTCTGATGAATTGTCTGTTCTTTCATGCCTCGATGGACGCATCTCGACAGCCGTACCAATTGTCGCTATCCCATCTCCAAGCCCATCCTCTGCCGCCCCCGTCACCCGCTGCTGCTGCTGCTGCTCCCTTTCCTCGTCCAGCTTTTTATACTTGCGCCTGCTCTTCTTGGCCGCGCTGTCGGCCCTCTTCTTCCTGACGGCGCCGACGATGCCCGCGCGACTCTCGGGCCCATTCTCCAAGTCATCCAGGCGCTGGGCGAGAATATCCCGCGCGTGCTTGCGGTTCTGCGCGCGCGAGCGCGTCGCCTGCGACTTGACGACGATGCCGGTCGGTATGTGTTTGAGTTGCACGGCCGAGTTGGTTTTGTTCTCCTCGGAGGTTTAGTGAGGAAATGGATTTGGTGGGGGGGAAGGGCGGGGAGGGGGGTTACAATTTTTTGACCGCCGGGCCCGCTGCCTTTGAGGTACGACTCTTCAAGGTCGCAATCGGGAGGGTGTCTGGGACGCGTGGGCATCGCGCGCTGCAGGGTGAGTGCTGTGCTGCTGAGAGGTTGATGCGAGGACGGGAGGGACGGGGTGAGGAGGCGCGCGCGGCGCAGAAGACACAGCATGGCGAGATCGGAGATGCGGGGGTCGTGGATGGAGCGAATTGAGGATGGAGGCGGGTGCTGCGTTTGAGCGAGTGCTGAGATGAAGGATGGAGGTTCGTTGGCTGTGAAGAGGCTCGGACTGGGCGATTGAAGATGTAGGTGGGGTCCCGTGGTGGTTCAGCATTGCATGCCCCGTGGAAGGTATACAAGGAACGGAAAACATCGGCTCTGGAATTCTTCAAATAGGTGAGAGATGGCGGTAAACGTATTGTATTTTCTTTCTTTACTTGTACAAGAATAATAGCCCAGCTCCTTTGGCGTTGGCCTCTGATCTGCCCCGCGCCTGAAAAGTTGCAGCCGTGTAAGCTGTCACCCTATTGTTCCACCTCAATCCGCGTAGATATACACACTATTTTCTTGCGACTTACTCTACTTTGTAAAAGCGTTCCAGGCCCACCGGCGTTTCTAACATACCATCATTCAGTGTCGCCGTCCAGCTGAAGAAACGGATCCTCGAGCAAGTCCTTGGCTTTGCTTCTATGTTCCGGCCGCCATTGGAGCATCCTGCCTATAAACGCGAGGAACTGTTGTTTTTCCTCTCCCTGGAAAAGCGTGACGGTGTCGGAAAGCGCGACGTCCTTGGGAATCAAGTCCTTGCGGATGAATTCTCCTGGCGGGGGGGCAGAAGCGTGGTCAGCAGGCAGAAGGTTTCCTGACAGGATCGGTTGCTTACCATCGTCATCGAAGAAAGGACCGCCAAAGTATTGGAATGCATTGCTGCAGGACTGGCCCTGGGGGTTTTGCATTTCCGGTTTAAAGGCCAATTTGCGAAACTTTCTTTCTCGCTCGAGGAGAACCTTGGGAGGGGGACCAAGCAGGGCAATCATCTGCGCCAGATGAGCCTGGACATTGTAGTGCCCCTGCTCGTCCTTGAGGTCGGTAAACAAATCTCTGCCTTCCATCATGTTCCATATCTACATTGTCAGCGGTATCTTACGCGAGTCGAGCACGCACCCCGGCGAACATACCAACACGCCCATGTTCCAAATATCTGCACTGTATGTCCATCCGGTTCCTAGAATGACTTCGGGCGCGCGGTAGCGGTGTGGCTGGGCCGGATGAATACAGACGGTCTCGAGGCCAGGCTGCGCCAGATCCAGGTCGGCAATCTCTGGAAGAATGAAGAAGTCGCGAAGAGGCCCAAAATTACTCTCGGATAGGTAGGTGGTGTGCTCGTCATTCGTGACATGTCGGCCGAGAGGAGTGTGTCTATGATGCTGGACAAAGTCTTCCAAGACTGACTCGCTCTCTAGATTGACCAAGACATTATCCTCTTTAAGGTCTAATGTGGACCGTCAGCTAGTTGAATCCAACAGAGGGATGGCCGGCCGGCAAGGATAGTAGAGACTTGCCTGTATGAATGATACGGCACTCGGTGTGCAGGTAGTTGAGCCCCTGTAGCAGGATGGCAACATACAGCTTCAGGATCTTTGGCGGAAATCGCTGGTTCTTAAAGCGGTGCCGGAAGTCATACATTGTTTCTCTCATGGGGTGGTACACCAAGCAGACATGAGTCCCCTGCGATCCGTCGACTTGGAAGTGGTCGATTGGGACTCTGATGTACTCGGCGCCAGGATGCGACGGGTTGGCCGCGGCAATGCGCTGCGAGAGCGTCAACTCGTGTTCAGCAGCAGCGATGCTGGCATATCTGCAGGCTCCAATCTTGACGGCCACATAGCGAGGAGATGCCGGTTTCTCCTTACATCTACGAACGAATCAGCACTCGCCCCGAAAAGGCGACTGGAGGGATAGGAATACCGCCGCAGATCTTCTGCCAACCAGACAGTAGAACCAAAACCCCATCCCAGTTTTGTGATTGTCTGGTATCTGTCATTGAGGACCTGGCCCGGATGCGTCGAATGATAGTCGCTTGGGCTATAATTGGGGATTGTTTCTTCGTCGATGGCTTCGTATATCATTGGTGGTGGTTTGGAGCTAGAGGTAGACATTGCTCTTGCTAGACATGACCGTGGATACCTGAGAGTACGAGCAAATAATGCGGACGGGTGTAAGATGAGCTTACAGCCACGAAAGAACAATGACGTTTGCGCCGTCATAGCGAACCAAAAGCAGGATCAAACAATCAGAAGAAGACAGCGCCTCGTAAGACTCAAGAAGAAACACGAACTTAAGATGTACGGCGAAACACGTGACTGCTCCGCTCTTCATACTAGCGCGATACCTGTTGAATAGGTAATACTGAATATCCTTTTTAGTCCACACTTCCTAAATGGGTTTAGGACTATTGTCAATTGACCAGATGGTGTTGTCAAATTACCAGCCGATGTACCGTGTGACTGACGAGGGGACAGGTGGATACGGTGGGTTGGTTTACTCGCCAGGGCCAAAAAGCTGTGACTGAGTCACCGATTTTTGCACAAGGTTGTGGTACCTTCTATGTCAGAACGCCACTATCAGTGGATGCCGTGAATGCCATCTCGTAGGCTGAACGCCGCTGTGCGTGGCGGGTAACATGATCTGTTGTTTTCTCGCTGTCAATCCCCGCTGCCGTCAACGTGGCAAGACAGATCACGCCCCTGCTACTGACGTAAGGTGGACTCGGGTTAAAATTGGTGCGACCCTGTTCGAACCAACCGCCTCTGTGCGAACCACAGAGGCTGCCTGCGACCATAAACCAGGTTACCTTACGCGGGAGGTGTTTTCCTCTGGGGAATTTCCATAGATCAAAATATTTTTAAGGCATGTCACGATCGAAGAGAAACTTCAGAACTGCCTTAAAAAACATGTCAGAAATACCAGATTCATCGTGACATGGCTGAGAAATATGTCAGACAGAGAAAACATGTTGGAGGCCATGTCAGAAAACACCCCCCACTCGCGTAGGTAGGTATTAGGCCGAGTTGTCAAGGAGGCACCAGGCAGCAGGGGCAGCAGGGGCAGTAATAGGCAGCAGGCAGCATTCCTTACTCTGACTATATGGCTCATGAGGTACCAACGTGTTCTTGTACTTTGGTACCAACATATTCCTGCTGCACCCAATATAAATATCTCCTCGCTCTCACTCACTCATACTCGTCTCTGTCCTCAGTATAATAAAGCCATCTAACGCATTGAACAATGTCTCGAGCTTTCTCAACCACCGCGGCAGCCTCGAAGTCGATCAGATGGTTGCAAAGCAATACATCGAAGCCCGTCGACTGGGTCAAGAGGGCCCTTGAAGAATACCTCGACATCGTTGAAGCAAAGTACCCCCATCTTGCCAGTAGAGTAAGCAAGGTTACTACTGGGGAGATACAGTAAGAATTGCGAGCACTTCTTCATTTCGCAATCTTGTCTTGTGACACTGACATTCCTCTATAGCGGCAATCCTCACCCAACACTGCGTCAGAGGGGTCGCAACGACCCATTTCATGGCTCTGGAGCAATCGGTACAAAGAATCTCAAGAGGGACAACCGAGAGACCTCGTTCCACGTCTACCCGAACGGGCTTGTCAAGCCCACTAACGATAAATGGCCCACACTGCAGGTCACACCTTCAACCCCTGAGGAGCTTGGGGATGACTCAATCTGGCTTGATCCGGTCTACTGCGACAAATACGCAATGGGGGGGCCTAATGTAGGCGAAAGTTCTGAAAGTCAGCATGATGAAGGCAAGAGCGAAGGCAAGAGCGAAGGCAAGAGCGAAGGCAAAGGCAAAGCCACGGCGGCCAAGGACGCCATGGGAGCAAGTGGTAGCGGTGATCCAGAATGACGTGAGGGAGCGCCTGGCGGATGAGGATGATGATATTCTTGAGTCGCACGCATATTCGAATGGTGAGGGTGCTCAGGCTGAAAAGTACGAGCATGGCAGAATTGGGAAATTGTCAGCATAGTGTTCTAGGTGTCAACTCTACCATCATCTAGTGAGCAAGTTATTTCTGTATCCAAGTTTGTTGTAACGAGTTGAGTCCGCCCGTGACAGAATCAAGATACTATTTTGAAGCTTTATTTCAGTACTTATAGACAGAGGCTTTATACACTGCACCACTTACATTTACCACATCTTACCAGATTTGGCCGTTGGCGGCAGCGGTCGCGGTTACTGGAGGCAGATTGTTGCTGAGAGACCATGGCTCGCGCATCTGCCTTGACGCTGCTGTGACGCTGCTGTGCCGCTGCGAATATTCGTGTTTGGTGAGAGACGGTTGATGGAGAATGGTTAGATGGGCCTGCAAGGGCGATGTAGGGCTGGGGGCGCAGCTGATGACGAGGCTGACGAGGCGTTGGCCGGAAAACACGGCCTTGCGGTCGGCTTTTGGAAGAACAGCATATAGCTAAAGAGGAGTTGGCTTCCATGCGGCTCGGGCATTATTTCGATTTACTTGATGGATAAAAAATAAAGAAGTTTGAAGTTGGATAGAGGCGACGATGGTGGCTTGCTTACCAGTGATTGAGTCGCGGCCATTTCTACAACACTTCCCCAACCGTGACCTCGAGTTCTTTCAGTAGAATATAGCGTCGTCGCGCCGGTGCACGTTGTTTCAGTCTGGACCTGATAACTTTGATGTTCCGTCGACGCGCCTCCTCTCTGCGGCGCTTCCGCCACCGCCGACGACCCGCGTCATCTCCTGTCGGGCTGCGCGTCTGGCTAGGCATCTGCGCTTCGGTGTTGGGAGCAGCAGCTCGCTTGCACACCTGACACCGCGCCCCCCCAATACGAATCTCGACCAGAGGGATGGCATCCCATCCCTCTGCATGGTCTTCCCCTACGGAGATCGTGACGCCGGCTTTGTGCCACAGCGCTTGTGCGCCGCTGGGCTCTTTAGCCGGCGTCTCGCCGATCAGGAGTTTATGCCGCCCATCCGCTCCGCGCGCGTTGCACTCAAACGCCACGAGCGTCCCGTCCGGCGCGCGCCCGTCGGTGACGAGCACGGTCAGAAACGAGGCCTGCGCTGCGGCGGGACGCACGCGGAGCAGATGCGCGCATCCAAAGTTGAGCGCGTCCATGACGCACTGCGCCTGCAGCTGCATCCAGTCGGCCCACACGCGCTCATATCGCGCCGACGGGAGTGTAAGCTGGAATGTGGCCTCGGCGCGGTGCTGGATACACCGCAGCGCGCGGTCGTAGTTGTGGACGAGGATCTGCGCAATCATGAGCAGCTGCTTGGGGGAGTAGCGCCCGGCGCCAAAGGCGACGGCGACGTCGACGGCGGCAAACCAGCGGCCCTGGGCGTAGAGAATGAGGGTCAGGTCGCGGTGCACCCACCCGTGGTGGCTCCGATGCACGGGGCCGAGCGGCCGGAGGACGGTGCAAGATCCAATCGGTCGCGCGGTCATGGACACGGTGCCGTCAGACACCGTCACCGGACCGTACGGCGAGACGGTGTCCAGCCCCGAGGCAGACGACAGCAGATGGCGTTTCGCACAGAGCACCTCGGCGCACGCAGTCACGCCCGCCGCCGTACGCATGGCCAGCGGCAGCAGGAGCCAGCGCACATGACCAGCCGCAAGCGCCGCCTCGGTCCACCGCTTCCACGCGCTCTCGCGCGTCTCCCGCGGGCGGACGCCAATCTCCACCGTCGATACGGCCATGGCGCCGTACACTTCGTCGACGGGGAAGGACGCGGCGCGGTTGCCGAGCATCTCCATGACGCGGGTGCGGTCCGTGGCGTGGATGCGGCGCGCCGCCATGCCTGCAAAGTGCGAAAAGAGCAGCTCATACCTGCTCGTCGCCGGGTCGCCGCGGCGGGCACACTCGGCAATGTCCAGCTCCTCGCACAGACGGGGTATGGCGACGAAGAGCTCATCGGGGATGGATATCGGTGTGAGGTCGGCGCCGATCCAGACCAGGTCCCCCGCGAGGAGGTACTCCTGCAGGGTCCAGACGCGCGTGCCCCAGGTGGCGTCGGCGAAGCGCGCGAGGACATCCATGGCGTGCTGGAGCGCGGCGCGGCCGTCACCGCGCGTCCAGTGGCGGCGCACGGCGTCGTCGGTCCACGTCTCGGCGCGCCAGACGGCGAGGGCGGGCGCGAGGTGCGCGACGCCGCGATCGACGTGCGTCTGCGAGATGCCGAGGGTGCTGGTGAGGAGGACGAGGACGGCGGCGGCGTCGCTGTAGATGCGGCCCATGAGGGGGATCTGTGCGCACACATCCTCGTCTGAGTCTTGGAGGATGCAAAAGAGGTCGATCCAGCAGTGGCGAATGTGGGCGAGAGCGGTGCGCTGGCGGAGGGTCTGCTGGATGGCGAGGCAGCCAAAGGACGGGCCTAAGGGGAGGCGGGCTGGGAAGTTGCGGTCGGACCAGGCGTGGGAGAGGGCGAGGTAGGGCGGCGACTGGCCGATGGGGAAGGACTGGAGGGTGGAGGTGGCGATGTGGAGGAGACGGAATGTCGGGGTCATGATTTGAGGTTGTGAGGGATGGAAAGATGGGATGGGATGGGATCATGGTGAGTGGCTAATTTTTGGAGAGGTCCGTTTGTCTGTGTAAGCGGCACGGTCTCCTTAGGGACTCAGCTGAGCTTTCCACAGCTCGACTATGATAACTACATGTTTGAAAAAATAATGAAAAAAAAAAGTGTCTTGCCAAAACCAACAACATTAAATAAACAGCACCGATATATGCCCTCGATGACGGCCAGGATGACTTGTCAAAACCCAGTTGGCGGCGCTAGCATGACGGTCGCGACCCCTGGCGGCGCTACAGTGGAGAGTGAGTCGATGGTCCCTTTTTCATCTTGTTCCCGTCGACTCCGAAGCGACACCATCAACCAAGCAAGCCCTCTTTCTGCCTCCGCCAAGCAAGCGAAAACCACACCAACCCCCGACGACCTTTTCCACAATCGCTCCCTCCCAACACGAAACTCTCTCCTACATACCTCGACAAAGCCAGCACTATCAACCCCCAACGGCTCGACAATCGGCTCCTCCCCCTCCATCCACGCACAAAGTGCCCTCTTCGGCAAACTCCAGCAGCACGCAACCCCAACCGCAGCCATGTCGACCTTTTCCCAGTTCACAAAGTGGCTGCGCAAGAAGCAGATTCAGATTGAAGTCACCTTTGCCGTGTACATGTTTACGCCCTGGGAAAAGTTTGCCTTTTGTACGTCCTTGCCGACCCGATCACTGGTGGTTTGAAAACCTCATGTCCGACCTTGGCTAATATTAATACCCCCCCCCGCCGCCGCAGACTCCATCGTCTTTCTTCTCTTCAGCCTCACCTTTATTGCCGCCGTCCTCTACCTCCCCCACCACATCACCGTGCTCGCCGGCCGCGTCTGGTACTACATCAACGGCGAGAGCATCGACGTGGCCGCCTCGGCCCGCGAGGCTGTCCGCGAGGTCCTCGCCTCGGGCGTGCTGGATGCGACGATGCCCATCGTCACCGCCGCCGAAACCACCCCGCTCGTCAAGGCGGAGCTGTAGAGGGCGCAAGCCCGCCGGTCGAGATGCGCAGAATCGAAACAGGGCTGTGACCAAAAATACAAGGGAGAGAGAGGGTACGGAACGGGCAATCGACGCACCGACGGCCATAAACGCAGACGAATTATAGTGCGTGCGGAACGGGACATGTACAACACGGGAAAAGACTTGGGCAGGGCAAGTTGGCATCCATGTGAGGTGACAAACTCGCTTTGGTATGGCGTTGTTACATGGGTGTAGGGATGACCAACATTGTACATTATGCATAACTAAACATACTCTCACCAAACGAGACCTTAATGATAATAATACGTATACACTTTCACACAATGGGCCTTGCGATATTCGTGCATTTTCATTCATCATCATATATACTTTTCATACGCCTTGCAGAAAGCCATCCGTAAATGCATACACACGCAGCGAAGCGTCCTCCCCTGCCACCGCCAGCTCCGCGCCGGCCCCAGTCCGCGCCGGCCGCCACGCCAGCTGCATCACCGTCTTGGGGAGGTGCACCTCGGCTGGCATCTCCCGCTCCTGCGTCTCCGCGCCGTCCAGCGACACCGCGCACACGCCCACGCGTCCGCTCTCCGTGCCAAACGCCAGCACGTAGCCGGCTCGCTCCCCCGCCGCCGCCGGCCGCGGCAAAAAGTCCACCGCCGTGACCGGCACGCCAACCGACAGCGCAGCCGCCTGCGTAAACGCCAGCAGCGCGCCGCCCTCGGCGTCGTCGACCTGCCCGCGCCAGATGCGAATCTGCTTATCCCGTCCCGCGGTAGCAAACAGCCGCGGGCGGCCGTCGGTGAGCGGCGCCCAGGCGCAGTCGAGGATCATGCGGGCGTGGCCTTTTGGGTTCGCCTGCAGCAGCGCATACGGCGCGTCGTCGTCGTCTGGCTCCGCGCGGCGTTGAAACACGGCCCACTGGCGGTCGCGCCCGACGCTCAGCAGAAACGCGTCGTCTGGGGCGAAGCGCAGCCGGGTCGCCGTCAGCGTGTGCGCGGCGAGCGGCGGCCGCAGCTCGGTCCACCGCCGCGTCTCAAAGAGCCGCAGCACGGCGTGGTTGAGGGAGCTGGCGCGGCACGCGCTCGCCACGAGCCGCCCGTCGTGGCTGGCCGCCAGGCACGACAGCTCGTACCCGTGGCCGTAGAGCTTCTCCGTTTCGGGCCAGAGCGTGGCGCGCGAGAGCGCGTCTTCGAGCGGCGGGCGGTCCGTGTCGTCGGCGGCGGCGGGCTGGCCCTCGTCGTCGTCATCGTCGACGACCTTGTTGGAGAGCCCGAGGACCGGCATGTTGGCGGCGTCGGGCATGGCGGCCGCGTCCTCGGCGCTGCCGATGCCGCCGAGACGGTGCAGCAGACCGGCGACGGCGCGCGGCTCGCTGAAGACGCGCATGAGCTTCTCGTCGGCGCCCGAGACGAACTGCGTCGCGCTGATGGCGTCGATGCAGTTGAGGTCGTAGCCGTGAATCTGCGGCCGCGCCATCTCGTGCCACGTGTTTTGCCCGCCGCCCGACGCGGTCCACTGCGCGTGCAGCCGCGTCGTCTGGTCCAGGCTGGTCGAGAGCAGGTACGCGCCGTCCCGGGCCCAGGCCACGCCCGTGACGGCCTTGGTGTGGCCCGACACGCCCAGGCACGGCCGCCACGTGTCGCGGGCGTCGTCGTACGCCCACCGCCGCCAGCTGCCCGTGCGACCGAGACACGCCACGGAACGGCCGTCGGGCGCCCACAGGCCCGTCCAGAAGCCGCCGGTGCTGCCCGTCGCCGTCGTCGCGCCCTTTTCGCGCGAGATGGCGCCGAGCCGCACCGTGCTCACCCAGATGCCCGACGTCGCGTCCGCCTCCCAGATGGCGAGCGAGTTGTCCGCCGACGCCGAGAGCAGGCGCAGCGCACCGCCGCCGCTGGGTGCGTCGGCGCGGTGCCACCGGGCGCTGTAGATCCAGTCCTCGTGGCCGAGGAGCAGCGCCTCGAAGCGGACGGAGAAGTGCTTGCCGGCGGCTGTGATTCGGTGCGCCTTGTTCGCGGGCGAGTTACCGGGCAGGTGGTGTGCGCTGTCGTCATCGGCGGCAGCCGTCGGCGCAGTGGGCGGCACCTCCTCCTGGCCTTGGTGGAAGCGCCAGATGCGCACGTACTTGTCCTGGCTGGCCGAGGCGAGCAGCACGTCGGCGCCCGGCTTGCTGCTCTCGCGCGCAAAGCTCAATGACCGGATCCAGCCTTCGTGGCCGCGCAGGGTAGCCTGTACGTGAAACTGGACAGCGTCCGCGCCGGGCTCAACCGCGGTGGTGAGGATCTGGATGCTGTCCTTGGTGCCGGCGGCGGCTAGCGCAAGCGCGTCGCCGCCGTCGCCGAGCCAGCTCAGCGACAGCGACAGCGGGAAGAACTTGGGCGTCGTCTTGATGCTCTGAAGCAGCGTCAGCACGTCGGCGGCAAAGCGCCAGATGTGAATCGAGGCGTCAGCGGCGCCGGTGGCCACGAGCCATTGTGCTGGTTGGCTGCCGAGGCGGATCGCCGTGATGCAGTTGATGGCGCCGGCGTGGTCGTGCGCCGTGTGAAGCTGCTCAAATTTCGCTTGATCGAGCGCGGATTTCCACACAATCAGAGACTTGTCGTTGGCACCGCTGATGAGATAGCTCGCCTCGTCGCCCTCCTCCTCTGGTAGAAACGTCACAGCCTTGACGACATCGCCATGCCCCCGCAACAGTCCTGAAATTCCCCGTTGCGTATCATCCTAAAAGGCCATACATTAGCATTTCATTTCCTCACTTGGATAGAAAAATGGTCATGAGATCTTGTACCTTAGGCACCCAGAGGGCAATGTTGGTGTCTGCGCCAAAAGCCAGCAGGCCGCCCCGGCTCCAGTCCGCCACCGCGGTTTGCCTGTTGGCGCCGGCAGACAGATACTCTATTGAGACGTCTTGGCTGCCCATGTTCGCAGCAATTACCGGGCTCGGCTGTTGGTGTGAGTCTGAAAATTGTGTCCACCTCGTACGCTGATTGGCTGCAGCTTGCCAAGTGCCAGATGCAGTTCTTTTTGGTGATGACCTATGATTAGTCATCGGTTCATTGGCCGTAGCCGTTTGCTGCCCAACGTCACTCAAATTACTCAAATACTAACACAAATCTTAATTTCCATCGAATTCAAGCAATATAACCAGATTTCTACCATTCAGCAAATTTTAGAGAGACGCCTGTCAAAATGGCGGCTTCCACGGAGCAAATCTCATTGGCGGTCGAGTTTTCGTACGTTTACCCAGGTTGAGATGGAGCTGCGACTCCTGCATGGTGCTACCGCTGGCATCGAATCGTGCGAGCTCGAAGCGAGCTGCAGCAGAACACTCCAGCTGACTCGAAAATAGTGGCGGGCTTGAGATGCTTTTCTCAGACCAGAGACTCCATTCGCTCTCTCTGCCCGCGCGGGACAAGGATGGGAAGCCCACCACCATTGCCTTCCTGATCGAGCATCTCTGCCAAAACGTCATGAACGACACCAGAAAAGAGCTCTTTGTGCTAGAAGACCACCTGTACGTCTCAGATACGCCCGTCTGCCCACACTACCGGAACCCCGCAAAGGCGAGGCGGTAAAAGAATTCCATATCCCGTCCCTCCTGCCCCCTGCTGGTCATCGCAGTAGTCTTGTTCCCTCCACTACTCACTGCTGAAGCTCTTTCTCTTTTTTTTATTTTGCGAAACGGTTTTCTAACACGACTCCGCCGCCGATCTAGACGCCCAGGCATCTTGGTCCTCGTCAACGATGCAGACTGGGAGCTCGAGGGCGAGGAGGCGTACGAGCTAAAGAGTGGCGACAACATCCTGTTTGTCTCGACTCTCCATGGTGGATAAAAAAAGAGGGTGCATGTTTATCCTCCAACAGCCAGCCACCTTGCACGTACGAGAAGTAAGCTTTCTGCGCTCCAACAGCGACATGGGACGGCCCACGATTGGATGGCCTCACCAACATGGGATGGCTGTTGTCTCGAATCGACACAAGGGAAACAAGTGCGAGTGGCTTGAATGTCACCATGTCTCAGATCCCTCCACAGCCCATCAGCGAGCCAGCTCAGCTGTACCGGGCATGGCACACGAGGAGAAAAAAAAAAGGAGCTGACCAACGGAGAAATAGCGCCACAGACCTCGCAGCTACCCAGTATTCCATCCTCGTTGGCTAGTTTCGTTGGCAGGCTTCCCCCGCATATCTCCCTTGCTGGGCCACGACGACGCGAGGCCGCAAAAAAGAAGAAGAGGAAGAAACAAGGTCGTTGGGTTTCACCCACTGGAATGCAGAATAGCTCACCACGTGCAGTTGCAGCAAAAATAGACAAAAAAAAGGAGCGCTCCATATTCTTCCATCTTGCTTTTTGTGTGTTTTACCAGAGCCCTTCGTTGGGCGTGCATTTAGTACCCATTGTCGGTCGCTCTCGCTGTCCGGCAGTCTCGATATCCGCCAAGACGTCTCAAGAGGACGATTGTCGAGCCTGGTTGCGGGGGATAATTGGCCAGCACAGAGACTCTTCTTGTCTCAACCATTCGGGAATCGTCCTCTTGAGCGGCATAATCTCGCCCGGCATAAAACGACGGCAAGCTAAATCCGTTTCGCGGTGACAAAGCCCGACTCCTCCCAAGAAAGGCAACTGCTGTGTTGCGCAAATCGGTACTTCTATTTTGAAGACTAGTTACACCTTTCCCGCCTGCCTGTTTTATCAGCTGGCGGTTGGTGATACCCTCCCCCTCCCGCTGTGGTTGGTTAGTCACCGCAAACCCGACAGCTTGGCACATTTGCCTCCCCCTCCTCGCGTGTGACGCAGACTCAGCTCCATTGAACAAGAGACAAGTTCGGGGGTGGTGGGGGGGGGGGGGCTTCACTTTTCTTGGTTCTCACGATCCTACTACGCTGCTGGCACGGCAGAGAACGCATAGCTAGGTGTCAGATCGGGGTCGGTCGGCAGACACGGCGGGCGGACGATGGCCGGCCAAGCTTTTCTTTCCCCTCCCCTTTCAGCAAAAAAGCAACTTTTCTTTCTTGGTATCTTATGTACTCGGGGGGCGTCCTATACAATGCAAGGCTTGTTCGATGCTGTGTGGGAAGAAACATGTCTCGATCCGACAAAGTCAGACAACATGAACCACTTGTGTCTGTTGCCATTGGACCGAACCAGCAGTGCGCATTTCCAATGTATCATGCTTTTTGTCTTGCGCTCTGCCGAATGGCGAGGTTCGTCGGCCATGGAAACGCAGCATTGGGCCCGAGACTCTTGGGGATAGATAGTCTTTCATCGTGCATTTGTTTGCTTGCGAGGTCGATGTGGCGTTGGGGCTGAACGCTTTGGGGGGGGGGCGGTACTTGATATGTAACCGTCATTGCTCCGTCTATCTCTTCTTATTTGATATTGTCTATATGCAAGTCCCGGCCAGCGGCGTGTGCAACACTCGCAACCCCGGCCAACACGCGCCGAGTGGCCATCCAAAGCTCGCTTAAAAACGCACAACTGTCCGTCTTGCACAAGTAGCAACTTGCATGTAGCTATTTTCCTTGCTTCTTCTACTACTAAATTCCGCTCTCTTCGGGGTCCGCGACGGCATCCTCTTTTTTCTTTCTACGTTTCCAAGCCAAGAAAAAGACTTTTTGCTTTTTTGCCCCCCCCCCCTCACTCCTTACTTTCTTTTCCCTCGGCCGCGTGTTTCGTCCAACCCCCCCCCCCCCTCCTTTCCCGGCCGCGTCCCCTCCCGCTTGTGGACGGATTAGGACTGGATGGTTGTTCGTAACCTCTTTTCGGACAGGACATTCGACGCAAGGGAGGTGTTGGTGGTGGTGGCGTCCGCTGAACTCTGGCCAGTCAAAACCATCCCGCCCTTCCCGTCATAGTACCTCGGGACAGGAGGCGTGCGCATCAGGGACTTGTTTTTTCTTCTTTTAGTTTTCCTTTTTGCCACTAGCACCTGGATTCGAGTATGTGCGGCTACAAGTCGTCCCATGTAGGGTTTCCTCTTATATTCTTGCTTGTCCATGGAACTAGGGGTCAGGGGGCCTCAAGACGTGTTAGTGGAGGGCGTGTAATCTGTACATCTTGGGCCACTTCTTGGGTGGCGGCGCAACCACTCGAGAGAATCATTCTCAAGGCGACTGTCAGCTATGTACAGTGTCAGTTGAGTCACTCAACCGGACTGGCATCTTCATCATGCTGTCCCAGATGCAGGTCCGATGCGACACAAGCCTTAGCAGGAAGGAATAGGCAAAACGGTGAGGGCTGGCTCTCGCTCTACTTTCTTATTTTGCGACGTGTATTAAGTTACACGGCATGGGGCCGGGCTATGCCATAGACATGCGAGATAAATTGATAACTGACCAAAAAGTAAAAAAAGAACGAGGCGAAGAGCTGCACCAGGCAGGCAGTCCATAACCCCCTCCTCGAGCTGACCCCGCTACCACTCCTAGAACAGCTCGGGACAGTCACTGCCACCGGATATTTGAGGCATGTCCTCGGAGAAAGCATGACACCGTGTGTCGAACATCACACATTTCACTTGGGCAAAGTTGATCGATTGAGAGATATGTGTTGTAGATTTTCGGTTTTGTACTACTTCCTCGGAGTGCGAACACTGTCTCGCAAGTGCTGTATAACCTCTCTGGGAAACGTGTTGGCCAGAGACGCACTCCCCGCAATGGAACCCTTTCGACCTTTGGTATATATAGAAAAGCCAGGCAAAAAAGTGATATATGGTAAAAGATAAGATATGCCGAAATGCTGAACGAGTACAGTCAACTCAGTAGAGTCAACAACAAGCAGCTATGAAAAAGAGGCGGCGCAGTACAATAGTGATAGTTCAGACAGCCAAACGAAACAATAAAGCCATTAGTAAAGACAGAATACCCCCCCAACTTTTCCTTGGGATCGTGTTGCTGCCGTTGCAACGCTCCACGCGATGCAAGTCACAGACACGCCTCGTGTGCCGCCTCAAATCGCCAATTTTTTCAAGTCCAGATCCAAAATCAAATCGCATCCAAGAGCAAAAGCGCCAAACAAGAAACTTTCCCAAGACTCTGGGCGGGATCTGACTGTTGACAGAGTAAATCGTCCCCGCCAGGTCAGCCATGCGCAGTCATAAGTATATTCGTTCACGTCGTGTCAGCTCCAACCGCTAGAGTCGACTTTTGCACCCGAGCGCTGTTTCGAGTTGTTTTTCGTAATCATAATAGTTTTGTCCTTTAGTACAGGCGGTCGGTGAAACTCATGTGGCTGTGGTCCTCCTCGTAGAGGACGTCGGGCTGGTCAAACATGGCGTACTCGGGGTTGTGCGTTCTGGGAATGCTGGCCATGCCAGGGGTGGTGGTCTGGCTCGACAGGTCGTAGGCAGATAGGCTGTGGTGCCGGGGAATTTGGGGCAAAGGCAGCTGGGGAACCGGGCAAGAGAGACTTTGAGATCGGGGCGGACCCTTGGGCTTGCGCGCCGCCACGGTGCGTGCCTTGCCGCGGCCCTTGACACCCTTGTTGCTGTTCTTATAGTGCTCGTTGAAGTACTCAAAGAGCTCCTGGTGCTCCTCGGGAATATCGCCCTCGGCAGCAAGCTTGACGAACAGGGCAATCAGCCTCTGAATGGTCTCCTTGTGGAAGTTGTTCTGGTGCGTCTTCATGTTGCCCAGCTGGGAGAAGGTCTTGTTGCAGTCATCGAGCTTGCAAACGTATGGCTTCATGCCCTTGTGAGTCTCCTCGTGGGAGCGGACGTTGCCACGTTGAGCAAAAGTCTTGCCACAGATGCGGCAGCAGAAGGGCTTCTCGCCAGTGTGGCGGCGCATGTGTGTCTTGAGGTTACCTCGCTGGGAGAAGGTAAGACCACAGTTTTCCTTGGTGCAGACGTAGGGTTTGGCACCGGTGTGAGTGCGGCGGTGGATGTCGAGATGAGTCTTCTGAACAAAGCTCTTGTGGCAGCTAGGACCATCGCAAACCCACTTCTTCTTGGGCTTGCTCTCAGCTGGGGCGGCGATACTTGACGGAGACGAGGGCTCTGTGTGGTCAGCGCGGGGAGTGTGAGCAGGTGTAGGGCCCTGGGAGGCCTCGACCTTGGCCTCAGACTTCTTTCTCTGGATAGCCTTCATGAGCTCATCGACATCAGTGTCAAAGTTGACTCGGTCAACGGGGTTGAGGGTCTCGTTGTAGGTAATCGTTTTGGCGGAGGCGGTAGGGTGCGAAGAAACAGAAGAACGGCTGACAGAGCCCCGAGACTCGCTGCGAGTAGAAGGAGAAGGAGCCTGCATCTCGTGGAGAGACTTGGAGTCGCGCTGGAAAATCATGCGGCCCTGGTCAACCTGGGGTAGCTGGCGCTCCTGGTAGTCATTGCGAAAGGGCGAGGCAACAGGCGAAGTGGGCGACGGGCTGTGGTAAGGCACATATTGGAAAGTCGCGGGACCCTGGTATTGAGGGGTGGTAAAGGTGGGAGGCGTTGGTTGCGGGTTGTAAGCCGGGCCAACAACATATTGGGGAGCCATGTGCCGTTGAGGCTGCTGCATCTGAGGAGGGCCACGGGAGTCGTAGGGAAGGAAGCCCTGGCCGTCCATCATGTTGAAGTCGTTGGGGATGTTCTGCGGCCAGCGTCCCCAGTTGGGGTGGGCGGCGGGTTGAGCAGTGAGAGCCATTGTGTGCGATGTATTGATTCTGCTCATGGGAGCAGGGAGCGACGGTGGTATACAGGAGAAGCCGAGAGGCAAAGCAAGCAGGATGCAGAAGAGTGGTATATGATGCTCTCAAGTATGCAAATGTTGGCGATGTATGCAAGTGCTTGTTGCTATGATGCGAAAACGATGAAGCAAGGAAGGGGCAATGAAGAAAGGCGGAGGGAATGAGGGTATATATGTTCGAGATGTTTTGTAGAGGCGGACGGGGGGTCTTGACGTGGTGGATGAGGGGGTTAAGTATCCGGCGAGGCTGCAGAGCAAGCATTCAGGTGTAGAGTTAGACAAGAGAGGTCCAGAGTGGTGTAAGTTTTAGGACAGGGAGTGGACCGGGATTCTGGGTCGGAGATCTTGGCTCAGAGGAGGCCTGCATTAGACCAGAGGCAAGCAGTGGCTTTTTTCTCGCCCACCGGGGTCAGGTCCCATCGCGGCTGGCAGGCTTGAGATGTACCCATAATGGGCGTCTTTGTTGAGGTGGTATCTGAGGCGAGAGAGGGTTCCAGGGCGTGTGGTGTGTGAGGCTGGTGTGGGAGGTGAGAGTGAGAGGTGTGTGAGGAGCGCCGGGCCGGGGGGGGGAGGGGTGGCAAGGGAACGGATGAGGGCGGAGTATGAATAGCAAGAGACCAGAGGAGAGGGCACGGACGGCGTATTGCTTCAGAGGTTCAGAGATGGACCAGGGGTGGTGGGTAAGAAGGTGGGACGAGTTGCGATCGAGGTCGCCGGCCAAGCCAGGCTGGCTAGTACCAGTAGTTAACTCGTTATTCGTAGACAGGTCAAGGTGGGCGAGCTGAGCGGGTGAGATGCGGGCTAATGCTTTTGGTGTGTAGACAAAAAGGTACAGAAGAGTCGGATAATGACCAACAAGTCCGCCGCTACCAGTACGCTACCGGTACTGGCTACTCGATATGTAGTTAGTTAGCTTGCTCTTGAAGGGTGGAGAGGAGCGCCGAAGAGTACGTACAGGATCTTGCAGAAGCACCGCAAGGCACGGCCACCACAGACGCCGCGGAGCCATTGTACTTGACCTGTCATCTACTGACAACTACCAGTACCGTACGGAGTACCCAGTGCCATGAAAGCGCCATGGCCTGAAGAGAGCTGGGGGGGTTCGGCGCAACTAAGGCAGAGTACTTCTTGAGACGGGCGCCGGCATCGATGGAGCAAGACAATTCGTCCCATTTTGGTGGCAGAAGCCAAGCACGACGCTACCTGTGGAGGAGGCAGCCACCAAAACCAGGCGTTTTGCGGCATCTTCTGGACAGCCAGTGGCCAGAAGGGTCCAAGGGAGGAAGTTCGTGGCTGGGGGTGGGTGGGCGGTGCTCCGTCGACGCGGATGCGAGGCGGATGGGGGGAATAGGCCAGACTGCCGGGACAATTGGATCCGGCGGGCAAAAGATTTGAACACAGACGCCGAGTAGACGTTGGAAAGCCTCCCGGCTATATAACGCAGCCACGAAATAAGTGGTTTGGGCGGGCCGGGCTTGGGAGCTCTCCCTCATCCATCATAATCTCTCGGAGTCGTCGAGCGCCATGGAACGACGATACGAGGTGGAAATGACTTAATGCGAACATCGAGGAGCGACGGCCACGAGGTAAGAGATGGGATTGGGTCATGATTTTGCGCCGTTCGAATGGGTAGCTCTTTGGATATTGCCAGACCAGCTGAGCGTTGTGGACGATGAACATGGTGGCGACTGGTGAGCAAAGTGATTAGCGGCCGAGGCACGGCGATACCAGAGGGAGTCTCAGACGAAAAAGAGCCAGGGCCGACGGAGAGTCCAATGAAAGGACGAGGGAGGGTCGATGGGAGGCACAAGGTGTGTGTGCGCAGCAGCAGTCGTGGTGTTGTACGTTGTACGGATTCTCGCAAGAGGGGGAAGGACGAGCGAGGTTAAAGCGGCGAGGCGTCATGGTAGCAGCACAGGGATCTATGTGGGGCCCTTTATTTTTGGCAGGGGCAAGAGGGTGTGTGTGTGGTGGGACCGACAATTCGGGCCAGATAAAAGATGAAAAGCTGCTGATGGAATTATCGCTGAGTAATAATTCGTACTGATGAGATAAACACGGATACAGTCCATCGGATCAGAGAACAAGAGACGACTATCCGTAGTATTGCCATTGTTGGCGCCATGGCTGCGGTTGCTGAGGGCACACCGAACGGCTTGTGCTAGCCGAGGTCTGCCGAGCACACTCTGAATATCAACATGGCAGCAATAACACGGCGCTCGGTGACGTGACCTGGGACTTGGCTGTGAATGGACAGGCTGTGCGGAGGACCTTGCCTGTATCTGCTATGTATTATCAATGTCATTTATCATCATCAAGGCGCAAGCCCATCCAAGCTACCAGGGACAGCTGAGCTGCCCACCGGGCCACAGTGGCGGCGGGCTGGCCAGCTCCCTGCCGAGGCACCTGTAGCCCGTTACCTGTAGCGGGCTGCTTTTCAGCACGCTGGACGACACTGGAGCTGCAAACTGTACAAATTACAAGGCCTGTCGTTGCGAGGACATGACCGCCTTACTGCGAGACGCTGTACCCACAGTACCCCGTCCACCTGCCTCTTCGCCCTGCAGCTGCCTGCATGCGCTGTATTCGTATGACTGGGTTCGTTACCACGACGGCCCGGCGGCTTCCCTCCCTAGCCCACCTGCCTAGCCCAGGTACCTCACCTTCCCCTTTGTTATCCACACATTCCCAAGTACCCCATCCCGTCCATTAGCCTCAATCCTTAATCCTTCCGTCCCATCATCCATCACAGGCTCACCTGCACCATCACCATCTGCGGCCGCACTGCATTCGCTGCAGCAACTTGCAACTTGCTAAACGCATCGTCTGTGCCCGTCTGCCAGGCGCGAGCATTCCGCATCTCATCACTACCCCATACCTGTTCAAGGACAAAAAGAACTCGCTTGTCTTCAGTCCACCTCACTGCTCGCTTTCTCGCTTTCGCCAGCAAACGGCACAAGCCACACTGCCTCTATCCAATGTTGGGCCAATTGCCACCGCCCGCTGCCATTAACTATTTATCCGCAGCTGAATCTGGAGACTCTCTTGTACCCGTCGTCTCCTGGGGCCCCTCCAGCTCCAAAGAGCTGTCACATTTTCGCAAAAAAGAATCCCACCTGCAGGGCCTAACTACGTCCGAGCCCATGAATCAGGTCCGTAGCCCCGTCCGATCTGGCCGCCGTCTCTTGATTGCTGACACCCACTTCCGACAGATATTGTTATTACTCTCATTATTATTACAATATTATCTGTACCGTGTTCCGAGTCCCTCCCGCTCCGCAACGCCAGCCTCAACATGCACCTAGATGGTGCACTGCACCGTGCATCCGTGGAGACCGAAACAAGGTCTCTTGCCCTGCTTCAGCTTTACAGGAGAGACTAACTATCAATTATATTCACCCCGTGGTACGGAGCAGTGCAACGTGCCTACGAATACTACTGATAACTTTTTTTTTCGAAGCTCGTCATCGTTGGCCAAGCTCCGCCACGCCCCCCTCGGCTTGAATCTACCACTTGGACCCTCCACCATATTCATTTTCAATAATAAGTTGTGACGAATAATTCAAGAGCTTCGTTGTGGACGTTGCCCGTTGCTGCTAACGTTAGTACCGGCCACTTTCCACCGTTTTCCTGGTCTGGTGGTGTGCTCTGCCGTTTCTTTACCCGCGCCAACACGAGCTAGAACAACACGACGCTGTCCCGCATCTTGCCAGCACATCGCTCCGGATGCCGCATACGCACTCATGCGCTCTGCTTGTATCCGTACTAGCACCAAGCTCACAACTAGCATCGCCGCAGGACACCACACGGCACTGTGCTCTACACGTCTGCGAATGCTGTAATCTCGAATTGTACCCCCATGACTCCGCTACTAGGTTGTCTGTCGTAAGACTCTCTCTAGGCTCCGCCGTCAAGCAGCTCAGTTGCCCGACGAACGATGCGGCTGGTGATGCGCTTCGCGTTACAAGTGCCATCAATGGGGTACAGAGTTGCCCATTTTCGGCGAACCCCCAGGAAATGCATGGTGCATTTCCTGGCCAATAGCGAGCTACGGCATCCAAACAGTCGGGACGGGATCGGCGTCCCAACTGATCACCCGCTTCTGCCTGCTTGCAAAGCTCATTGCCCTGTTGGGCTTAGGCTTCTTCTCTCACACTCAGCCACCACTTCAGGGAGAGTTTTGGCTGCTGCTTATTAAAGTGGCTCTTATGCAGCCATCTGTTGCTCCCTGCAGTGGTAGCCGCGCCATCCAAGACGGCATATCCCTTGTGCCCCTCACAATACCAAGTCTCTGGATACTGTGGTCAGCAATTCGCGCGATTGGCCGGGTGGCTTGCACCGATTGATGGTCACCACCAGCTGTCTATTCACTCATCACCTCAGCGCTGTTGCTCCCCAACCCCAGTGTACTGATTTATGGTTCTCTGCATCAAAAGCCCTCGTCAGCTTTGCTCTTCCTCGGTGCCCGCTAACTAATTGCAAGAATCCCTTCAGAATCACTTCAGAATCACTTCAAAATAACCAGCGGGTTTTCGAAATGATGCCACGTCGAAGCTGCCCCAAAAGTTCTACCACTCATCGCCGTACTTGCGCGCCCACTGTAGCCGCAAAAGCTACATGTCTGCCACACTTTCAGAACCAGGATGTGGCATGCCCCCAGATCTTGACAATTGACTTTTTATGCAAACGGCCGCTGCCGTGCCGTGGGGCACCGCCTCACGGCTGGTGAAGAGCTACTAATAAATTAGCCCGAGCCCATGGGCCTACAGTGCCTATGGCGCGGAATCGCTGCTTTCCGTTCAGTAGAGGTAACTGCTGCCAGCGATTCCGATCGCTCTCCAGGGCAGTGCGAATCGCGCAGTGCTGATTGCAGTTGCACGTCATTCGTAGCTAGGTCAAAAGCCACATGCAGCACATTTCATCCAAGTTCACTAGAAGGGTAAAAGGGCCTGCAAAGGTTGGATGGTGATGGCCAAATGGTTGTCGAGAAAGGTGCACGAGGAAATTGAGCAGCATCAACATTCAACCCTCGTATGACGGCAACCATCGTTCGATCAATCTTCGAACTCGGGTTGTTGTTCGCATCTACACCGTTACATGCCCCAAAGTCTAAATGACGGGCTTTCCCGCTGACTTGCAAGGCGGACAAGCAGGCCGGACTTGCCATGGCCCATTGACCAAGCTTACGAGAAGTATCATTTTGCGAGAAGCTTTATCGACATGATCCTATGTATTAGTGACAATATGACTCGCTACTTGCAGCAGCAACCAGAACAATCTCCACGTCATTTGCCGCTCACCGGACAGCTGCAGTGTCGCACTCGCAACAACGCCCTCGCTTTCAATAAGATGGCAACAAAGATTAACAATGGCGTCGTCATCTCTTCTTGCGGTATGCCAATCCATGCCTAGAAAAGACGGGCTAATAAAGACACAGCTAGCCACGCAACCACCAAAACAAGCCAACGCCGGATCAAGATGTCAGGTACAAAATAATCAAAATAGATGACAGAATCTACCCGCTACCTGGCAGGCGGATACGGGAGCAGCGTAACGTCGCTGTTAGTCGATCGTGGAGGAGCAGCGACATCAGTGTGCGAAATTCCTCGGACGCCAGCCCAGGCGACAAGAGTCTCAGCCTCCTCCACTGCTCGTTGGTGGTTGCAGGCGCCACAAGCACACTTCCGAGCCCTTCAGAAGCCCTGAAATTGTGGCTTGCAGCGGCGTCCCCAGAGCTTGGGAATTTACTATTACAGCTGGCTCAGCTCTGTCGCCCTGGCAAGGAACACACAGACTCCAATTGGGCAGGATTGTGGTGTCCACCACGGCCCGGAGATGTATTTCGAGAGTACCACACACCTGTCAAATGCTACCTGTGATGATTAGTAGCTATATGGCTTGCTCAAAACACCAGCTGTGGTCAAACACATCTGGAGACGTCAATTTCCCCGGGACAACGAAAAGTCCTCCAGAGGGCCCTTTGACAGTGTACTCGAATGCGCAAGTGCTCAAGAGAATGAGAATAGCGCTGCCCCGCAACCTGGTGCTGCTAGCTTCCGGCTTTCAAGCCAATTGGCGGTTACGCACCTCGCGACAGAATGTGATCTGTCGCCTACATTGCACCGAGAACGTGGGTGGGTGGCTGCTCAGTGCCATACTGCATTGGTGGCCACCTTCTACTCAACAAAGGCGCAATTGCTAACTACGAAGAGTTATCACTGCCTAGCAGCGCAACGCTTGGCATTCTATTCCAAATACCGCCAAATGCTCACTCATTACACGGCAGTGCTGCGTTAGGTTTGCAGCGCTGTTGGACACCACATAATTACGGAGTACTTGTCGATGAGCTGAATGGCTTGATCTTGGCTGCCGCCAGTTATGTACTGACAGGCCCGAATTAGCTACGCGCTAATCACATGACTCAGACAGAACATGGCATCATTGAGGTGCTAATCATTTGTTACCCGTACCAAGGAGAATTTTTTGGTCGCTCAATGATTCTAGTTCCGTTCTGCCGTTGGGCTAAACTTGAATGACCAAGACAAGCCGCCCCGTGCGACAAAAATAGGCAGGACCTTGGCCGGGGCGTAACGACAAAAAGAACACGAATGCGTCAGCCCCCGGATGTCAAGGTTGCACCTCCTGGTGTGATTAATTTATTGGCAATCATCTTCAAACAATATACGTGACAGCAGCCCCAGCATGATATCAACTGTGGCAGGTATACTACGGATTGGGACCAGCGAGCCTACCAGCAACCCGGCACCTGGTGTCGTGGCCCTCCATGCTCATGTTGACACGCCCAGTCGTGCGAAGACGAGATAGATTAAAAATTCAGTCATGTGGGCATGTGCGAAGTTGCTGGGTCCCGGGGAGAGGATGCCCCAGTATCCGGTTCGGTGGGAGCCGAGTCCATGACGAGCCAATGCACGACGACCTTTGCAGCCATTGTGGCCCTCCTGCAAGTACCCTGCCTGGTGCCTGGGTCCATGACGGCAAACGGCGGGTGGAGAGCATCATCTGTACACCTTCTGACGAGCTTTTACAACCAAGCGACGTATTGTGCGGCGAGACATCGGCATCCAAGGACTGTTCTGCAACTGGACCAAACTGGGACCGCTTCAGGGTCCAGCATCAGGAACACGGAGAGATGTGCCCGTCGCAATTCGCAATGGCAAAGGTGCAGCCGGCAGGAAACGGCTCCAAAAAGGCAATGCTGACAGCGGTCTAATAAGACACTGACTAGTGAACCTTGGCGATTGAGAGTCCCCCCAGACTCTCTGGTCCGTCACCCACGCAGCAGAAATATCCGCTGCATGTGCATGCGATATGTGATGAACGGATATGACCCCGGCGACGGATATGTACGCGACAGGGCAGCTTGTCATTTGATACTTTGCCGTAAGGATAATCTGGTACTCATGGCAGCCACAGTGGTGGAAAGCCACAATGAAGATCCCCGAAAAAACAGAGGAAAACAGTTTTCAGAGTCATGGTGGGACGAATCCTGCACGCTGCAAGCCTTGGACGCCTCTAGCGATCGATGACAGTGACTTGATCCTTGGGGGGCAATGATCAGCTGTCTAAAGCGATTGGGAGGCACGCAATACGCGGAAACGATGGGGCGGCTTTATAATTTACCACCAGCCGCGCAGACAGCACGACTGAGCAGCTTGGGCAGCTTGGGCAGCTTGGTTGCCGTGTGCCAAAAAACCATCAGCGAGGACTTGAGAAAGAGAGAGATCACAATTCGCATCAGAACTCCCCTGTCTAGCGCGGGCGATGGACCAGCCGGCGGCTTAGACTAACTGATTAGCACGGCGACTAACAATCGGTGTGGTTGCGTGGGGCCTGCCCATCATCTCAAAAGAGACTGGAGAAGCAGAAAAATTCATGATGAATGATGTGAAGGGGCCGCTCGAAGGAGGGATTCTCCCGAAGCACAGGACAACAGCCCTGGACACCACTATGACTGGAGCCCACCGAGGCTCAGCTAGAAAACGCCTGCATCTTTGCGCCATTGTCCGGAACCAGACAAGCGGAACACAAACACAAGACCCTTCCCTTGGGTGGGAAAGAGGGGAGTGGCTGGCGCTTCATGCAACCTCTGCTGTGGGATTTGCTACTAGCCAGGCATGTGCAGCGAGAAAAGAAAGTCCGCAGGCTGTATCTCGCAAACCCGAGTTGGTGGAATTATGGCTTGGGATCCGCATGCACGGCTTCGCAACCCGTCATGCTGCCGATGCACGTCTGTACGCGCAGTGCACATCAGTCAGTATACACTTCTATTTTGGCTCCGCAACCCTCGTCCTCCTTCTCACAACCACAGCCAAAGATGACGAGGCGAGCCAGAAGAGTGACAGATCAACGAGCCCCCAGTAACCAGGTACTTGGTCCGCCAAGTTTGGGGAATCGGGGACCCTTTTTTCTGTTATGCACCCACTCGCTGCGTTGCAACATTGGTCATGTTTTCTCAACTGATAGCCACACGTCATATGCAGCCTTTCTTGCCTCAATACCAGGGTCAGAATATGACAATCCTTGGGAAAAAATCCTCAGCTCGGCGTTGGACCATGATAATAGCTCGTATTCAAGCGAGAAAAGGTCATTGGGAACGGCAGATGTCGCACAAGCTAGCTTCGACAGTGTCTACTAATAAACAGTTACCAGTATACTGTCTGTCGATGCTCCGATGTACCCGTTTTCTCCAGCGGGTACGGGCATGTAAGACTGACGCTTGATTGTGCAACACTACTCCGTACACGCGATCGAAACGTGGAGTGCACGTTACCAAGATGACGGTGCAAGCAAAAATGGAAGAAAAGGACAAAGGAACTATTCAGATGATTCAGATACCTGGGACAGCTTCGAACTACTACAAAGGCAATCGAGGGGGGGGGGGGGCGTGGACAAAAAAGCCGAGAGACCCACGATTCGCGACAGGGAATGCCCTGGTAGCGAGCGAGAGGGAGCGAACAAGTGTTGGAAGGTTCTACAGAGACGGGTAAAAAAACGGGCTTTCCCGAAGTGAAAGACGCGAAAAAAAGGTGCAATCTTGTTTTGAGATTGAAAAGTCTGACTTGTGTCTTAATATTGACTATTGTGCAAGACAGTGCCTGGGCAAGTGGGGTGCCAGACGTGTATCAAACTCATACGCTACGATATATCGTTTGGTCATAGGATTGCGACAGAAAAGGTAGGTGAGAAGGAGAGAAGAAGAGAGACTCGCCAACTATGAGATTGGAAATACTCCCTTTTTGGACAAAGGATGAGACCAGTCATTTGCAGTAGTCTACATTTCTCACACTAACGTCGAGAGAACAAGGCAAGGCGAACTACCACGGGTTGTTTGCGATTGCTAGTTATAGGGCCATGCACGAAACAGCCGTTGTGTCTATCATTTTCGTCCGTCTATGTTGCTTCATTTCTGAGCATCGCCCAGTACGTCTCCCTTTTTTTTGTTCCAGACCCTTTTTCAGATGCAGCAGGAAAGCGGACACACGGACGATGCGGGGCGGCGGGACTCAGGTACGGGACGTGAGAAGAGGGAAAAAAGAAAACTGGTCATGATGATATCTTGACGATGGATTTCGTATGTAGTCTTACTAGAAGAAAAGAAACTTTTTGCCCTCCCGTCGTTGTTACGGCCGAGTCCGGTTTTGTTGTGGGGGGGGGCAGAGTCGAGCGGGGTTTTTTTTTCCTTTTACAAGGTGTGTGCCGCTTTATCATACACACCCATTTTCGGGGACTTTTTTTGGGGGGGGGGGAGAGCTTTGTTTTCTTTTTGTTGTTCCCCCGCGTTCATGTGCGTCTGTGTGTCAAGGGACAGCTGTACATCCACCCGCCTCGATATCAAGGTACGGCGGATACCTCGTATGTACGCGGTGCAGTATTTTTTCTAGCTGCATACATAGTTATCATGAGAAACTGGTTCCTGGAGGTGTCAGCGTCCCCCCGCGGTGGGACTTTTTCTGCCTGCAGGAACACGGACGTTTAAAAGTAAGCTCAGGAATATATGCACCCTTGGGGATGGATACATTGAACCGACACGTTACTTTTTTACCTCGCGTACAGTGCCGGTTTGTCATGGTGAGTTTTTGTCATGGGTTTTTTTTTTCCTAATTCCCCGCCGGGGAAGAGGAGAACGGCAAGATGTTCTAGTTCCTCAAAAGCGTGGGAAATAAAAAACTGAAACTTCTAGTTCCTCGAAAGCGTGGGAAATAAAAAACTGAAACACCGTTTCAAAGGGAGAAGAAGAAAAGGGTAAAGGAAAAAAAAACAGCAAGCCGAGAAGGGCTCGCTAATCGACGAGTTTTGCCGTGGAAAACAATGGGCGTAGAATGGTACCCTACGATGGACAAAGGAACCCTCCCTTGCCTCGTTTCCGAAAAGCCGGAAAGGGATGGGTAGGTCGAGTCAGTGTTTTGAGTAGATGGAGCAGAAATGGGGTGCCCAACAAGTCTTGGGTCGTTTTTGACAAGACCATTGTTGATATGGTAGGTACCTGAAGACGGACCAGTCGGGGGCAAGCCGGCATTTCCTGATAGTATTAGAGGAGGGGATCACAGGATGATGCAGGGCAAAAAAAAAAAAAACCGTAGCGTGTGTGTGTGTGCGTTATCCCTTGCCTGCCCTGCCCGCACCGAACCGCAATCCCGGCTGATCATTGTCCGGGACGGACGGACGGACGGGTCGGCGGCGCGGGACGGGGCTCAAAAACTGGAGAGAGGGTGTGTGGTAAGGGCAAATCATCAGTCCAGCAACCACGTTTCCCATCGTTCCTCTTGTTTCTAGCCGAACCTTGTACCTGGAAGCATGGGAGATCCGCCCGTCGAGGGAGACCAACAAAAAACTCGAACGACGTGTCGAAAAAAAAACCACCAACCGGGGAAGCCATCATCAACAGGTCGCTTGCCAAGCTCTGTTTTTCTGGAGCCTGGTCTCTGCCTTGGCCTCTTTTCAGTAGGTGGGGCGATTTGGCCAAAGACAAAGTTACAGCTCGCTGACCAAGAATCATGTTCCATCTTGGTCAGTCAAGAAAGAAGCGAATCAACAAGCCGCAGGCCTTTGCTTGGCGTCGTCGTCTAAGACAACTCCGACTTCTCAATTTCAGGAACACCAGGGGTCCTTCCTACAGCGGGGACCTCGCCCAGACGGGCGTATCGTACTGGGTGGTCCGGTGGCGGGGGGCGTGGCTGCGGGCGTTCGACGTGTAAATTTTCTCTCAAACGGTTTCCATATTGCTCAGTGTTATTAGTGACAGACGAGATAAAAAAGGGAACCATAGAAAAAAAAATCATCACAGTTGTGGGGGAGCAGCCTGTCACTCATTAACTAGTTAGAGTACGCCACGAACCATGTACATACCTGTACTGTATCCATCCGTATTACACGCCAAAAAGGGCTGAGCAAGAGGGTGTGGTTAAATGCTTTATTAATCCTCCGAAAAGCTGGGCCCCGGCAGCGCAATAGATCACGGCTGTAAATCACGGGTTGAGGGGCCTGTCTCATACTGTCCGTTCCTGACTGCGCAGCGGAAAACTAGTTAGATCGTTCTGCAGCTGCGCCCGCTTCTTGCGAAAGCCTTTCTCTTTCGTTACACCGTCGTCGATATTGTAGTAGGGCTCCTTTTGGGTGAAACATTCTGCTAGGCGAAAAATTACCCCCAAAAGAACCGACAGCCATCAAGATATCATGTTAGTGAAGTGCACCAAAGTTGCGATGCCCGTATGGCACCTCCCGTCTCCCCGTTCGAAACCCACATCATGACGAAACTCAAGATGAAATTTTGTGCTGAAAAACGCCACTGAAAAGATGAGACGGTACACGTAATTGAAGAGATTCCCCAAACGGTCCAGGAGTTCGCACAGATGGTATCCGTTGTCTGCACTCCGTGCTCCGACTCCGTAGTTTGCAATATAATGTCATTCTGGACCATAAAAACGCCTTGTCTCACCCGGGGGAGGATCCGCGTGACAAAGGGAAAAATTGCATGTGGGCAAAACGATGCCTGTGTTGCTCGGCCCAGTTGTGGCTAATACATTGGTGAGTATGCGATAAATTGCTGCCAGGCCGGGGTCATCCAAGATCGGGCCAAGCACAATAAAGGACCTGCAATATCAAGGGTTACCCTTGCCGAGGTTACCACAGCCGAACCTCTTCGGACGCCGGATAAAGGTCTAGGAGGCATAAAAAACCCATTCGGGAGAAAGAAAGAAAGCCTCGATAAGGGCCGTATTCGATGATCATGCTCGAAATGAGATGCTGCGGTCGATGGTGTGGATCGAGCCCTGGCAGTTGTGGCAGAGGCGCCCGCAAGCCGTTCGTTCTCACCGTCTCCAGGGCGCGCCGGAACCTCCCACATTGCAGCTCGGACTCGGCCAAGGCCCACCACGGAGGATGTTCCTGTGGCTTGCGCCTATCAGGCGGTGATGCCATCTTTGACGGCCAGTCTCCAGTCTGCCCACACGGGGTCATATCTGTGACTCGAATAATTCGTACAAAGATGAAGGACGGCCGAGGTTATGCACATCGTCTTAGTATGGTCATCATTACATTGCTGCAAGAAATGAGCCCTGGTGGAACAGGTGGAACGGGGACCCTGATGACGGCAAAGACAATTGAGGCCTTGGTGGATACATAGGATCATGATGCCGGCTGTCCGTAAAATACCAGATTGGACTTGCCGCTGCGTGCACGGGACGGACAAACCCGTCGTACGAACCCTGAGACGCCGTGCCCGGGTACTTGTAGTACTAGGGGTGCCGCCGTCGGTCGGCGAGTACTGGTAAAAGGGAGACTCAGTTCACATTTGCGAATCCGAACGACATCGTCTTCACCAACCCTCACCATTCGCCATCTTAGCAATCAAGTTCTTGTCATTCATCCAACGACAACCCAATAATCCAGTAGAGTAGCAACACCAATGCTGTATCCGTTCTTGAATTTGTCTTCTGCTAGTATTATCTTGCAGTTGCAGATCGCTGGAGCCTTTGCTCGCTGGCTTGCTCGCTAACGGAAGCTGTGGCGACGCAGCGGCGCAAGGTCAAATTCGGGAAGCCCTCAAGCTCTTCAGCTGGACGGGGTGAAGAGTTGACCCTAGGATCCTATCGAGTTTCCCTGTGGAGGGAGTGGTGAGAGGTGTACAAGACGTATGTGTGAGTGGAAACCGTAGTCTTGAGTCGTTCGATGCTGTGTGGGACGCCTTATAGGCACGACACCAATTGCAACTAACCCACGCACCAAATAAAGCACCAAATAAAGCTGGCACCGTCGTCAGCGCCGAGTCTAGCCCGCGCCAACGTTTTGGTTCATCGAACCACGGGGCCAGCAATCGACTCATCGCCCGAAATGGTTGTTGATATATGTGTAACCTCCAGGGTGACGCTCTAAGCGAGGCAGAAGGCTGCGAGCTTGGCTGGTGACTGGTGCAATGGTGCCAGCCATCGAAGAAAGCTCCATCCATCAGCCTGACCAGCAACCGTTCCTAATAGTTTCACAAGCAGAGGCGTTTCTCCAATTTGTCTATACTATAGAAACCCTTTCGATAAACGAATCTGTGGTGCTGTACTGGTTAGTCAGGAGTGAAAAAGACGCCAGCCAGTTCGAGCCACCGCACGCTAACACTAGGCAACCGCTATACCTGTTTTACAACAGCATACCTGAAGATCTGCATCGTCATCCAGCCGCTGCTTGGCTATGTATGACAAAGAGGGAAGATCGCACTATATGCTCTTATTCTGGATGCGTGTTAGTACAGGAGTTACCCCCTCTCCTCACCTCATTGACGTGCCAGTTATTAGGCGCTGCGCTAACTGGCTGTGTGGCGACCGGATCGGACAGCGACTACCTGCTGTCTCATGTTGTCCAAGAAGAGGAGTATACGATTGAACGGTTGCTGGCTTTCAGACGTTTTCCGTGTGCAATTTTAACTGGGTTGACGTTGGCCTCGGATTCCAGACGAAATATCTCCGGCTTTTCTCGTCTGATCTTTCCTCCTCTCCAGGCTCCGTTTAGCGTTTCTGGGCGTTGGGCAGACGCGAAAGAAGTGGGAGCCAAAGGACGGAAATTCCAGGTGCTTATTTGGAATTATGGGGTGCAGCGTCTTACAGAAGCCTAGAGATCGGTCTGTCGAGATTAAAAAAGAGCCTCGGCTGGCGAGTGACGAGTATGTCCGCGTATCCGGCAATTGAAGATTTCAAGGGCGCACAGCTGTGGCCCTAGCTGGCAACGGCGCGTATGGGGGCAACGGATATGGCAATGTAGGTAGATGGATGCAGAATCGTAATTCCCATGTGTTGCTCATTTTTAGAGCTGCACGGACCTCTCTCGGCGGTAGTCTGTAATCATTGGCGATCGATGCTGCGACGATTGGATCAGCTGTACCAGTCTTGTTAGCCATTTGTGTAAAGATCTGCGGACTCTCAGCTTGGCAGGGCGAACAGGCCGCTGGGGGCCACATTCGCTTGACAGTGTGGCAATTGCCATATATAGGGGAATAGAGGAGCCTTGGTAGATCGGTGGCTCTACTAGTATAGTTCAACTAGTTGGGAATAAGGATGGATGCGTGGTGTTTCTTAGTTTGTTGAAGCAAAAAATTAGGCTGTGTATAGATCAGAGTCGTAGTGTTGGGTGGTGTTGAGTTGGACGCTGCCAGCTGGCAAAAATGCCAGCCAGCCGTCCGTTTGCTCTGGCCGGAGTATTCGTATTCCGCCGTCTAGGTAACTATCCCTATTCTGCAAGCTACACCCTCATTTCTCCTCAACTGAGTCATCAAATCACCATCAGTGGTTCCTCTCTCGCCGCAACCTAGCGCCAACCATCACCGTTGATCACCGTCATGCGTGCCACTGAGGATGATCGAGGCTAATAAGCAATCGTCCTTTGCATGGCGCGTCAAGGCTAAACCAAACACCACCTCCGTCAGGCCCTCGAAAAGCCCGGTCTAGTACTGCTCAACCTCGTAGTCTAGCGCCGTTCGCCTTGGTTTTATTGGTATAAGACGACTTGCCAATATACACAGTCGCGTTTCGCTTCCCATTTTGGGCCTCTCAGCGCTCAGCCTAGGACTCGTGCCGCAGTCCACGCTTGACCTCCTGATGGTGGACAACTTGGCTGTCCTACATATTGTCAACACTAACTACTACCAGTGCACACGGGCTGGCTGCCGTTCCGTTTCTCGCCTAGCCTCGACGTCAATCTTCGCTCGGACCACAATTGTGACTTTTTAGCAGTCCACCTCGCGACTTTAGCCTGCCGCTTATGCACGATCCGTCCCGCCGTCTGGTCAACGGAGTGTCTCTATTGGCGCTGCGAGAATCCTGGGACGAACCATCACCTCGTTCAACCTGCCTCGACGATGTATCGCTTCCGTCACCGGTGTCATCGCCCGATAGCCTCCTAGCCACCCTAGCAAGCTGGCAACTTGGCTTGCAGCGCCACCTTGTCAAAAATGACAGTACAGATGATTATGACAATCTTGGCTCTCGAGGGCTCATGCTTGGACCAAAACGATGGAGCCTGAATCTATCTGGCGCAAACCCACAACGCACTCTTGCAGTTTTGGGATGTCGCCCTCGGACTCCATGCAGGTGTTGCGATGCAAAACGTGCCGGGCATTGTCCGATTTCACTGCCCCGCCATCTTTGGTCATTTTTGGCAACTACGTATCCGTGAATCTAGGGACCGGCTTGATGTCAATGCCGAGACTCGATCTGTTCCAATGCTAGCTTGACCCGAACACCCCTGAGCCCTGAACATTGTTTCGATGCTCGAGCGCATGCACCATCGCAACAATAAACCTGGAACCTGCCAAGGCTGCTACTACTGTGACCAAGGCGCAATGAGGCTGATTCCAGCGTTAAATCTACATCTTATCACACACTGGTCGATTGTTACACGTCGTGCGCCGGGTTTCTCTAACGCAGCAAAGCTAAACTCATCCGCACGCGCCCGCCTCCGATGACCAACATGATCAATTACGCTGGGAAACTGCTCTCATATATGACAAACTTGCACTGCAATCAGCTCTAACAGTTCTGGGCGGAGGCTGGCGCAAAAACATCAAGTACGGCACTGGCGACGGGCCACGCCGTGGCCCTCTGCTTCCAATGCCTTTGTTGCCCGTTGCAGTATCATCAATTTAAGCCGAAGCAAACTGCGCAACAACATTTAAAGGCTTCAAGTTGCTACTACATTTATACACTTGCCATTGCATATGTATCATTGTGGCAGAGTTGGTTACGGACAAGATCCGAACATGACCTACACTCCATCAGCGTCCATAGGCCGACGATCCAGTTCGTTATAGGCCACTGCACAAGATCATCTGCAAGACTGCCCATTAAAATACAAAAAGTGTCACAAATTTCCGGATGAGCCGGCTGGAGTGAAACTTTTGCCGCTCTTGGCGGCGCTTTGGTGCCATCAGCGACGCTTCGGTTGCCTTCTGACCCTCACCTTGTCACCACAAACCCAAGGTCTCTGAGCTCCAAAAAGCAAGTGTGGCAGCGCAAACCCACGTTATGAGACTCAGCGATAGGGTTCGGAGCGGGGAAATTAGGCGTTGTTTGTGGTGCCTGACTCTCCCTGCTTAACTTGGCGAGCTTCGCCTTCATAATACGGCGCAGGAATTGGTCCATTCAACAGCCCCGTCCTCCACAACTGGTCAGAACGCACCACTCAGAGGATCAGAAGAGGAAGGGAAAATAAACTCGAATTGTCACTTGTCTAGGTAGCCTCTTCAGTGCGGCGAGGGGTCCAACTGAAGCCCACCATTCGCTCCGTCAGCGATTTTCTGCGGCTTCCGACCACATTGCCCCTCATGTCAATGTCACCCACCCACTACCCGTAATACAGGCTGCAGAGCCCTATCGCTATCAATTTTTGCCTTCAGGATCCTTCCCGAATTCGACTTGAGCCACAACTTGTGAAGCTGTCTGGCTTGGGATTAACCCCCCGCTCAACGCTGCCCTTTACGTCAAGACTGCAACCCCATAGAGCTAACCACCTCTCAGCCTCGGCAGATTCATAGGGCAGCTCCATCCTTTCGCTTGTTAGAGTGCATCCCGAAAACGCTATTGTAGGGTATCTCTCTTTCGTTATATCAGAAGTAGCTGCCGCGATTTCCGCCTGCAGTTCGTTTAGGCTAAGAGCCCTCCTCGTGAGTAAGTTGGCCATGGCGTGGCGATAGTCACTTAAACAAGGCCACCGCCTACATCAACATCGGTGCCGCGAGATAATCCCACCATACCTCCCAGATTCCGGGAAATCTTGATCCAAGCGGGAGGTATTTTACCGTCAGTCTGCATTGGCGGACCGCACCATCGACTGTTCCCATGCGGCTAACTCTGGAGCTTTCGGCTGGTACCTTATGAGTTGGCAAACAAGAGATTCCGCTTCGCTGGGACCGAAAGGAACAGATCAGAAGAAGTGTTTTTTGTTAACTACCACGCCGTCCATTATTTCGAAGGGACTTGATGCACGGCCATGGAGTACCGACTGCCTGGGTAGCTTGACAATTGCTGGTATAATTTGGAGGGGCGATGAAGACATACACTATCATGCGCTGTCTTCGACACCCTTTTCCTGGGCGACAATGCGATGTCCTTCAATTGCGCAGCAACATACTTGGTTTCGTCGCGGCACACGATGTGTGTCCGTTACACTGCTCAAGTTGCTTCTATGCTGCAGACACGGGTGTGCGCACTGGCTCCTTGCATTCGGATGTCAGTAGCCGGGTCACATTCGCTTCGATAGGGCCAAGACGCTTGTTGCGAGGTCTTGTCTGCGCTTTGTGCCTTCGTCTGCGTTCACCGGTGCCGAGATGTGGAAACCTTAACCCTCTCTATAGCCAGAACATCCTCATCGCAGCTTCGCTCACGGCAATTGGCGGCCGCTATGTCGTCTGCTACGTATGCGTTGGCTTGCCATCGCCGAACCTTCTGCCAAGCTGGGTTTCCGTCGGGTTGCATGTGCGTCTGCTACGCCGTACAGTACAGCGCCTTGCAGGACGGGCGATGGTCGCGCCTGTCGATTTTCTGCTCTGCATGCGCATTGAGTCACTCAAGTCCGATATACACTGGCGAATTACTGCACATTTGCAGCTACTTATGTGGCGAGTGCCACGGAGCCCGAGAACTTGCTGTTAGTCGCGTCTCTTGTCTACCCCCGTGTTGCTGTGCTACCGAGAATCATCACTGAGCGAGACTTGCAGGCTCGCATTGTACGAGCCCCATGCCTTGTGCGAACGCCGCCCTAGCCACTGCGTTCCCTGCCCTCAGAATACAATAAGAATATTGTCGGTGAGCCTATGACTGCCATACAGTGTAAGTTGTTGCGGTAAGGTTCTCATCAAAGCCTAGTAGTATTACATAGTGACGCGCAACACATGAAGTCGGACACTATGCTCTCCTGCCGTACCGCATTAGCATGATCTCGGAAACCCCTTCGCCTGCCCCTCGCACGTCAAGACCAGGAAAGGCAAAGACCGGGGCGCCCCGAATTGTCAAGTTCAAAGCGCAGTACCTTATATGCTTAATACTGCACCGCATAGCATGACCACGGGCCAAACATTCTAGCCTCAAAGTGAGGCGAGCCTATGTTTGTTCACCGCATACCCGCGGATAGAGGCCGACGACGACACAAGACGCGCACAAAAACGCAGAACACCCCCCGCCACCCTCCTCATGCGCGACTCCCCCAACGATTCATCCCGTTTACGGATAATCACCGTGCATGCCGCCGCCGCCCCAGGGGGGCCAAGATCTCCCGATGCAGGGCGACCCCAGGTTTGTCGTGCTCGCCAACCACAATGCCAGGCTCTCCCCGTTGCTGTATCACTATGAATCAATGGGCCACTGCCACGTATAAACAAATGATGCCACCTGTCTGGGCGAATTTCTTATACAGACCCTTGCGCAAGATTACCGGGCGCTGTGCGCGCTCCTGCCGTACAGTCACAAGTAGTGGCCTGTGGCGATGATGGCCGCCCCGACAGCCGGATGGCCCGGTGCCAGTTTGGGGGGGAGATATTTGCGACAAGACAGGCCCATGCGTGTCTAGTTGAGTCAACCCCCGAGTCGCTGAACCAATCTCGCTCCCTGTGCAGTCGAAGAGCGACTGGGTGTTGAAAGCGGCGACACGTTGCTCTTGTGGTTTGTTCCGGACGCACCCCTCATCTGCGGTCGCGCGCAAGGTGCATAGGCTCTGTACGTTATGCGGGTGCGCATCCTCGTTTTTCCCGCGCTTGATGCAATGCGGCTGCATGCTCCGTGGTGCAGTTGTACTCCCTCAACTATTGCTTCACGGCTCGGGGGCCGCATGGCGACAAACATGGGGACCGCCGGTCAAGACGTACGTCCGCATCAGCTACGACGCGATGAAGAAAGCGTCCGTGTCCAATGAGTAGTTACCCCCCACTCGTCTTGTCTTGGTGTGATTTTGCGCGCGCCGTTTGTCACTCCTTGTTGTTACACACGCGATCAAATGGTAATCATCAGGCTTACTTCTCTACTTTCTGCTTACAAGACACTAGTCACAATAGACGGTGAGTTTGTAGCTCGACAACTTGACGCAGGCGGTGATTTCGTTTCATCGAGACACAATGTCTTGCCCGCGGAAGCGAGATTGGCTCGTCGCGGTCGGGGGCGGGGACAAGGAAGAAATAATAGATCCCACGTAGAAACAAGTTCTCCTAACTAGGTACTGTGATTAAGCTGACTTTGGTGTTTTCTATTCCATTCTTTTCCCCTTTTGTCGGTCTTTGTAGGCCCTTTATTCGTGTAAGCTTCGGCACCTACAGAGTACATGGGGCGAGAAACCTTGCGGACAAATTTACCACGACCTGACTATTCTTCGAGACACGAGACTTGATTGTGGATTTGTTTGAAGAGGTCAAGTCCCGCCTCATCCTGGCCTCGGTACGACGCCGACCCCTTCTCGCGGGTCGTTTGCAGCCGTACCTTGAGTTATTTCAACTCAATCCGCCCTGAAAGCCGCGTCAGCAAGGTGTGGACAACGACGCTAAGAAAGCGTCTCATGATTAAAATAGAAAATATTCCCGCAGACGAGCAAGACGCAGATAGCAAGCCCTATTCAGAACCCCATCCCTCCGCGCCCGGCAGCGTCTGATCGATATGTGCCACCTTGCCGTTGGACAGCTCGACAGTGAAATCCACGCCCGTAACGCTCGATTTTCGATGTCCAATGACCAGGATTGTACAATCCGGAAACGAATCGCGCATGATCCTCTGAACGACGCGCTCTCGTTCTTCCTCGACACTGCTGGTCGCCTCGTCTATCAACACGACCTTGCTTCCCGTGTCCTGATAGCGCATAATACCACGTGCCAGGCAGAACAACTGCATCTCGCCATGGGAATAACCGACATCGTCCAGCATAGCATCTAGGCCTCCCTTGTCGCTCAAGTGCGACCAGATACCGAGCCGGACCAGGAGCTCGCGAAGCTTCATGTCCTTTGCTTCGGCTTCTCGTCTTTGCTGCGGTCGCATCTCCTCCCTGTCCACGTTCAGAGTAAACGGCAGCAGGTTGGTCCGCACTGTGGCGTCAAGCTTGATCTGATCCTGGGAGATGGTGACGATGCGGGATCGCAGCACGTCGACGGGAATTGACGAGATGTCAATGCCGTCGATAGTGATCACGCCTTTGCAGTGAAGGAAACCGAGAAGCGCGAGAAACAGGGAGCTTTTGCCACTAGAATAGTTAATCAGCGTTACGCTGGATTTGCCTCAGAGTACTTGACAAAATTTACCTTCCAGTGCGTCCGACAAGGCCGACCCGCTGTCCCCCATCTATGGAGAGCGACAGGTTCTGCAGTACAGGTGGTCGTCTGTTGTCGTCCCTTGAGATAATGAGCTAGGCATGAGCGGAACGCGTAAAAGATCATGACATACCAATAATCCGCTGATACATTCTGCAGTTCAATGTGTCCGAGAGACGGCCAGTTTTCGGGCACTTGGAGATGCCGGTCGCTGGGCTCCTGCGGCGTCTCGTTCATAAAGTTTCGCAGTCGCGCGAGCGCACCGATGGATGTCTCGAGCGATGTCCACGCCAGAATCAGGTGCTCCAGGGTCTGGGCCAGAAGAATCAAGTTGAGAAATGCCAAGCCCAGCGCGGTCTGCGACGTAGATCCCTTCATAAAGAGCACGAATGCCATGAGGGTCGTGGCGACCACTGCAATCAGTAGGCCTAGGACCAGCCCTAGCCACTGTTGTATACAGTACATGTAATAAAAGGCTTTTTGAGAGTCATCCAGGAGATGAAACCCTTGCTCGAGGGTTTTCATTTGCCACCCGAAAGCTCGTATGTATAGCAAGCCGTCTGCTGTTTCCTGGAAGTGGGTATACAGCGGCGAGCTAGATTCAAGGTCAAGAGCCCGCATTTGACGCGAAGTTCGCAGATAAAACCACTGGATGGTATAAACAGCCAGGAAAACCACCGGAAGGACCGCTGCCATGTAGTTGGCGCCGGACACAACGATACCACTCTGTATCAATGCGGTGAAGAAAACTGTTCATCAAGTCAGCAAACTGTGGATAGTAGGCGTTCATACATCATACCATAGAAAGTTCTCATAAAAGCAAGGGGTAGCTTGCGGGCAACCAGGCTCATATCTTGACTGAACCTGTTGATAAGAACGCCATTATCGGTTACGCCGAGAAAGCCCAGTGTCGCACGCATCAGGGTCTGAACTAAATGATGATGCAGTCCCAAAGCGGTGCGAGGTATCAAGTAGGCGAATAGAACGGCACATGTGAGTGCAAACAAAAAGCATGTGGCGACAGCGATGCTGGCGTAGCCGATGAAGTAGGTTTTGTCGTCTGGGTGGCGTTCGATCCATAGACGCATGTAGATATCCGGAAACATCTCTCCTGCGGAACAAAAGAACATGGCCACGCACCAAATCATCAATCTAATCCTTCCGATTGGGTCAATGAAGAGCCAATACAAACTCGCGTCTCCTTTTCGCACAAGATCCGCTCCTGGCAGTGCCGTCTTCTCTGGCTGCTGCGCGTCCAAAGAACGGCGAAGCTCGGCTTGTTCCTTTGTGATGGCCTCCTCAGACTCGATACGACCTGATACATTCATGATCCGAAGGGCCCTCTCGCGAGAACCGCCGGATCTGAAATTGGACTCGACCCTGACACCTCCATGACCGTCGAGCTCAAGTAGCTGGTCTGCCACGTCGAGGCACTCTGGCAAGTACGAAGAGAGCACAGCGGCGGTATGGAGCTCCCTCAGCAGTCCGTTTTTGCCGCAGAGTCGGAGAAGAATAGAGGTTGCGGTCCTTCGATCTAGAGAACTGAAGACGTCATCCAATACGATCACGGACATGCGTGCAAATAAAGCCCTAGCAAGTGCGACTCGCTGGCGTTGGCCACCACTGAGTTTTGAACCGCCGCTGCCGACAATGTAATTTTCTCCCTCTGGTAACGCAGCAATATCCTCTTCAAGTAGACAGCAATGAAGAACCCTGCGGTATAGCCGCTCATCAAATGGCAGATAGCCGATGATATTGTCTCTGATGGAAACATTTTGAAGCCAGAGCAGCTGTCCACAGAATCCCATTGATATGCTGTCAATATATATGGCGCCTTCGATTAGCGAAGTTTCGCCTAGTATAGTCTGCAAGAGCAAAGATTTTCCAGCACCGTTGGGGCCAATCGCTAGTGTCACCGAGCCAGGATATACACAAAAGCTGACGCCGCTGAGGATGGGAATTTGAGTGCCTGGAGGTGCAATTTTTGCTCCGACAAATTCCACAATCGGCCAGGTTGTCGGATTCGCCGGGTCGGCTTTCTCGCCGAGAGGCGCCATGTCGGGGCTTTCTCGCAGAGTGCGAGGATCCTCCCTTTCGGAGAGCTGTAGGAACTCCTGGATGCGCCTGAAGCAGCGAAACATGGAGGTCATTGTCGGGTATGCGCTCAGGAGGAGGGCCAGTGGCGTCTTGATCAGAATAATGATGGAAAGCGACGGGAAGATGGCAGCCGCAGACAGCCTCCCACCAAGTGTGTGCCAAAAGAGGGCAGCAGCGATCACCACAACAGGCGTGATAAGTTCGGCGCAAATAACTGGGATACTCGCCACTGCTTCGAGAATTCGGAACTTGTTTGATTTGATCATCTCAGCTTGTCGAAGGTGCTGCAAGTAGTCGCCGATGACAGGGCCCATGCCAAGCATTTTAATCGCCTTAAGCTGGCTAAGCACTGTCGAAGTTTTGGCCACCCGTGCTTCAATACTTTGATTCCAGGCCTGATACGCGGATCCTATCGAGCGTCCCAGAAAATAGGTAACACAAGTTGACGCGACTAGAGGTACGAGGACCATGAAGCATGACTGGCCAACGAAGCCTGATAGGAAGTATATGCCCAAGCCAACTTCGAAAAAGGTCATGACAAGCTCATATATACTAGGCAACCCATTAGCAATGCCATCGACGTCAGTACTCATAAGAGTTATCGCGGAGGACTTCTTTGCTTCGGACTGAGGCAACCGGGCATTCTTCTCCGACAACTGCGTGACGAGCGCACCGCGTAGGCGCGTCACAATGCGGTAACTCAGGTGCTTGGTGGCCATTTTAGACAGAGTGGCGCCGGCAAAGGACAGAAACGTAGCACATAGCAGCAAGGTCGCCTCGCCCATGGTAGCGTCTGGGTCGTCGAGACTCTCAATGGCACGACGCAGGATGAATGGTTGCGAGAAGGAGAATCCCGTAAGGAAGACGCGCGGAACCAAGGCGAGCAGCAGCAGCCACATCCACGCCTCGAAGCAGATACGCAACAGTGTGTTCTTGGATTTCCAGCGCACCCCATGCAAGTGTTGTTTCAACTTGCTATGCAAGAGGGCAGACGAGAATTCCGGTCCAATGTTGTCTAGGTCCTGCAAACAGAGAACGTTGCGAAACCCGGCGATGAACATTGGGTTCAAATAGGTGAAGAGCATTCTTTTCCAAAATCCAGCAGTCCCTTCTTCGCCCAAAGACTCTTGGAGAGCTGGATCAATGAGAAGCTCTCGCTTGCTGACCTCTTGAAGGGTCAGGAGGACCAAGTGTACGCCGCATGAGGCGGCAGCTAGTGCCCCGACTGGGGCCAGTCCGGGTCTGGAAAAGAAGGAGCGACATTTGACGGCCTCAAAAACGACTCGGACAAAAAAGTAGAGGCCGAGAAGAGCCGAGGACCTGATTGCACGTCGATGCTCAACATAAAGGAGACTGGCCGCCACGAGAGCGGCGATGAGATCCAGCGAGGCAGCTGGGAGAGTCGTCTCGGTGACGATGACATGAGATGCAGAACGGAATGAAAGGCTCGCTATCTCTATTCCAACCGAAACGGCAGCTACTATCTATTGATTTGATTAGGTCAAGAAACAGCTTGCATGGGATGGCAGGCCAAGCACGTACGAGTTTAATCCACAGAAGCGGGCTGCGGCGGACATGGACAGGCTGCTGCAAGTAGGAGATGGCAGCAACAGGTGCCAGTACAAGAAGCAGACAAGAAGGTGCGAGGTCGAGCACACTCTCTTGGAATTTGAGCGTCAAGTCACCGACACGGCCCGGTAGCCGGCCCCAAAAGGCACTGTCCGCGCCTGCACTGGCCATTTTTTTTTTTTGTACTACGAAGCCCGTACGGGCAATGCGCAAATGAAGTTTTGGTCAGCAACTCGAGAGGAAGAGCCTGGGTAGAAGGCAGAAGAGGAATGGCGGCGCGTCGATAAGATTCGTTGGTGGCGCGCCGGGTGAAGAATGACGAAAACCGGCTCTGACGCTCTTAACAAGTTGCCGACCATGCTGTTTCCCCCGCCTCGTAATAAGGAACAGCCAACCCTATAATGGTAGTAAATAGGTAATAAAGCAATAGTTGGCAAGGTAGCATAAGTCTCCCCACCAAGACTAGCCATGTGAGGGAGGACCTTGCGCTCAGCACAATGCAATTCGCAACTCGAGTACTGAGTACCGGTACGTACTGGTAGCCGGTTCGTTCATCCTTCGCTTAAACTATTATTAGTACAACATCGCATTGGAACTTTTGGGTGGCGCAATCTAGCAGACAGGGCCCAGCCAGCCTGATTTCCACTCAAGGCAGTTATGCGGACTAACAACGTACAGGGTTGCCAATTGACTCTTCGTCGTTGTTTTGTCATGTTTTCTTGAATAAAACCAGATGTGTGTTGTTGTATTAGTCTCCCTGCACTGCTCTCTCAAAGTTCTCGGAAGCCACGCAACAACCGTCGTCGGCTTCAGCTTGTGTACGACGGAAAGTCAAGTTGATATTCCGGCTCACGGCTGATGAGCCTGGTACGCCATCAAGATGGGGTCATGTTGTATCGGGGGGGGCGGGGGCGGTTTTAGCGGCGGAGGCTTGTCACAATCACCTCGCAGGATTTCGGGCAATCATGGCCAAGCGCCAAAGAGATGCGGAGATTCGGAACGGAAAACTGTACTCGACAATCACTTGGAGTCGACGACTGTTGTGCGTTTGTTGAACAGGTTGGCGGTTCGCTATCGACGACGTTTGATTGGGCACAAAGCTGCACAATCCAAGCTTATTAGCACTCTGTACGAAGTAGACAGTCTCTCACATCTGTTCTTCTCCATCTCCTGTGCCACCATGGATGGGGTATGCCTCCTCTCGAGCGAATCCCCCCCGGCCCATCCTGGCGAATCTGGGCGGGTTATTAGTAGGGAACTTTTGGAGGCAGATATGGGACTAACAACGGCCAATATCAATATCGTGTGATGTGGTGGGGACGATTGATCCTCGGCCCCCTCTGTTTGGTCGGGAATTACTAACTTACTATTTACGCGGCGAGCAACAACCTGGCTGGCAGCCTTGTTCGTGGCCGCAATGCGGGCCTATTCCTTCAGAAACAACCCTACTAGTAAACTAGAGCAAAGTGGGTTTAAGCGTAACTCCTTTAATGATTTTGATTATATTAAATTAATTCTCTAGTACTGTAATAAAGATTCATCTTCTATTATTAGAAGAAAGATAAAAATTGTTTTCTAATAACAAACCTAGTAAATAACTTATCAACTTACAAAGTATAAACATTATCTAAATTGACAATTTTAATTTAAGATATAATAATTCTAGATATTTAAAGCTATAATATAGAATAGACTAGAAACCTCTATAAACCATCTATCTTTCTTAATATTCTAATAGACTTTTAAAATAATATACTTTAATATATATATATATATATGATATTCTTATAATATCCCCTTATTTATAATTATGTGTTATATATTTATTAGTGGATTGGAACCATCAACTTCTAGGCAGCTCTAACCGTAGAGGTAGTTCAGTATCTACTTACTTACGCCCTCTACGCGTTCCGTTCTGTAACCAACCCATCATACTTCATACACGCTCGTGAGCCTAATTGCTATTGAGCCCTCCATGTGGCCTTCTTGCCATCTCAGACAACATCTGTCACCATCCTCAGCGATCACTTGGCAGCGCCCGCGTTGGACGGGGGGCCATGGTTTTCTCTCAACCCATTCAAAGCAACAACCCGCAGGTACTGCTCTCTGGCCTGGTCGAAACCATTCTACACTTCAACGGTGCCATCATCCCCATCATCAACTCTCTCCTGCTGCTCGGCATCATCCCGGCGTCCTTGATCTACTACCTCCAGCAGCCAGTCTGCGGTTGCCGCCGCCCATTCTCCAAGGCCAAACTTGTAAGTCAAAAATGCAAGTTGTGAACATCGCACGCTGACCCAAGGGGAGAACGGTAGTCTGCATCCGCCATTCTTGCGGCCATTGAGCTGGTTGCGCTCGCGTCCCCTGCGATTCGTGCGGTTCCGTGCGACAACGAGATTCCTGTCAGTGCTTTCCTGAGCTTGGCGGCTGCCAGTGTCGTCCTGGCCATTCACTACGCCGAGCATGCATGCGGCGTCAATACACCAGCATTCTTCCGCAGCTACATTCTCACGGGATCTGTGCTGGACGGGGTCAAGGGCCTGTACTTTGCTCGCCACCAGCTATGCACTGCTAGTGGTGCCTTGGCCAGCGCAGCCGGCGTCACGCGCCTCCTTCTATTCGCTCTCAACAAGACACAAGCTCCGAGCAGCGGATGTGGTCACGACCATGCCATGAGCCACCTAGGCTCCCATGATTGGGGCTACTCCAAGTCTGCATTACTCGATCCCTTGTTCGTTTTCAGGCTTGACCTACCCGTGTTATTGGTGTTACTCGGAAAACCGACAAATCCCTCCTCAGAGCTGTCGCCGGAACGCCTCCACGACAAACTCATGCATAGTTGGCAACATGCAAACCGCAGCAGCCTCAATTCTCTCGCGCAGACCTGTCTCCGGACATGGAACACCTCCGTCACGGCCTCTGTCACGTTGCGCTTCGCGGCTTCTGTCTTGTCTCTTGCCCAACCGTTCGTGCTGTACTGGATGCTTGTTACTCTCGGCTGGAGCGACGAAACCAGTCTTTGGACCAAGTCCACGCTTCTCGTCAGCTTCAGCGTCGTCGTTTGGGGAAAGGCGGCACTAGGTTCTGCGGCGACGCGTGCCGTCTATGGTTTGGTATGCCGGATACGTGGCGGACTGACTAGCCTCGTATTCGAGAAGCATCAAAATTTGACTCGCATTGACGCCCAAAATGCGAGAGCTGAGACGCTCTTCCGCTTGGATATGGAAAATATTGCAACTGGTCTGGCACAGGCCCTGACACTCGTATTCGTCTTCATCGATGGATGCCTTGCCGTGTACTGTCTGTCCTGGCTCGTGGGCTGGTCTTCGGGAGTCTTGGCCCTTTTGGTCTTGATCGCTGCGAGCGCCGTTGTCTTCTTTGGTTACCACATCGTGCCGTCTTTGGGCGTTTGGAGACGTGATCTCGATACGCGCGTTGGGAAGACGTCAAGCATACTGGGCCGACTGACCGCCATCAAAATGATTGGACTCGCCCCTTTAATCTCCGAATTCATTGAAAGCCTCCACTCTACTGAGCTGGAAAGTTACGGGGTGTTTCGAACGGTGCAATCTGTCTCTCAATTGGCCGTGTCATTTTCTAGTCTGACGGCGCCGGCCGCTGTCATACTAACCGCATCGCTCTGCAACACGTTTACCGGCGGACTCTCTCCGGCTGTAGTTTTTGCCACTTGGAATCTCGTTTCGATGCAGGGTCGCCTCGTGGCTTCTCTTTCTAAGGCATATTTAGATACGATTGTGATGCTGCAGTCGTTTAATCGCATTCAGGAGTTCCTCTCCCTTGACGAAAGAAGCGACAACAGGGTGTTGGAGTCACCGAGCATGTCCAACACGGTGCGAGCGCCTGCTTTCTCAAGGCAGAGACCAGCACCCACCATTGCAGAAGCGGCAGCACCATGTATTGAGTTTCAAAATGTGACGATTACGCCAGCTGGTTCGCAGTCGCCTCTATATCACGACGTCAGCTTTTGTATCCAAAGGGGCAAGATGACAGCGTTGGTCGGGCAACGGGGGTCCGGAAAGTCAGTCATGCTAGAGGCTATGCTCGGCGAGGCCAAGCTCAGTGACGGAACCGTGTACGTGGCTGCCAATGTCATGGCGTTTAGCAGCCAAACCGTTTGGCTCAAGAACGCTTCCATCCGCGACAACGTGATTGGGCCGCTCCCGTTTGATACGCGACGTTTCAAACGAGTGATAAAGGCCTGTTTGCTACAAGACGACTTGAAAACGCTCCCCGGTTCGGATGGCTACATCGTCGGCCTCGCCGGCGCGCATTTGAGCGGCGGTCAGCGCCATCGGGTCGCCCTCGCGCGGGCGCTCTATGCGGAGCCGACAGTCTTGCTGCTTGACGACTTGTTTAGTTTCCTGGATCGCAGAACGGCCGTGTCGATCCTCTATCGGCTGCTTGGACACGACGGTCTTCTTCGAGTAGCGGGATGCACCGTTGTGTTTGCCACATCACTCGTCGAGAGCTTTGACGTTGCTGATCAGTTTCTGGTGCTGAATGTCGCAGACAATACGGTGGCGCTCGAGTCCAACAGAGGCCAGGCACACATTGCCAACCTACTACGTACACAGCATGTCAGCGCTCCGGAAGCGCTCGAGGAAAAGCAACAAGAAGCCCTTCGCCGGACTTTTGATGCGCGCAACCTCCCTGGCCTCGATTTTGACCGAGATCTCGTTCCCCACACGCTTAGAGAGCCTAGAGCCTTTCGGTTACTCTTCAGCTCCGTCGGGAAAAGGAAGCTGCTCTTTTGGTGCGGTCTCGTTCAGCTTATTTGTATCCTCGAAGTCTTCTCTAGTGAGTCTAGTCCCGTCTACGGCCTCTCGAGTGACCCTAACCTCTAACATGGCATAGAAACCAACCTGCGACGATGGATCGAAAACGAAACCGATGTGAAGGGGCTATTTACTGGCCATGTTTGCCCGATCCTGCTCTCATGCTCGATCGGTCTATTCTTATTTTGGTATGTCAATGATGCTGCGTGTGGGCTCCGTTTTCTTACCTCTTGCTAGGGCAACACAAATCAGAGATGCCTCCAGCGCTGCTATATTTCTTCACCAACGACTTTTACATTCAGTTATGCGGTTCGTACTTGCGCACCACGATTACTACCATTGCTGATATTCTACAGGTCAACGGCAGGCTTCATGGACGATGCCGGCAGTAGCAGGATTGCCAGCAGGTACAGTAGCTCCCGCATCGCGAGGATCCGATCCTGATTTGTGATGTAGATTCAACCAGTCTATTAGCTATTTTACGGCTTCGCTACCCACGAGCTTGCTGCAACTCCCCTACTGTAAAGCCGACTTGATCGCAATCTTCCGAGCAGAGAGCTGATATATCTTGACAGACGGGACGGTACTGGTTTTACATTGCGTCGTCATTCTAAAAGGTCCCAAGTACATGGTTTCTGTGCTGCTAGCCACTACCGTCTACGTCATGCGCGCCTATGTCAAGACCTCTTGCGAACTAAGACATGTCAAAGCCAAAGAGACGGCCCGCCTGCATACCTTTTTCCAAGAAACTGCGGCTGGACTCGTGCACTCTCGGGCGCTTCGGTGGCAACCTCATCATCTGGAGCACGGCTTCAAGCTCATTGATAACCATCAAAAAGCCTCCTTGTACTTGCTGTATACTGATGAATGGCTTCAAGGCATGTCGTCGGTCATTGCTTGCGTTGTAGCCACGGCCGTTGCTGCATTTGCTCTGTTTGGACAAGGTGGAGGCACAACGGCGGTGGTTGGTCTGTCGCTGCACCAAGCGACCTTCCTGAGCGACTTTATTTACAAAATGGTGCAGTCTTGGGCCGCATTTGACGATACATGGGCGGTCATCTCGGACCTCTTTCTGTTCTTGAGGGACATGCCCCAGGAACACGAGGCCCCCAAGCTTCAACTGTCTGAAGACTGGCCAACAAAGGGAAAAGTAGAGTTCAAAAACGTCACTGCTCGTCACGGGTAAGCCTCCTACCTTTCTTTTTTTCGGCCCTCTTTCTGCCTCTACATCGTGGCATTGTTCTTCTGACATGAGACTGCACTAGGCCTGGTAAAAACGACGTTCTTAGTAATATCTCACTTACTATTGAACCGGGGCAAAAGGTGTGCCTGTTCGGTCGGACTGGAAGGTATGCTCGAAAGTTAGCTCGATTTGATCTATCCTGGCGCCACTGACTCTCTCCATAGTGGGAAATCGTCCTTGCTCCTTGCCCTCCTCGGCTTTTTGGAGTACGAGGGCACAATATCAATTGACGGGATTGACATCTCGTCCATCCCTCGCGATTTGCTTCGGTCGCGTGTAGTGGCTCTTTCCCAGGAAACTGTCCTGCTCGAGGGATCCCTTCGTTCCAACCTACTCTGCTACGAAAAGCTGGCGCCGCCCGAGGATGGAGAGGAAGCAGAACGGGGGGACTTGAGGACCGAGTTTGATTCAGAACTGAGGAGCCTGCTTTCAGAGGTCGGCGTCTGGGGAGAGATTGCTGCCCAGGGTGGCATGGACGTTGCGTTGGCGGACGCTGGCTTCAGCACGGCCACGCTTCAGATGGTTTGCTTCGCTCGCGCCGTGACCCGCTATCATCGTTCGACCGGGAAGCTTGTCCTAATTGATGAAGCGACGAATGGCATAGACAAGGAACGCGATGCCGCGGTTCAGCATGCCGTCTGGGAGCTTTTCGAAGGCTGCACTATTTTGCAAGTCGCACACATGGAGGAAAGCACGCACGATGCTGAGCTCAGCGTCGAAATCTCCAAAGGCAGAATCGTCCACACACGGGCAGGCGACGTCTTACCCCCGGGTGTCGTGCCTCGAAGCCGCGAATTGATGTCCCCCGAGAGTTTGATCGCATCTCCCGGCCCAGCACCGTCATCTCCGAGGGAGCCGATAGAGGACGTCGAATATGACGCACTTTCAATAGCGAGCCATGCTCCACCGCCGGCGTCTGATGTCATATCCATCAGCGGTGTCTTTAGGCAAGTCGTGGGCAGCGTGGCATCTCTTCGAGATAGTGTCCTATCTCCGAGGCGCGTTTTGTCAGTGGCGAACCGCACAAACCCACCCGGCGCGCTCCGATTTAGCGTAGCTAGTGAAGCAGAGTACGACCAGACGTCGGCAAGTCAGAGTTCACAAGCGCGCAGAGACGGCTTTCAAGGCGCACACGGACAGAGTGCTCAACAGCCGTCATACCGCCCCCCGCAGGCATTGAACCGACCGTTTGTGGAGTTTGAGCTAATGTACAACCCGGTACGAGCATTTGAAAAGCCTTTCACAAATGTGCAGCAGCCAGTGTACAGACAGGCGAGAAGCAGCGGCCAGCAGTTGTCAAACCTCGAGCAAGTATACCAGGGCCAACGATTCTTTCCGAATCAGCAACCATTCCAAGGCCAACCACCATCACACAGACAGCAAATGATTTGCGCCCAGCAACCTGTCAGCGCAGAGCAGCCGTCCCATGGGCAGCTCCCCTTCAACGGTGACTTTGACAACCAGCAAGCGATATATGCCCAGCCCCAAATTCAAGAGCAAGAAACCCCCGGGGTAGCTGCTGGCGAATACGGCCACTCAGCCAGCCTGGTGGACCATCATGAGGCGAATGAAGATGACGAAACATTGTTCTCGGGAAGCTACGATACAGGCTCAATGTATGGATCTGAATCGATATATTTGAAGCCCAGCATCGAAAGGGATTCTTGACATGTCCTTTCATGGTCTGGCGCCATCAAGTTAGGACTCCATGCCCGCTCGCAGTCGAAAGGAAGTGACACTCCATGTCTGACTTGGGGTTATATGAACTGAAAGATGGGCTTCAATTCAGGTTGTATTCAAAAGGAAGTGACACTCCATGTCTGACTTGGGGTTATATGAACTGAAAGATGGGCTTCAATTCAGGTTGTATTCAGGAAGAAGAGCATTTATTGTGTCTTCTTTTGCGTCTTGGTAGACTGATAGAAACAACGTACGGTGGCACGGTAGTCAACGATTGGTCCAGCCCTTGGACCGGCTTCATTGCGTGAAGCGCCCAGGTTGTCTAGGTCGTGAGTGACGGGGGAACTATCCTTAAGGTTGTGAGAAGCGAGCGATTCTGCCCGATTCTGAGATATGATGAAATCTTATTAAACGCCGAAACTAAGAGTCATGTCTATGGCTCCCTTTAGTAAGTTGATAATGTACAATTATTTCACACGTTGCCCCCTGTAGACTTTCCCATGCCCAAATTGCAGTCTATGATGTCCATATTTGGCCTGGTACACATTCTTCGTACCTAGGCCTGTAAAGCGCCGCCTTGAATTACCCGCTATGCAAATGCAGAAAAAATATCGTCCTGTCGCGCCCCGGGTCAAGAGAATGCCCGGTCCGCCACCCAGTGCGGCAGATGAAACTTGACATTCTCATAAACCAGAAACGTCACCCACGTTGCCGGCATGACGCGCACCACGCCCGGCACCAAGCCCCGATAAAAGCCGCGCAAGCCCTCCTCGCGCCATATCCTCGCGACGACGCCGCGTGCGCCACGGCCGAATCGCTCATCCGCGCGGTAATTCTGCAGCCGGCTGCGGACGACCTGGTACGGGTAGGTGGCGGCGCCGGCGACGAGCTTGGCGGCGCTGGAAAGCACAATGGTGGCTTCCGGGCTCATGGGGCGAAGCGGCGGCGGCGGCCGCGGCGTGGCAGCAGGGTCCGCGTCTCCGCAGCCGGCGCGGCGGCGATTGTAGTAGGCGCGCTTGAGCGGCTCGTAGACGGCAAACTGGACGGCGCCATGGGAGACGCCGACGAGGGAGACGGCGAGGCCGCGGTAGAAGCCGAGGGGGCCCTCGGTGCGGAGAATGGACAGGGCGCCGGCGGACATGGACGGGTAGGCGCCGCGGGCGCCGCGGTCAGAGGACAGCATGCGCGTCTTGAGCACCCACACGGGGTTGGTGAGGACCGAGGTGGCGGCGCCGGCGAGCGCGCTGGCGACAAAGTAGTCGCCGGCGGAGGGGAGCGGCGGGGTGGTGGTGGTGTCGCCGTGGCGGCGCTGCCGGGCGAGAAGCCGCTCGAAGCGCGACTTGAAGAAGAAGAAGGAGGCCCAGCTGGTGGCGTTGCCGACGAGGTTTGGCGTCAGCCCGCGGTAGAGCGAGGCCAGCGGGCGGGGGGTCGCGGTGAGGGAGCGCAGCAGGCGGACCGTCGTGGGCGGCTTGGACAGGGGATCGCTCACGCTGCGGTAGACTGTGTGGGGGAAAGGGGGTTAGCCGGGACGGTTTTCTGCAGTGGTGCATAGTAAGGGGGGAGAGAAGGTGTACTCTGCATGCGCGTCTTGACAATGTCGAGGGGGTGCACGACCAAGGTCGCAATGGTGCCGGCGCTGAGACCGGCAATGGACTCGACGACGGCGGGAGACAGGCCCGCATGGCTGGAGTCGGACATGTACGGCCACTGTGTACTGGAGAAGGGAATCTGGTCATCGGCTCATGGTGAGACGGAGGGCATGGAAGAGACTGGCATGGTGGTGGGTGGCAAGAGAAAAGGTTGTTGTGTGGGAGAAGACGTTGAGGTTCATAAAATGTTGCTAATATTTTTTTGGGGGGCCGCGCTTTTGTCGGAGCTTTCGGCCGCGGCTGGACGCGGCTTCATCCGCCACTGCAATTATCGAGTATTGGACGAAAAGAAAACCGCATGTTACGCATTATGATTCCGCAAGTTGAAGGGAAGTTTTTTAAACAAGAAATAATGTCTCGGAGAAGAATTAGACGCAGGATGAGGCATTCCAAAACATTACACTTGGGACAGTCAAAGCAACGGGGTTACAGGCACAAGCCGCTGCACACGCCATTTGAGTGGTATGGTAGATTTTGCTATTTTCAAAACATGATTCCATGTTGGTACACTTCTTCACAAGGCGGCAAGAATGCACCCTGATGTTGTTACATGGCGGATATCCCTCTTCCGTTGCGGAAACCTCGCAAGATATCCCAACGCCAGAAAATGCCCAGTCTCATCGCGTCCGTAGTCTTCAACTCGGGGAATCCCTTTCTATCGTCATTGCTTTTTTGCCCGAACCGTTCGGGGGACATTTAGTTTTGGAGGTGGGTGCTGTTGTACAAGGTTGGATATGTTGTCGATTCGATTAGGAGAGAGGGGAGATGAGGCTGCTCGGCTGTTAGTCGCACGCATCTCGCAATATGCATCGTCGTGTTGCGGGAGAGAGAGTCTGGATTCGTACCGGATCAGAGAAGGTTTAGGGTCGCTGCGGGTGTAGCCTGGTATCGGTTAGTCGAGGGTTTCGTCGCGCGCGTCCGTCGGCGAGTTTGAATCGTACCAAGGTAGAGAATCAACGGGAGGTAGCCACTAAGAGAGAATTTGTGAGCGATAAAGGAACGAGGAGATGGGAAATGATGCTTTTGCGCGCGACGTACTAGTGAACAGCGACGCGGGAAATATCAATGAGCTTGCCGATGCGCTCCTATTCGAAATGGCAGAAAAGGGTCAGTCGACGGCGTGATTCTAGGTGGCGCATCCAATCGCGGCAACAACAAACCTTGGATTCTTCAGATAGGGCAAACATTTTGGCGGCTGTGGATCGATCTCGGAAAGGGACGAGTGGAAGAATAGATTAGGGAGGTATCGGAGGGGGTGAAGATTGTCAATCGTGGTCTCGTGGAGGAGGAAGCGCTGGAAATTTTGGCGTAGAGTGACGGCTCTACTTTTTTTGGGGCGGATCAACCCCGGCAGAACCAATCACAATCCAATCTCTTGGTAGAGCTTCGACCTTGAAATTTCCAGTCAACACAACTCTCCAAACGCAACGTAATATTCACCACCCCCAACGGCAATCCCTCCCGAAGAACATCACCCTACCCGAACCTCTCCAATCCCACAAACAAACACCTACTACCCAGAGAGAGATTCCCCTCTCTCCCCCGCCGCAGCTCAAGATGGCGCAAAACCGGCACTGGTAACGCTCACCCCATCTCCCTCCCTCTCTCCACCAGCTAACCCGCCTCCTCGCAGGGAGCAAGACAAGGAAGCGACCATCTACATGGGCAACATTGACGAGCGCGCCACGCCCGCAACCATGTACGAGATCATGCTGCAGATGGGCCCCATCCACAACATCCACATGCCGCGCGACCGCGTCACGCAGTCGCACCAGGGCTTCGGCTTCGTCGAGTTCCGCACGCCGTCCGACGCCGAGTACGCCGCGGCCGTCATGAACGGCGTCAAGCTCTACGGCAAGTCGCTGCGCGTCAACAAGGCCTCCGCCGACCGCCGCGGCGGCGGCGCCGGCGGCCCCAACGGCGGCGGCACCACCGACATTGGCGCCGAGCTCTTTGTCGGCAACCTCGACCCGTCCTGCGACGAAAAGGTGCTCTACGACACCTTTTCCCGCTTCGGCCCGCTGCTCTCCCTGCCCAAGATTGCCCGCGACGACAACGCCGTCTCCAAGGGCTTCGGCTTCATCAGCTTCGCCGACTTTGACAGCGCCGACGAGGCCATTGAGACGCTCTCCGGCACCTACCTGCTCAGCCAGCAGGTCACGGTCCAGTTCGCCTTTAAGCGCGACGGCAAGGGAGAGCGCCACGGCGACAAGTCCGAGAGGGAACTCGCCATGCAGGCCAAGAAGCGCAACGTCGTGCCCGAGGCCCAGCCGCTGCCCCCGGGCTTCCTCACCCCCGCCCCGTCAGCACCCCAACCCCAGGTCGTGCCCGCGCCGCTGGCCCCGGCCGGCTTCGCCCCGCCGCTCGGCATGCTGCCCCCCGGCATGCCGCACATGGGCGCCGCTGGTGCCGGTCCTCCCCCGCCGCTGCACATGGGTCCTCCTCCGCCTGGCTTCGCCCCCCCGCCGCCGCAGCAACATCACCAGCGCGGACCCCCCCCCTGCAGCAACCGTACAGCGGACCGCCGCCGCCGCCGCCTCACGCGGGCAGCGGCCGCGCCAACGCTCCTCCGCTCGTCGGTATGCCCCTGCCGCCCGCCCCGACCGGGCTGCCTGCCCGCCCGCCGCAGAGCCAGGGCGGCTACACCAACCCGGCCGACTACCACCCCAACGGCGGCAGCAGCTACCGCGGCAGCAGCAGCAGTGTTCCGGCGTCCGCGGCGGTCCCTCCGCCCGGCTTCCCCATTGTGCCGCCGCCGCAGCAGCAGCAACCGCCGGCTGGGTTCGGTGGTGCTGGCGCGGCTGCTCCCCCGCCTGGCTTCATGCCTCCGCCGCCGGGCTTCCCGCAGCAGCCCCCGCAGGGTTATCCCCGCCGATAGTGCCGTACCTGTTGGCGATGGCATCAAAGCCTCATAACACTACCAGACAAGCGACAGAGAGAAACAAATCAATTTTTTTTTAATTTGGCGTTTCAAGTTTTTCGGGTCAACGGGCCAGGATCAGGCTTTGCTCTTCATTATGCATAGGACAATGGGCGGCGTTTTAGCGGAAATTGGGATCCTGTAAAAAGTGACATCATAGTTATTTCAGCCAATGGTGCGTGATTGTAAACAAGACAAAAAAGGATGTTAAATTTTTCATGGAATATACAATTTTTGTCTCTGACCCCCATCATCATCCGTGCTATGCAAACTCTCTGCAGTGTGTTTGATTCCTCATAAGTCCTCTCGTATAAAATGCCCATGACATAAACACCTTGAAACGCCAAGCATAAAAGTTTCCTCCCCATGATATCCTCCGCAACAACTAAGAAAACTAGCATGTTAAATAGTACAGTACAGATATGCCAAAACGACCCGAGGGGGTACACTGCCTCTCTCTCTCTCAACTCCGTTTGAATGCATTCCTCGCTTCCGTCGTCGCCTTTTCCCACTCCAGCCTCGACTCGTCCCGCTGGCCCTGCACGTCGTATGAGTGTGCCAACATGCCGTCGGCGACACTCTGCCAAAGGACGTTACCGCTGCGCTGGGCCTGCTTGGCCGCCGCGCGCGCGCTTTTTAGTGCCTGGTCCCCAATGACGTTTTCAAAGAAACGGCTGCGCATGATGCAGAGCGTCACGGCGGCGCTGATGATGTTGGCCGTCACTTTGGAGCCGCTCATAGCCGCTTGAATGTGTTGCTTTTGCTGGTTCAGCTGTTGCGGCGGGTCCGTGACCAGGGCGGCCATAACATTGTGCCAGGCCGTGCGCAGGTCAATGTTCCAGTGGGTGTTGCAGAGGGGTTGCAGCTGTTCGATAAGGTCGATCGTCTCCTCGTCGTCGCGACATGAGTCATGCTGCATGATCCAGAGCCTGTTGAGGCCAGCCAGCATCGACACTTCTTGCTCGCCGACCTTGAGGCCGTAGCTTTTCGTGAGAGGCTCTGTAAATCTGTCGCGTTGGAATATGTCCAAGGCAGTTTGCAGCTCGCCCAAACCCTGGTGGTAGACGCCAGATAGGTACAATGCAAGTAGCTTCAACGTCGGCTGCGACTCATCCGATAGCAGGCCCTCCAGCTTATCCATGTACCCCTTGACTGTAGCCCACTGGCAGTGTGTGGCTTCAAGCAGTCCAAGCATGACTGCCATGTACGCTTGGCCTTCGGTGCGCCATTGACGCTGCTTGATCGCCGTGTGTAGAGATACCGGTGGTCCGTACGGGATGCCTAGTGTAGATTCGTCCCACGTTTCAAGGATCTTGGACCCTTCAAGCCAGAACTCTGTAGACTTTGATGATTGCTTATGCAAAGAAGAAAGCCCGCTGAACATGAATCTAAACAGTATTAGTATAGTATCGGTGATGAAATATTGGTGCCGCTTACATGAGAGACCGTAGCTCTATCTTGGTCATAAAAGTAATGACCAAGTTGTCGGATTCCGTGGTGCCGTCGCCGGGGTCGACAATGGACGCCGTATCCTGGCCAACTATGTTAGAGCTGGCTGCCTGCTTCTTGATCGGTACCATGAAATCCGCCTTGACATTATTCCAGTTCTCGCAGTCATCAATCTTCCTCTGCAGCTCGCGCAGCTTGACCGATGTCGCATCCGGATTCTGGTGGTGCAGACTGGCGGCAAAATCCAGGAGAAGAACCAACATGTCCAGCTGCGTAATCCGAATCGTGGGGTCGAACTGAAACTTGGCAGCCTGCGCGATGCAACTTTGCACCTTTTCAATGCTGCCTTCCCTGGCCGTCTTGAGCAGCGCCAGGCCTTCGAGGACAGAGGCAAAGATGCTCAGGGCATTGTCCCCGCGAGTGGATGCCACATTTTGGATGGCTCGAATGTTTTCGAGCGCCGACGCCTCCGATGCGTTGCCCATTTCCATGTAAAAGGTTGCCTTTAGCAAACGGAAAGCGTAATACCAAGGCACATGTTTAAAGCCCTCGCAGTTGGAGATGTGCCCATCGACAGCCTTGAGCGCCGCTTTGTGATTTCGTTGGAAGAGGAGCTTCAGCATGGAATACTGCATGCAGTATTTGAGATCCATCATGCGGTGCTTATCACACAGCGCGATGCCCTTGGTCAGAGCAGTTTCCGCCTCCATGATGTTTTCCGTCTCTTCGTGTAGCACGGTGGCATAGCGCAGACGAATTCGCGCCTCTTCCCGTGGTGTTAGACGTGTCGTCTGCAGCATGCCCTCGAAGCAAGAAAGACCCGTGGAGATTAATCTATGGTATTCGGTCACATCGTCCGGGTCCAGACACATGGCCACGTCGTGCGCCTGCGATCGCGCCTTGCCGATACATTCCTCCGCTACCGCTGCCATAATCGGGCCTGTATTGACAGGTCGAAGCTTGTGCTGTGGCGCCGGCGATCGCTTGGTGATGCTCGGCGAACGCGCCACCGAGGGTGACTTAGGCGGGGGAGGTTTCGGGCTTGATTTGAGCCAGGGCTTCGGCGGCTCTACCTTTGTTTCCTTGCGGGGTTTCGGCTTCGGCGGTTCTGGCTTGGGCTCTTCTTTGAGCTGCGGTATAGGCTCTAGTTTGGGCTCTGGTAAAGGTTCTGATTTCGGCTCTAGAATCGGTGACGGCGCGTTTGGCATTGTTGTATCTTTCTGTTCGGGTTCAGGGTCGGTCTTCAACGGGAGGGGAAAAGGGTCGAGTAGCGGTTTTGAGAAGCCTAGAGTTAGATCGCGAGGGTCGATGCTCTGAAGCTCCATCGTCGGCATAGGTGGCGGCGGAGGAATGTTTTGTATATCTTGCAGGTTGACAAAGTGGAATTGCTCACTCTGCAGCTGTTGTTCAATCTGCACCTCGTCCAGTCCAGAGTCTTGAGTGACGCTTGTTAAGGCATCGATATTATTCAGTTCGTCGTGTAAAGGTTGCGGTTGAGGCTCGGGTTCAATCCCAAGTTCGGGCTCAGGCTCTGGTTCGGGTTCAGATTCGGGTTCTGATTCCGGATCTGGGGGATTGTGCAATTGTTGTGGTTGTACATGCAACTGATGAGGTGGTTGCGTTTGCTGCGGCACTTGCGGTAGCGGGGTCGTCGGCGTTTGCGGTGTCAACGACTGGTGTTGTTGTTTCTGCATCTGCTGCTGGCTCATTATGTGCGGGGATTGCTGCAACTGTGGCGACTGCACCATTTGCGGCGATTGCACATGTGGCGAGTGCAGGTGTTGGTGATACGGCTGCTGAGGCTGTGGCTGGTGGTATTGTTGCTGTTGGTGCTGGTGCTGCATCTGCGTCTGGGCGTGTGCCGGATGGGCCTGGTGATGAGCCAGCGGCGTTGAAGGCGCTTGCCGCGGCGTCATCTGTCGTGGGATCGGTGACGGCTGCTGCGGGATCGGCGACTGGGAGATGCGTCGCTGGTACTCGTGGATGTGCTGGGCCGGTATCGACGGCTGTCGGGGGCGAGGCGACGGGCGCGACTGGGCCTGAACTTGCGGCGAAGAAAGGGAGCTGTTGTAAAGCTGAGGGGATTGTTGCTGTGCGTGCATCTGTTGAAGCTGCTGGAAGTGTTGCTGCTGGGAGCGCTGCTGCTGCATCACCGTGGCCTGCATCTGTGTCGGCGTCATGGCGTGTTGGACTGAGGGCGACTGCGATTGGCGCCAGACATCGTTGGACGGGGGGAATTGTCGGACATCGTGATGTTGCTGCGCCTGTTGATGCTGCTGCACCTGTTGATGCTGCTGCGCCTGTTGATGTTGGGAGAAGCCCTGTTGGAAGCCGCCGTGGTACACGCCGGCTCCCATTGCGCCGCCGACGCCGGTACCAAACTGCTGCATCTGTGCGGCATGCTGCTGCTGCTGTTGGTAATGTTGCTGTTGCTGGAACTGATGATGATTATGCTGGGGTTGTTGATGCTGCTGCTGGTGGAACTGGGCCTGGCCCATGCCATTGGCGTAGAGGCCGTTGGTGTTGGGATGCGATCCGTTTTGCTGGGCAAACTGATGCTGATGCTGCTGCGGCATCTGATGATGCTGGCCGTGATACTGCTGCTGCTGCGGCGGCGGCGGCTGCTGCTGCTGATAGGCATACCCGGCCTGATGACCGGGCGCGCCGCCACCTCCACCGGAATACACGTCCCCTTGGCCAGGATAGCCCTGGCCGGGCGGGAGCGCGCCTTGGTATGTCATGATGGCCGCACCATGAGCCGGGGGTTCGCGCGCGCTGCGATTTTCCAATTCGTCGGGTTGCCGGCTGGGGGGGCGAAGTGGTTCGGACAGATGCGCGCTCACAAAAGTCTCGTCGTCGTTTGGTTCAAGCCCCTAGCTGCATCGCTGTCGATCGCGAGAGGATGGGGGGTGGGTGTGTCGCGGCGGCAGACAAGGGAACGGGGGTCGTTTCGCGTCGCTGAGAGGGCGGCCAGCGAGAAATAAATTCAGCCGAGTGGCTTGCCTTTAATGACGCTCTCTATTCGTGCCGCGCCCCTTTTCTCGCTTCGGTCAAAGTTTGTCGTTGGATTTTCGTGGATGGGTTTTGGGCGAGAAGAAAGTAGCACTACCCCTACCAGGTTTTGGAGCGGAAAGGAATGGGCTGGTGGTGGCGCTCGAGTGCTCTTTGGGCAGATGCTGTCACTAGTAATAAATGGGCAGGAGAAAGGGCAACGGGGTGACCGTTTCGCCGAGTTTGGCGCCGTGTCGATGAAAGATGACCTTTTCCACTGGCTTCTCCTTCTCCTTTGGGTTTTAGACAAGCGGCATGATTTTTTTCCATTCATGTCCTCAAGCCAACGGGTAATACCTGCTGCCTTGGTGCCACGCGCATGGTCTATTTCCATACCTTCCTTCTCTCTAGGTACCTAGGTTAGTACGGAGTTTGCGCGCCCGCATGACAAGGCTGCACCGAAAGAAAAAAGTCACCGCGTCGTACACTAGATGAATTTCAGACCGCTGCCTGCAATAAAGAAATTGTTTGCATGTACGTCCATTCTACATCGAGGCCGCCAACCTCCACTATTTCATGCCAGGTGGCCATGATGCGAGTCAAGGCCAAGATAGAGTTTCAGCCTGGCACACCAAATAGCTGCACGCATACTTCGTAGTAGCCCAATGACATAATGATTTGAGGTAACCCTATACGAAGTACAACTGTCCTGGGGGAAAAGAAGGTTGGCATTAATAAAAACTATTTCATAACAAATCATACCTGCCCAGACTCCGCAACTATTGTTACAAGATTCATTCAAAGTATTCTAAATACAAGCCTCATCCTTCATGTCTCGATCCTCGTTCGAAATAGCCGAGTCATTCATTGCGAGCTTGGGTCTGCTTAGTATGTGCCGGAACTCCAGGATGATGCAGGTCGTTTCCAACATGGCAAGAAAAGGAAAACGAAAATGACACAAATTAAAAAAAATAAAACAAAACAAAACCATCTTCGGCTCTGTTGGGCTGTTCTTAGCCAACGCAATGCCATTCGGCAAACACGCACCAACGAGCTGTTCGGTCCGCCAGAACGAGACCTCTCCAAATGCCCGTCTCCGAGCACTTGATAATCGTCTCCCATGTGCCGCCATCGCTCATCTCATCGTCATCGCGTCCCGTCACCGTGATCCCCTTGCGGTCCTCCTTCCTCATAAGACGGAGAATTTTGCCGCCAGGCGTCTGGATCGCGAGCTTCGCTGGCTTGTGGCCCGCCACAGTGCCGCTTGCTGAACTAGGATTGGAACCATTGACGCTGGACGCCGCCATGCTCATCGATGAGCTCGGACGCGCAAAGGGGTTCGGGCTGGTCCGGCCGGGGTTCGAAGATGGTGTCAGGTTTGACTGAAATTCGGCGGCCGACAGGCATGGGTGCTGGCGGATAGCAAATACAAATGTGTTGTTGAGTGCTAGACGCTGGCATTGCGGCTGCACAATGTATATGTCGTTACGCTGTGCGTGAGGCGTCGGGTGTCGCGTTACAAACTGATAAGGAGGGTTCTCTCCTGTATGAATAATAGGTAGCGCAAGGGCCAACGGGTGTGGTACATCTTTGATACTATGCATCAAGCCGCGTGTGCCCGCATAAACCTTGAGCACTCCTTGGCCCTCATCACCCGGCAGCAGCGCCTTGATTGTGTACCTCTTGACACCACCGTACCACTCTGCCTGCACCAGTGCTTTCGTTTTAACCACTTCGCCGCTCTCGAATACGTCTCCGTCGTGATCTTGCGAGTAAGCGCGAGTTTCAACTTCCGCTACCAGCTCAATATCGGACGGAACGTTCATCTTGAGGTGAACCATTTCCAAGTCTTCGATTCTGGTGGATGAAGTATTGAAGTCTACCATCTCGACTCCATCCTTGAAGAAAGTAGGGCAGACACAGGGGAGGTTGAGCAGAATCTCATGAGCCACTGCCGGTACAATGTGCTGTTGTTCATGGTGTTCTGGAACATGTGTCCAGCAGAGCTCCGAAGGTCTGGTGAGGAACCACCAAGGTTCCGCCACATTGCTGCTCAGAGTCGAGTATCGGCTTCGCTTCGGGTTTGACGGGCTGGCTAGACAGCAGTCCATCATGCGCCATTCGTTATCCACGAGCACCGCATTCCACCAGTGATTTGGTCGCGGCGCTATGCTGCTGTCCGCTATTTCACCAGGTATCTTGAGGTATCCCCGTACCACTTCACAGGTAATGCCAACGGCGAGGCACATTTCCATAACAAGCACGGCGTACTCTTCCGCACACCCGCGTCTCGATTGAATGACTTCGCGTGTGTTGATCTCGCCTTCAAAATCTTCTTCCCAGACAATTTTCTCGCTCACCCATGTGAAGATGGCCCGCAGACGCTGTACATCGCTGCGGTAAGGTCTGCAAACGTAGGTGGTTGCCAAGGAGATTGCTGTCGTCATGGGGGAGGCTTCGTTGATAAATCGCGAGTTCTTGTCAACTTGCGTCAGATTGATAGACTGGTAGTTGAGCGAGTCTAGAACAGGGTTTCCATCCGCCGCTTCGTCGCCCTCGATGCTTTCATAGAGCTCGTCAACTGGGTTCAAAGCCGCGTGATCCTGAATCTGACAACGGTCTCGTCGTTCTGCCCGCTCGATCTTGCTCAACGAATTCGATCTGTTGATGTCACGACGCACTTGCACCCAATCAATAGGGCCTGTGTTCGCTTCCCGTAACGTATCCAGATTTGAACGCATGCCCGCCGTACGGGAAGAGCCCACCGCCGGGCCGCCACCATAAGAGCGATTGAAAGGCGAAGCATTACCTGGCTCATGTCCGAGTCCACCTGCGAGGTTGCCGCGATTGTTGGCGACACCAGTTTTGGCGGATTCGAATATTTTCTTGAAGATGTTGCGTTTTGGGGCTTTTGGTTGAACCAGTCCGCCCAGTCCTGCAGATGGATCCTCGTATACAGCTTGCGACATTGGTCTGGCAGCGGCACTAGCATTCGTGGCATGGCTGCTGTGATAGGATACGCCTGTAAATGGTGAATCTGGTCGGTCGAGGTCGGTATCACGCATGGGCAAGGCACTTTGGGTTCGATGGTGATTTCTAGCCATGCTTCCCGCGCTTGTTGAGCTGAAAGCACTGGCCGACACACCGCTCCACAGAGTTCTACCACTGCTTTGGGTGGCATAGCTAGTACTGCTTTGGTTGCCGGACGACGAATTTGTTGCGTTTGTTTTCGTTGTATACGTGCGCCCGATGACGTCCTTGTCTCTCATGTCGTAGGCCGATTTCTGAGACTTCAATGCCCTTTCAGGCACGGTGCGGTCTCCGGCTGAAGAGCTAGGTCTGGTGTAATGCTGGTTCTTGGGTGGCGGTAGTGGCGGCCCATCAGTCTCTACAACAGGCATACTGTTGCTGTGCTGGTGCATCTTCTGGAAACGCTTCTCCATTCTTTGGACGTAGTTACTCAACTGCGGAAGCTCTGAGGTCTCTTCCTGTCGGGTGCGCTTATGCCCATCGCCTTGAGAAGATTCACCACTCCATGTCTCGTAGCCTTCATCCGATTGGGCAATGCCCATCGAAGTTCGAGGTCTGCCAAGCTCGGGTTCATATGCGCGTGGCGCTCGGGACTCTAGGCCAAAAGACTCGGGTGCCCATGGATCGATTTCGGCTCCTGGTGACTCGCCTGATCTGCTCAGCCCTTCCAGCTCATCAAGCTGTTCCATTACACCATCCATTGCTTCGCGAAGCGGTGAGGGCGTCATTCCATTGCTTCCGCCAGGGGACTGGTCCGGAAATGAGCCAGTTCGTCGCGGCGTGCTGAACTGATCGTTGTGGTCATCACAACGACGATCAGCGTAAGAGCCGTTTGATCTATGTATTTGGAAGTCCTCTGGGCTATGGTACGAGACTTGCGATCCATGCCGCGATACTTGAGGAGGCTGTGGTTGGTAAGTAGCCACAGAGCCGTGTCTTGAGAGAACAAGTGGAGGTTCGACGTCAGCAGAGCCAGCTCTTGCGACGTGCTTGTGTGGTGGAGGTGGCGGGGGCGGCGACTGTTGCTGCGCGTATGCGTTTGTAACTGGAGGCTCCGGGCGGCGGAATGAAGGTGCAGGCGACACAGCTCGAGGGTCGTAGGCCTTTATGCGAGGCGGTGAAGGGGTGTGTGCCTGCCTCAGCGCCGCTGCACCAGTCTTGGCTCTGGCAACGGCGGTCGAAGACTTGACGGGCGTCGCTGGTTTCGCGGCGGGCTCCTCCCGAAATGTTATGGGCGTCTTCGCACTGGTGTAGTGAGGAGCCTTGGCGTAGGCCTCAAACGGGCGTCTGAAAGGTTTCGATCGGGATGGACTCGGGGCGATACTAGGTGGCACAGGGCTGACGGAGCGGTTTGCGGACGGTCGAAATTCATCTGGTAGAACCCTGACAAAGTTGGATGGAAAAGAGCCGACCGTTCGGCGGTCACGATAAAGTCGTCCTGTCCACCACGAGCCATCGCCGGCGTTGAGACATTCTATTAGATCTCCTTCAATAAAACCGAGATCTCGTTTGCCCTGGATTATTGTCAGCATTTGGGGGGCGCGCATTGCATTATTGACAGGGTGCGAACCTCTCCTCCCCAAGAGTAAACAGCCCTACACCAGCAGGGAAATTGCGTGGGCAGCGGTGGTGGTGCCGGCACCATTGTAACGATGCTGTGAAATTTTGATGTATGATATTGGTGGTGAATAAATTTCGGATCGGTAAGCGGTTTGAAGTTGAGTAAGCGGGAGCAGAGCTGTTGTATCACGCTCCGTTTGCAGATGCTGCGGCTCTTGTCGGGCAGCTGTCGGTAAGGTTGTTTGTACTACAGTAGACCGGACGTTGACGAATTCTCAACCGGGCATGTTGATTGAGAGATTCTCGTGACACCAACAAAGAGGTAGAGAAAGAAGGCAATAATCTAGGTGAGGAATGAACGGTGACCGTCTTTGGCAAGGGGAAACTCATTTACGCCGGGATCCAGACTCGTCAGGCATCGGTAATTGGCTGGCGGGACGAACCAACGGCGTCAGTTCAGCGTTAGCAGTTGATTCAGCTTGCTAAACAACAGAGGGGCAACGAGACGTGTTGCCAGGGCGACGGCAGCGCTGCACAAGAGGACACTCCACTCTAAGCCCGCTAAACGGCCCCTAACAGCCCTAGAAACGATGTTGCAACAGCGCCTTTACCCTGCGACGGCCCCCAAAGCCGTCGCTAAAACTGCCTTGGCACTCTCCCTTTGTCAATTTGGTTCGCAAGCTTGCTGGGCTCGAAAAGCTGGGGTACGTACCGTTCGTACCTCATGACCACACCACTTGCATACCAGAGCCGCTTGTCACCCTATGTTACCAGCCACTCCAACGATGCACCGTCCAAAAAGACATTTACAGTACCTCTTTTTCGTCCAATGTTGAAATTCGCCTTTTCAACACCATAGTTCCCATGTCACGATATCAAGAAAATCGACAAAGTTGCCCTCTCTGCTCTGGTCGTTTCCCTCTCAAATTGAACCCCGCTGACGGACGTCACAGCTGTCCTAAAGCGGAAAATTGTAAACAGAGGCCCAAGCTCACCCTTGCACCCTGTCCCGGACAACCATCCTCTGGTCTGCGCGCATCCGGGTTGCCCTTGATAACCATTACGGCACCCTGCCGACGGCGCAACGCAGCCTCTCCTCTCTTCTCTCTCCATCGGAAACCACTCGACATCGATTCCCGGTCGCTCTCCTCTCAATTTTTGCCGTCAAGCTCAACAACCGTCGAGCGCCTCACCACCGCCTTGCTCGTCTGTCATCCGGGGCAGATTGAAAAAGGTTAAGCGCTGAACCGACGTCCTGGCAAAAATGGACGACGAAGGACTTGCAGACCACTACCAGGTCTTGGAAGAGCTGGGTCGTAAGTTGATTGTGGTACCAAGTCTCGCCATGGATGCTAACAATCCTTTCACAGGTGGGAGCTTTGGTGTCGTGTACAAAGGCATCGAGAAGACAACCGGAGAAACTGTCGCCATCAAGCATGTGAGTGGGACTAGCAAACCCTTCGCCACAACGGCAGACATACTAACGGCCAATCTCTAGATTGACCTCGAGTCCAACGATGACGATATTCAAGATATTCAGGCCGAAATTGCGGTACTAAGCACATGCGCCAGTCCGTACGTTACACAGTACAAGGGTTGCTTTCTACGAGGGCACAAGCTATGGATTGTCATGGAGTACCTTGGAGGCGGATCCTGCTTGGATCTAGTAAGCATTCCCCTTACAGACTCGCTACATTTATCAACTGACACGACGACGCAGCTCAAACCCGCCAACTTCAGCGAAACACATATTGCCATCATTTGCCGGGAACTGCTGCTGGGCATTCAGTACCTACACGATGAAGGAAAGATTCATAGAGATATCAAGGCTGCCAATGTCCTACTCTCAGAGAGCGGCAAGGTCAAGCTAGCAGACTTTGGCGTTGCTGCGCAACTCACCAATATCAAGTCACAGCGCAACACCTTTGTCGGGACGCCCTTCTGGATGGCACCCGAGGTCATTCAACAAGACGGCTACAGCTTCAAGGCAGACATTTGGTCACTTGGTATCACAGCAATGGAGATGGCCAATGGCGAGCCCCCACTGTGCCACATCCACCCCATGAAGGTCCTCTTTCATATTCCCAAGAACTCGCCACCCAAGCTTGAGGGCAACTTCAGCAGAGACTTCAAGGACTTTGTCGCTCAGTGCCTAACCAAAGATTACGACCGCCGGCCAACCGCCCGCGAACTTCTCCGTCACCGATTCATCAGGGGCGCCGGCAAGATTGAGGCTCTTCAAGAATTAGTTGCCGCGCGCCAGATGTGGGACGCCAACCAAAATCGCCAGAAGCACCAGATATACTACCAAGAAACGTTGCGGACCATGTCACCCAAGAGTGGAGATCAGGAGTGGACTTTTGACACGGTCAAATCTATTGCTATTGCTCCTCCCAAGAGACAGACAATCAAGGTCAGACGGACTTCCGCTATGCTCGGCGCCGAAGAGGGTTTCCGCAAGTTGGACCTCAACGACGGTCCTCTGGGTCCCTCTTCGCCCGCGCCTGGTACTGTCCGAAAGTCGACTGTTCGTCGAGCCCCCTCGCTTGCACAGGTCTCGGCAATGCACGCTGGTGGTTCTGTCAAGGGCAGTCTGCCTCCAAAGAAGCCTCTCCAGCCGGACATGTCGTTTGGAAACTCGGGGTCGACCATGAGACTGTTCCGTCGCGTTCCATCAGATAGCTCAACTGGGGGCCAGCTCGGTCGCCCTGTTTCGCCAGACGACGTCTTCTGCGACGAAAACCAATCGCTTTCAGCAGCTGCTCCAGTTGTGCCGTTTGGAAAGGAAGCCGTCATTGGTCGCCGATTGTATACGAAGGCTGTTGAGCCCACCATTGCTGAACTTCACGCTCAAACATCTGCCATGCAGAAACGTGAAGCTCTGGGCAAGGTCTCCGATGCCCTGGCGGCCCTTGATGCTATCGATCCGGGGGGTGTCTACCATCTCATGGCAAACCTCATTACCTCCATGGCCAAAGACAACAAGCTCGACGCCGCGTTCCTACGCCAGGCGAACGTCAAGGTGACGCTCGACGATGGTACCCCCCAAGGTACGGTGGTGATTAAGAATAGCACACCGGCCAGCCATGGCACCACCAACACAGCCTGCAGTCCCACCAAGCTTATCCTGAGCTCCAACAACCCCCACCTCAAAAGCCACCGGCGCCGCCAGGCCGACTCCCCCACTCCTTCTCAGCTCAGCGAGAAGAGCTCCGAGAAGGAGAGATCTATGATTGAGGAGAAGTACCCTGGCGGTGAGGCGGGCCCGGGTATGGAGCACTGCAAGCAGCTTGCTGATATCTTATACAACCGTTGGTCTGACGGCCTCCGCATCCGGTGGCCGCAAGTATAAGCGCACGCTGCGACTCGACGAAATTTACAAAAAGCCAAACAAAAAGACGCACAAAATATCAATCTGAATATTATCATCGTATTGCGTCAGTAGCGATGTACCAATACTCCCCGGTATCGGTTCCCTCGAAACGGAGGGAAACAATCGGGAAGAGCGACGATGTTGCTTGTTTTATACATGTCATCTAGCGTCTTGTGGAGTTATCTCTTCATTTCTCTTCTTTCCTCCTTTTTGCTTTTTGTTTTATCTTCGATGGAAGAATGTATGATTTGGATGTATGAGCATGTGTACTCTTGATTTTTTTTTTTTTCAGCATACCACGAGCGGAGGATGGCTACTACCAGAAATCAACAAGATGGGTTGGATCGCATGCGCATCCGGGGTGACAACCACCGAGCCGAGTGAACATCAATTCCATCTTCGATTTGCTTTTCTGAGGGAATCTATTGACTCTGCCGAGGCATACGGCGTTGCAAGGAACAAATATGGGTTTCCTTTTCTTTTGTAACTCTCTCAGCAGATAGCTAGCTATATAGTACCACTAAGTGGTGAGGACTTGGGTTGGTCGATTAATAAAAACACATTCCCAAAAAAAATATTATCCAATGCCGTTACGGAGTATGTGTATTTGCTGTGGGAAGGCAGCTCTATGTGGGCTGTGCGCCAAGCGACAGTTTAATGCGCCAATTTTTGAACTCTTCAGACAGTATGTCGCCATGGCCAGTCTCTTCCACCTTGTACACCTCAATCATGGGCGACTGGGGCTGCCGTCTGATTCGCCAGACGCCTTCGTCATTGATGGTATGCATGAGGACTACGTAGCGTTAGTCAATGATTCACAAAGAGAGCAAGGCAGGCAAAGACTCACACTCTAGAAACGCCGCCGCAAAGTTGACACACATGTCGGCGTTCCACGACGGGTTCGGCCTGCCGTTGACCGTCTCGGGGATGCGGTGCGTCTCAATCTCCTGAACGTCGAGCAGGATGCCGTCGCGCGAGCGGAAGCCAACAATGATTTTGGGCACGCCAAGCAGAAACGACTGGATCCAGTACTTCATGAGCTTGCGGTGGAAGTTATCCACGTCGCCCGGGCCGCGCATCTCGGCGCTCGTCTTGAGCTCGACCCAGTTGATGGGGCTGCCCTGCTGCACAGGCTTGGAGTCCCAGATGGCGTCGACCTCGCCGCCGAGGCAGAGTATGGTCTTGCCGATGCCGGTGCGCACGACGGAGCAGTACTGCGCCTTGTTGTTGACGACGGCGTGCTCGCGGCCGTCGATCACTGCGCGCTCCGTGTCGCCCCACGGCGCGGGCAGCGTGGCGAGCGTCTCGAACTTGTAGCCCCAGAACTGCATGACCTCGAGGGGCGGGCCGTGCCGGCGCCGGGTCTGGCCCTCGTTGCGCCGCGAGGCCACCTTGTACGCGTTGTTTTCTTCGATGAAGAGGCAGTCCTGGTACAGGGTGGCATTCATCTCGAAGCCATCCTGGTTGTCAAACGGCGTCGCCATGATCTTGGTCATCATTCCGCGCCACGTGACGACGTGGGCGTCTATCCGCTTTCCAGTGTCCTGTTCATGGGCTGTGATGGTCCTCAGCAGGCTGTCGAGATGCTCGTCTTTGCTGTCGTCGAGCTTCTCAAAGGTGTCGAAGCCTTTGGAGAGGTCGGCGCCCAGCTGCGGGGTGTAGTACCACTTGAGAGAAGCATCGCCTAGTGAGAATACATGATTATCGTCGTAGGAGAAGCAGGCGATTTCCTGCCCGACGTGAGATTAGCCACGTTAGTCGCGTCTGCAAGTGGCTGTCACCCACCTTGGGTCGCCGGACAGGCTGGCTCGCGCCGGCGAAGCGTCCGATTGGTTGCACCGGAAATTGCACGGACATGGCCTATAAGAGGGTTTTCATCTAGTCGAGCGTTGCGCAGTATGCTTAAAGCGATACATCAGTCAATGAGTATGGAAGAGTTGATGAGGGCGGGAAGTTTCAGTGAAGCCAGGCCCACAGAATAGGCGCTGGTAGTGCTGGGGGGCGGTTCGAGAGCCAACCCTGTAGTTGGGGTGAATGAGGTGTAGTTATGAGAAAAGGCGTTGACAGTCGCCGATGAGATATTCCTGAGAATAAATGACTGTTTCGATTCTGCGGTTCCCCTGCTCTCACATTTATGAGGTTTGAACATAAGTTCCTGGCCATTTGAACAAAGACCTGCTATATCTAGCTGCAAACATCTTGGCGCTTGCTTCTCTGCAGTGACCCGGTAAGCTATTGCTCCTGCGTTGTTTGCAACACATTTATCTTTTCCATTCTCACCTTCTTCAACAACCATCTGCAACCCACGAAACCACTAACAAAAGCCCCAAATTTCAATTCCAATTTTCCAATTTTCCCGCTGCTTCTTTTCTCCCAGGCAACCGCCACTGTACAAAACACTGCCGGCTCGAACCACGTGATGGCGCTTCTTTAAGCCGCCCACTAGGACTCTTTTGGCTCCCTTGCCTCACGCATCCACGATCCACGCTGCTGCATCGCGCCACAGCCCGTCTTATACCCAGCGTCCTCGGCTGCGCGCAACGACTACAAAAGGCCCCCAGCCTAATGCCCAGGTCAAAAAAATCAGCGCGGACCGGGAAGAAGAAGCCAACAGCTCCGCCTATCCAGACAGGGTGGTTCACCATCCGCCGCATTTTGGACGAGAGGCGCGTCGCAAACACCACCGAGTACCTTGTTGACTGGGACGACGACGCCACTACCGGCGCATCGCACACGCCTACCTGGGTCGTGGTAGGCCGCCCTGTGTATCCCTAGCCTTGCGTGCGACCTTTGCTGACCAGTCACCAGAGCGCCGACGTAACCGCCCTAGCCAAGGAAGAGTGGAAGAAGAGCAAGGCATCAAGCACCCCCATACCACTGCCCGCGACGTTGGGATCCTCTGCCAGCCAGGTCGATCAATCGCCGCGCCCTGCAAACTTCCGCCAGATAGAGCGAACGAAATCAAAGACACGCGCCAGATCTTGTTCTACTGCTTCGAGTATTGATGCTGGGCCCGCTACGAAGCGCCCGCGATATAGTTCCAGTCCCTCCACTGACCAAGTCCCCTCTATTGTCTCGGGCCCTTCTCCCAGCCCTGCGGCTGATGTACCTGAGATCGAATATTTCACCAACTCCAACCCGCCAACTGAGATTTGTATCGGTATCCCAAAGGCGCCAAACTTTGACACCTCAGAGTTCTTCAGCGTGTGCAGATCGCAGTCCGCCAGTCACCCATCGCAATCGTTGAGTGAGCTCGAAGAGCAGGACCAGCGAGTCGCGCTTTCTAGTCAAATCAGCCTCCGAACTGTTCCAGACTCTCAAGACTACTCTGGGCAATCACTATCCACTGCCTCTCTGCATAAAGCTACCGATCACTTTGTCTCTTCCCTTGTAGCATCGGACGGCGTCGAAATTCCAGACTCGCTAGAACGGGACGTGATCCCGGACTCGCTGGATCGAGACAGGAATCACACCATCACACCAAGTGGCACAGGAGATCTCCAAGAATATATTCCCCAGTCTAGCATTCCGGCTGGACTCAACGCCAGCTCTGTTATCCCTTCCCATCAAGAGGTCACCAAAGAGCAGTCCTTACCCGAAGTCCTCGGACTCGACAGTAACCCAGGTGATTCGGACCAGCCTCACAGATTGTCGCAAATCGCAGCCAAACCCTCAGTTGGTGCAAGCTCCGGCGAGGCGCTGGTATTTCTTTCCCAAATTGAAATACACGAACCTTCTCTGCTTCTTTCTAGCTCCCCCGGCCGCGAGCCGTCACCTCCATCTCCTAGCCAGGCGGCCATAAGCACGGCCCCGCAAGTCAACCACGGAATATCGCAAGACGCCCAGGTAGTTCACAACTTTCTCGATACTGAGTCGGAAGACGTTACCGATAGCAACAACACCAAGATTGCAGAGATTAGTGGCTATCCCCTTCAGCACGACATCAGCATGGCAGACAACATGCATGGCAACTCTGGCACTCAGCGGTCAGCTGTAGACGAGTTGAATGAACTCTTTACGCTCCACTCAAGAACATATTCTCAAACACGGCCAGAAGAAGTTATAAATCAACCTATCAACACAGACATTGAGGTCTCCGATTTGAGCGAGACACAAAACGAAGTGCAGCAGAACTCGCCTCCGACTACGGGTGCTCTGGAATCCAGCCACTGGCACCCGCCAACAGTCGAGGCAGTTGACGATCCAGACCTGAGTGGTACAGGAATCGCCTTTGATACCCAGCCTGCGGCAAACACGCAGATACTCGTGCCTATACATACTCTTCAAGAGCTGCCTGATACCATCTCACCTTCAGACATCTTGGAAACTGCTGGAGCAGTGTTGAATGCCAACACCGATCCAATGCTCGACTCACTTGGAGTAACACCCGCTGCTATATTTGGGAGCTCTGAAGAACACTTTAGCGCGGGACAGCAGCCGCCAGGCTCACCATCATCATCTACCACCAGCGACGAACCTGCACTCATGCAACATGTTATCACATTGCCGTTCCAAGCAAATTTACGACCGCAATATGACGACACCTTACTGGCTCACAGAAAGTACATCACTGAGTTTTCTAAAGTCTTCAGCAACGAAGAGTATGTCGACCCAAAACCTAGTCTCGTTGCGAAGATCGATGATCTGTTTCTTGCTCTCCGCAACTACTGTGATTACCCACAAGACCTTGTCGGTACCACGCTCGAAAAGCTATCGCCACCTGAGCAGGCGAAGTACGCCTGCGACGCCAACCCAAAGTTCTGTTTCGTGTTTGAGCTTTTACAAGGCATAGAAACCAATATTCGTGTCCTTATTATTGCCCAATCTATCGAGCTCCTGCAGCTTTTGGCACATATTACGACGACTTTGGATATTGATTGTTCTGCGCGAGCGCTGGGGTCATTAGATAACAACTCGAATGACTCGGCGTGTAATGTGACACTGGCATTGCCAAGCGAGGAGATTGACATTGATGAGTTCGAGGTTGTTATCGGCTTTGATCACTCATTTAGTGGCTCACCGGTAGCCAAGGCTTTATCTCCCGAGGGGCAGGCGGTACGCCCGCCAATGCTACTCTCACTTGTCACTACGCACTCTATTGAGCATATTGACAGACATCTGCCAGAAGAACTGAGCCCTCTAGAGAGAAGAAACGCTCTGTTGGCAACTATTGTCAATGCGAGAAAGCTTACCACTGACCCAGACCGGGGCTATCCTGAACCCCACGAAATCGCGAGCATGTTTTGCGACTTTCTAAACGGCGCTGTCGAGGGAGTCTTGTGGGACCCAATTCCAGTGCCAGAGGAAGTGCTTGATATTTACATGAGCTCGCAGTCGCAGTCGCAGCAACCTGCAGTGGTTGAGGCAGAGGGCAACCGTAAGCGCAAGCTTGATGATTACGACGAAGAAGAGGCAAAAAGGGCACGTACGATTCCAAAGGGATCTACAACTTGCAAAGAAGAAGTGCCTTTGCCTGACGATGTGCGCCAACTTCTCGATTCTGCCTCAACAGCTAGCGAGAATCTTCCTGGCTCGGGTGTGTCCATTCAAATTTCACTATCAGTGCTGCAGGCGATCGCGGAGAAGATGTCGGAGCTTGAGCGGCGAGTTGCATTGAGTGAGACGGAGGCCCAATATAAGGCTGTGATCGAGAGCCTAGAGGCGCGTCTCAAGGAATATGAGCGAACTTCGGGCAAAACCTATGAGAAATATCGGGCTGCTGTTGAGGAGCGGTCGAATTTTGAAAGAGAAAAGAAGGAAGCAGACGCGGCCCTCCAATCAGCACAAGAGGCAGCCCAAAAGAAGAGCACCAAATTACAGGCCAAGATCGAAGAGCTGGAGGCCGCCGTTTCAAGGCTTACATCCGGTGGCGAGGGCGAGGGAGCGAACCCGCTGGCGACCTCTGAGAAACTACTTCAGGAAGCTCGACAGACGGCGAACAGGCTTGAAAAGCGTCTGCAAAATGCCACACAAGATGGTGAGTATGCCAAGAACGCATACCAAGAAGCATCCAGTGCGGCGACGGCCCTGCAGACGGAGAATAGGGAGCTCAAGGGCCAGAACGAAAAGCTGCGCTCGCGCGGCTCGGAGAATGTGGTTAGGATCCACGAGATGCAACACGCGTCCATGGCTAAGGTGTACCTGAAGCAGGTGGACGAGCTCCAGACGCAGAAGCGCGAGCGAGAGAGGGAGCTCGACCGCGTGCGGGAGGAACTGCGGCAGGCGAGGACGCGGCGCGAGACGAGGCAGGCCAGTGTACCGCGTAGTCCGCGTATGGGCCTGATGAGTCACAGCACCGGGCGGCCGAACCCGACGAGTCGAGGGACGAGCCCAACGGGCACGACGGAGGCGGGCGGCGCCATGATTGGGGCGCAGCCGAATGGGCGGTGGAACCATCTCCGGGAGTAATTATGCTTATGACATTGTGTAAACCACCAATAGGATACAGGAGTCTCATTCATTTTACGCAAGTTGGTCTTGCTTTAGATTATATCAAGTACAAGATTGGACTGAAGCTATTCGTGCTAAATCTCCAAAGTTATGACGTATTACTCCCGTTCAAGATCATTCGCAGTACAGGACATACCAATACGGAGACATGTATCATTTAATAGACACATAAATTTTTCAATACGCACACTTATATTATTTAGTACGTACATGTAGCTTGTTCCATGCGGACACTGGGTTGTTTCTGACATTTGTCTCTTTCATCTTCACAGCCGACTGGGGAACTCCTAGGATTGATTGCACGCCTCTACAGGCTCAAGTTTCTATTCCTTCTCCGCCATATTCTCAGTCGCCAAATAAAAAAACATAAAGGATAAAAAAATGAGTCCAGTTGCCTCCTCGCCGCAACACTTCTTCCCCCGGTTCTAGTATCATATACAATGAGGACCTTTTTGTCCTCTTCCGCGCCTACCCACATTGCTCCGTCTGGTGATTTCGAGCCATTACATGTAAGTCCTTCTTTCCTGGTGAAGGATTTTTGATTTTTTGTGTGTTTTCGTTATTGGGGTTGTTTGATGCTCGTGGTTTGTAGTCTGTTTATTTCTGCTCGGCGAAGAGGTCCTCCTTCAGGGGAATGCCGAGTTCCTCGCGGAGGGGCTTGAGCTCCTGGAGGTATTGGTCGTACTGGCCCTTGGAGTCGACCTTGGCCTTGATGCCTGTTATCATCAGGTTAGTGTTGCGGTTTCGGGGAATGTCGGGATGCGGCGTTCGTGCTGCGTCCAAAGAAATGGCGCTGGCAAGACGGCTTTGCGATGAGATGGCGACGTACCCTCAAAGATGCGGACAGCAGTGGCAAAGTCGTTCACGCGACGGGCGGCCTTGAGGGCGGCGGCGACGACGGAAGGAGAGGGGACGAGATCGTAGGCGAAGGCGTTGTTCAGGTTGCGCTGCGGAGGAAAAAGAGTGTCAGCATCCAATTGGCGCTGTTCCTTGTAGTCTCGGGCGGAAAACGTACCTGCAGCTCGAAAACATCCTGGACACCGTCGAATTCCTTCTCGAATCTGGAACGGGCGTTAGTTTCAAAACTCCACCGGCTAAGCTTCCTCTATCGGTAGCGACATGGCAGCAATCCAAAATGGCCCAGCAGAGTATCAATTGGTCCCAAGCGGCTGCAGGCAAGCACAAGCTTGCGCCACGAATCAATTGAAGCTGTCGTGGCAGTGTGGCGATGCGCCTGGGCCGGTAGACGAAAAGAACACGCCATTGTCAGCTCCCAAATGCCGCGCGAACCAAAAGACCCCACACCAGAACGATTGGAATTGCTCGCCAACAAGGGCCGCTCTCGACAAAAGAAAGTATATCCGACAATCGGAAAGAAATAGAGGGGCTCACCGGGCAGTAAACTCCTCAAAGGTCTCCTCGGCGTGCTCGCTGCGGCGGGGGACCGAGGTGCTGAAGCTGGCGACGGAGCGAGGAGCAGCCATCAGGGGCGCCACGACGGGACGGACGACGGAGGCGCGGACAAAAGTCGCGGGGCCTCGGGCGGCGAGGCGGAGGAAAGCAAAGGATGACATGGCGGCGACTTTTTTTTTTTCTTCGGATTGGGATGGGTGGTTGATGCAGGCTCAAAGGGCAAAAGGGAAAGAAAAAAGCTGGAGAAATTGTCGCTCAGTTGCTCGTAAGTAATTTGCACGACGTGTGACTGGTGTTTTTTTTGGGCGGTTGGAATGACTAAGCCGGGCAGGGAATGGGCGTCCTGGACTGTGCGAATTGGGCAGTGGGACGGTGCTTATTTAGTGGCATTTAGCGGGAGGCTTGCACAGTGTGAAGGAATGGGGCACGGTCATGATGACCCTGCGGCTTTGGGGAGCTTGCCATTAGCCCGGTTCCAATTCGTCGCTGTGGCCGGAGGCTCGTTGACGAAAAGCAGGCCACTTTGGATCGGGTCATGGCTTGGTTGTCTTTGGCGCGCTGCCGAGGGAGCGAGTTCGGGATTTGATAACTATTTAAATAATCCCTGGCGCCGTCTTTCAATCCTCATGGTTTATTTCTGTATATATATCTTTTCTTTCTTCTCTTTTTTCCCTTGGCTGTTGAATGATTATCGTGGCCACCTTCCAGCAACCTCCTTGTGTCAAGTTCTGTCAGCGTTGGCCAGCACTCTGATCATGACCCAACAATTGAATACTACACCAGGCATTTTTACCCAAGTCAGTAGCACGGACTAGTTAACCTAGTTAACTACCTAGGTACCTAGTTTTTACTGATCAAAATAGCCGCGTCGCACCAAACCCGCGCCGCACTTGCCGATTTGGCTCGTGGACTGTGGTTCGAAAAAAACACCGAAACCCTATTGCAGGCCAATTGCAGGACAGCCGAGATTACAGGTAACTATCTGCACAACAGCTGCAAGGCGCTCAAATAGTACGACGACCCGGCTGCTCCGGCTATTTGGTGGACTCGCCGCCAATTTCCAGTTGGACGCACCCTTGCACGTGATCTGGAGACAGCTCATTGCCGCGCTGTCATTGGCAGGCTAGTTAGTTATCAAACCCCCAGCAAATCACATGCTGACGATGAGATGAATTTCGCCTTGGCTTCCCAAGCCGAGTACCTGAATTTAGCGCTGTAACATGGTCGTCCTAGAGGCGACGGTAGTGCATCCAGTGCTCCGTTCAGCGAACGCCAAAGGCCACTGTAGCGTCATTGCTGCAAGATTGGGGCTTGCTCTCCGCAGTTCCAGGTCCTGCATGCCAACAAATTTCCCCTTTTTCGTGGGCCACCTCACTAAAATATAATGCCATCATACCCAGGCGCAAGGCACTCCAACCCTTTTTTTTTTCCGCCTCTTCCCCCCTTTGGACGAGCCCTTTTTTCTTCCCTCCTTCATTTTCCTCCTTCTCCGCCCCCCGTCTTGAATCATCACTTCCTTCCTTCTTCCTCCCCCCCTTTTCTAGTTACTTTGGTGAAAACGATTCAAAGTGATTCGGTGATTTGGATCGGTTGCTAATTTGAACAATTGTGACCGGTTTGGCTTTTTCCTTTTCTTGTCATTCCTTCTACGAATTTTACGGCTACAACACCACCACGATTGATTGACTAGGTCGCAACGGACTTGTCGCGTCGCGTCTCACCAGAATCACACCCGGCGGCATTCAAGCACTGGGAATACCTCGAACTTTGGAAACCACTCTACACGGTCTACCGAACCTAATAATACACCACCACCCTCGCAATGGCTTCAATTCTGGAACATATTCCCCTGCCCAGCGTGGACCGCCCCTTCGGCATCCACCTGTGGCCCATCTTCGACAAGGCTTGGACTGCTGTCGTCGGCTACCCTGCCGCCGACTTCAAGTTTGTGCCTTTCGAGACGCCCATGTCGACTCTCAAGTCGACTTCCATCTTCATCGTCGTCTACTATGCCATCATCTTTGGTGGCCGCGCCCTCATGCGCAACCGCGAGCCCTTTCAGCTCAAGACGCTGTTCCTCATCCACAACTTTTATCTGACCGCCATCAGCGGCATCCTCCTAGCTCTCTTCATTGAGCAGCTTGTTCCCACGGTTGTCCGCGGCGGCGTCTTCCACGCCATCTGCGACCACTCTGGCGGTTGGACTCAGCCTCTTGTTGTCCTTTACTACGTAAGCCTCTGGCCATTGGTCCACGTATGTTGGGAATCGCCTGCTAACAAGGCTTGCGCCGCAGTTGAACTACCTCACCAAGTATCTTGAGCTCCTCGACACCGTCTTCCTGTTCCTCAAGAAGAAGCCCCTCAGTGAGTAGATACCACGCGCCTCGCGGCGCACGTGCCGTTGCATCTCCAGCTAACAGGGTCAAGCCTTCCTTCATTGCTACCACCACGGCGCCACTGCTCTGCTCTGCTACACGCAGCTCATCGGTTCGACTGCCGTCTCGTGGGTTCCCATCACGCTCAACCTGACAGTCCACGTCGTCATGTACTGGTACTACTTCCAGAGCGCCCGCGGCATCCGCATCTGGTGGAAGGAATGGGTGACCCGTCTCCAGATCATCCAGTTCATCATTGACCTCGGCTTCGTCTACTTTGCCTCGTACACCTACTTCACGTCGACTTACTTCCCCTCGATGCCCAACGCTGGCAAGTGTGCCGGCGAGGAGTTTGCCGCTTTCGCCGGTATCGGTATCCTGTCGTCGTACCTGGTGCTCTTCATCTCGTTCTACTTTGCCACGTACAAGAGGGGCAGCAAGCAGACGACGCGCAAGTCGCTCCGCCGCATGTCACAGGCTCCTCTCCCCGACCCCCTCGCTGTCGCTGGCCATGCCAATGGCAAGACAAATGGTGCTACGGCAACTGGCGCCAAGACCAACGGCGTGACTACCCGGTCCCGCAAGGCGTAAGTCATTGTCTGGCCGATGGGCAGTCTGCGATGCGTCAATGCGGCAACTCTCTGGCCCGTCAATGGCTCGCAGCGGCGGGGGTTCAAGTGGTGTTTCTTGGACGCGAATGCGGTCATACGAGATGAGATCTGCCGAGGAAGAATATAATGTTAGCTAGTTTTGGACATGGTGTTGAGCCGTCGTACAAAATACACGACAAAGGCGTTGGTTGGCCAGGTCAAAATCGCCCGGGCTAGGCGAGGTTAATAAGTATTGGTAGACAATGTATTATGGAAACTTGAGAGGAAAAGGGGGAAGAAAACGAAGTCGAAAAAGAGGAGGGTCTTGGGGAGGGCTAAGAGGCGCTGATTACTACATTGTGTAATACTTTTTAGGACTTTCTGTGTACAATTCATCTACGCGGCGCCTGTTGGCTCGGGGAGGGGAAGTAGGGATACATAGACGGTACACTGAAATGTAATACATGTATTTTTTCATCTTGTGTGTGAAGCCGAAGGGGGAAGGCGAGGAACGCTCATGGTAGCCTGGAGTGGCTCCGTGGGTGTAACGTTAGGTAGCTCTGGCGGGCTTTTTTTTTTTGTGTCAAGACGTTTCTGAAGAAGACGAAGAGAACAATACGAAGAGAACAATGGAGATTGGAGAAAAGGTGAACAGGAGAAAAGATGAACAGAATTGAAAATCAACCAGCGCCATGGCCCGTGGACGAAGACAAAATATGTTGCACAGCCTTGGCGCAGGGTCAGGGCGCGTAGGAAACGAAAGCACGACGAAGCAAATGGATTATGGATAATGGATCTGCGGGGGGGCCACTATTGGCGGGTAGCCCGCGACTAGCTCCAGGGGTAAGGAACAGATGAGGCGGAGATGCCGTGAGGCGGTACTATGTAAGTAATCCGGGAAAATAGGAAAATAGAAGAAAAACGAAGAGCATATTAACTAATAAAATTAAATCGATATATATCATGTGAGCATGTCGCTCTAAAAAAATTCCTAGCTAACAGGTAGGGATTTGTCCAATGTCCTTTCTGTCTGTGCAACCAACCGCACACCCTTTTTTTTTTCAATCCCACCACAACACCCTCAAAAACCCCCCCGGAACAGCAACACCGCAACACCAGCAGATTACGAGCGCCCAACACAGCCAAGCCGGCTTGTACTTGTACAAGGTGTCGGCGCTTACTTGGCCGCTTCATTCTTACCCAGTCGAATCCAATGGGTGTGTGCCAGCCTCGTAACACAGTGTCCAGCCCAAAGCCGCCATGTATGCTTGCTTCCATTGGGCTCCTTTGCAACCCCCCTCTTGTCAGAGCCCGTCATCGGATCCTCAATACGCTTGGTTCTTTGGCCTGCCACAACTTCCCCTCCTTACCTTTACCATGTTGGGTATTGCCTCCCCCTCTTTACTACTTTTCCTTCTTCCTCGCTATTTCAAAAAAATTTTTTCATTCAATCTACGGCATCTTCTCTTTTCATTCCACATCCTGTTTCCGTCTAGGCATTTTCTTCCGCCTCATCGTGCTCTGTTTCGTGGTCAGCGCGTGGCTCCCATCACAACTCACAAACGGCGACTGCGACGCCCAATTCCCCCCCCAACCATACGTTCCTCCTTGGCCACAACAATTCATCCATACGCAAACTGCCAAACCGCATGCTGATTTTTAACCCTTAACAGCCTCCCGCTGCTGGCGCTATTTCTGGCTTGTTTGCGCAAAACGGAAATCTCATTCAGGTAGCTTGGTACCACCCCAGCCAGGCCTCGCCCGCCTTTTTGCGCGCACCCCGCGTTTTTCTTTCTCGTTCTTTCAGCCAGCCCTTTTCTTACGTCTTCTCGTCAGCTGCGGCCCGACAACTTTATTCCTAGCGACAGCGACAGCGACGAACCAGACCTTTTCCTTTTTTGTCCTTTTACTCTGATACCCCCAGCCTCTTCATCATCATCACATTGGCGCCAATCTTTTCGCATTCAACATCCGCCAAGCGCTGGTCCGCTTTCCCAAACCTTAGACGCCCGCCCACACAGACGACCCAACCACACAAGCTCCTTGGCCCATCGACAGCGCCGCCGCCGCCACAGCCGCCGCAGTCATGAGACTTCCCTTTCGCAAAAAGGACAAGAAGGGGAGCCTCGACATCCCCCCCGAGTTCCGTCCTGCCGGCGCCGGCCAGCCCCCTCGCTTCCCGCCCACCGCCCGCTCCGCCGCCATCCTCCACCACCTGCCCCCGTCCGTACTCGCCCGCGTCTTTGCCCGCGTCTGCCCGCACGCCTGCGACAATTCCTATGATACATGTGAGGAGAGCTCCCGCGGCAATGCCTGCGTCCTTTGCGACCTGCGCGACCTATCCCACTGTGCCCAGGTCAGCCGTATCTGGCGCGCGACGGCCGTTCAAGTTTTGTGAGTTTGCTTTTGCGCGTACCCTCGGCTGGGACCGTGCAAATAGAATGCCATATATATCTAGATACATATATATATATAGATCTATATTCCTTTCCTCGAACCGAACCCCTTCCCGCCTCTCAACATCCCTGCTAACAACTCCCAGATATCACAGCGTCCGCATCGAACCCGTACACTTTTGCAAGATGGAGGCCTGGCTTGCCGAGCGCCGCAAGAAGACGGGCCGCTTCAACCACAACGGCGTCCCCGAGGACACAGCCCAGACGCGCCTGCGCCTCCTCCGCCGCACTGTCCGCGACGACCCCACCCGCCTCGGCCGCTTTGTCCAGTACCTCAAGATCCCCTACATGCTGCGCGAGTATTGCCATGTCGAGCTCGCACAGACCATTGCCGTGCTGCCCGACCTGCACTTTGTCGACCTGCCCGAAGGCCTCTTCTCCGACGACCCAGCCTTTGCCACGCTCCGGCTCGAGGTCGAGGCACGCTGTCCGCAGCTGCGCAAGATGTCCTACGTTACCGGCGCCGAGCGCAGCTTCAACGCGCTCGCGTCCGGCCGCGTCTGGACCCACCTCGAGGTCCTCGAGGTCACCGGCCTCAACGTCGAGCCGGCCACCATGCGCGCCGTCCTCGGCTGCCTGACCAACCTGCGCGCCCTCAAAGTCAGCCAGACCGACAGCATCTCGGACGAGGTCCTCGTCGCCACCGAGGACGGCTTCCCCGCCCTCGCCCCGCTCGAAGAGCTCATCCTCAAGGACACACCCCGCGTCACCGCCAAGGGCCTGAGGGACTACCTCGCCTGGAAGGATACGCGGAACGCGCTCAGCGTGCTTACCCTCAAGGACACGGGCGTCCACCCGGCCGAGCTCGCCGACATCCTCGCCACGGCTCCGTACCTGCTCACCCTCGCCGTCCAGAGCAAAATCAGCGAGGCGCTCCCGCACAATGCAGGCCTGCCCCCGCTCGCCTCTACCTCCCTGCGCACCCTCCGCTTCGAACTCACCGGCCGCACCGCCTCCGCCCAGGACACCAGCGCCGCCAAGACCTACTACGCCTACCTCGCCAGCTCTATCCTCTCCAGCAGCCTGCCCGGCCTCCGCAGGCTCTACGTCCACGACGACGCCTTCCCCGACAAGCTGCAGACCGCCATGCCCGTCCCCGGCGGCGTCTTTGCCCCCGGCGGCCCCGGCAACAGGGGCTCTTCTGCCTCCTTTTCACGGGGCGCGCCGCCGCCCGCCGTCCTCGTCACCCGCGACGACACGCCGTCCGGCATGACGAGCCCCGGCTACGGTACAAGGAGTCCCAAGTACAGCAACAGTCCCCTGGCCAGTCCCGGCGCCGTGCCCCGCAGCCTCGCCGCGCTCTCCGCCAGCCCCCCCCACGCCCGGCAACGTCTCAGCTCCAACAATCCCTTTGCGCCGCAGTATCAACAGCAGCAGCAGCAGCAGCAGCAGGAGGAGGACGAGCAGTCGACGATCACCTCACGCCCGTCCGCCGCCCCCATCCAGACCCTCGAAATCTTCACCAAGGGCGACGACTGCAGCCAGTGGAACTTTGCCCGCGTCAACGCCACCACCCGTCAGAAGCACCAGCAGGCCTCGGGCGACACGCGGCGCGCGAGCCAGTACGGGCTCGCGGCCGACGTCCAAGGCCAGGGCTGGGACAGCGGCGGCGCCCGTCGCAGCGTCATGGTCGGCAACGCCGCCGGCGGCTTCCTCACCCTCCCCGGATCCGCGCCCTTTGCGCCCCCGACCGACTTCTTGCCGCCCCCGCCCTCGCGATACTCTGGTACCAACGACCGGCCGCGCAGCAGTGGCGGCGAAAGCTTCTCCCGCTCCCGTCTGCGTCGTTGATTCCAACCATTTTTTATTTTTTCTATGCAAACACAAAAAGCATCTTGTTAAAACCGCATATGGGACAAGGGCGCTGTCGCAATCTCCTAAAATGGAATTTCTCTTTTTCTTTCTTCCTCTGTTTTGTTTGTTTTGCGCATGGCATGTGAGATACCTTTTTTTTTTTTTTTTAACTCTGTGTGTGTGCTTGTGGAATGGACAAAGCTCCCCGTCTGCGAAATTCCCCCAAACAGCGTTCATTCTACTCCTTTTACAACGGGGACAGGACGGGCTGCGAATACCGACGGATGTAATGAGGACAAGAAAGAGTACATACATATCAAGTGGGATTTATGTCGCAATGGGGGGACATATTTGGGGGGATTTTTTTTTGACCTGGCAAGGCTTTCAGGGCCCTCTAATGACTCGAGTAGCATTGGGCTCGATTTAATCATTTATTACTTTTTCCCCATTGTCTTGCTTGGAACCTGTTTATGTGATTCGAGGCAATAGGCAGCAGTGTTGGGCTTATAACTTGTATTGTTTATTACTTAGGGCAGAATCTCGGTCCATGTCGTACAATATCTCTCACAAGTGCACACTATCAGTCAGTCCTCTGTCGGTCTCTGTTGCCAGTCCTCCATTGTCAATCTTTCGGTCGCAGTCTTTCGTTGCCGGTCTTGTGTTGTCAGTCTTGTGTTGCCAGCCTTTCAGTCGCAGTCTTTCGGTCGCAGTCTTTCGGTCGCAGTCTTTCGGTCGCAGTCTTTCATTCGCAGTCTTCCGTTGCCAGTCGTTCATTACCAGTGCTCTGTAGTTCCGCCCAATAATCCATCAATGTTCTACTCGGTACAAGGTTTTCCAAACGCCTCGCCATGTTATTACATTCACATCTCATAGGACCGCATCTGTCCGCGCACTAAGTCGCGGCGCGAGCTCGTCGGCCGGTTCTCCTCCGGCTCGAGCACGAGCGGTTCGGTGCACCACGGCCCTTCCAAGCTGTCCCTACTATTCCATAGCTCGACATAGCCCCCCTGGAAGCCTTCCTGGACAGAGGCACCCGCCGCGTTGCCGTTACCCTCGAGCGCATACGTCTGCGACCCGTTCTCCGCCAGTAGCCGGTGTATTGTTATCTTGTTACGACGCGGGTCAATCTCAGAGACAGAACATGGAACAAGTTCCACGTCGGCCTCCCCGTCCAGCATGAGTTCAACTGGCGCTATGTTCCCGGACATTGTAGTCTGGTAGGTCTGGGAAGGCGTGTTGTTTCCGCTTGGCATGAAACTATCCCAGGAGAATAGCGCGTCAAGTGTATCTTTCATAACAAAAGACGAATCACGCAGACATGGCTCTCCGCCGGATGTACTTTGAGAGTTTTGAGGAGGGAAGTTCTGAGGAGGGGAGTTTTGAGGAGGCGGGGTATTGTACCGCACCGCGGCAGTCGAGTCTATTGTGTTTTCATCAGTCATTTGTGTTTTCATACTCTGGCATCTTGAGCAAGAAAAGAAAAGTCTAATACTGGAATTATGGCCTTACTGGGAGGATTTGGAGTCCGCGACGAGATGGGGGGGTTTCGTTTCTCGAACTTCTCAATGCGACGATAGTGTATCCGTCGACCCCCCACCCTGAACTCGGTGTCTTTGCCGCCGGCTCTCTTGTTCAACTTGTACATATGAGCAGCCTCGCGCATGTCACTCGCCTTGAAGTTTTTGCAGACCTTCCACCCCCTGAGGCGGCTCCGATACTGTTTCACGCTGGCGAACCGCAGCAATGTCAACTTTTGCAAACGGGCATGGGTACGTGCACACGCTCTTGCTCACCTGGCAACGAAGCCATACCTAGCTTCCATGATCCTGGCAGTTTCCGCGGCGGTGTTTTTCTGGTACAGGGCTGAGATGATGGACCGTCGTTTTCGCCAGTCTAGGCGGCCAGGCGGCGGCAGCGGAGGCATGCTGTCATGGGGGTCGCGATCGGGCGACGCCGGAGGTACAACAGGTGCAGGTGCATAAGCGGTAGGCGGAGGCGCAGGTTCAATAGGATCCAATGGCTCGAGAGGACTGTGAGTATAATCCTGGTCGAAATCATACGCGAAAAGGTTGGGGCACTGATAGTCGGCAAGCGGGATGTCTTCTTCGCCATCAGCATCTTGTACTGCCGCGTTGGGCGGCGGGTGCCAGTAGCTGTTGTCAGGAAAGAGATCCATATGCAAGGGCATGTGTGTAATCGGGCGGAATCAGGAGATATGGGGGTTTGGGGGGCGAGGGGTTCGGTTTGTTGGTTTGGTTCGTTTCGTTTCGCTGTTCGGGTTGCATTACAGTTCACGGTTCCCCAACACCCAGACTGTCGGCAACCAGGCGTACTTATACACGATTTCCCATCACGATGCCCAAATGCATGTAACATTGGGCTCAGCTGGGGTGCAGTCTGCCACGCACACGCAGAACATATCTGTAGGTGCCTGTCAAATACTCCTGCAAACGATCCCTGCCAGACTGACTGCCAGTTGCAAGAGGGTGGGCGGGGGGGCTTGCCTGGTCTGCTGCAAGGTCAATCAATCGCTCTCTAGTAGCCACAGGCACCAGTCCACCGACGTATGCTACCAGGTATCAGACTTAGTATATGGTCTCTTGTTCTCCATATATGCTGCATTCTGTGCATTCGTGTAGCGCGGTAATGGTAGGTCGTCGTTTGTATCTCTGCATCTGGTTTCAGTGCTGATGGCTGAATGGTGGCTGTCCATTGCATGAGATATTTTCGCGACTTATCAGCAAGCAAGGTCTCTTGGTCTTTGGCCAGAATAGCAACTCGCGCCGGATCAACGTGTCACAATGTCTTGGCCGACCACTTGCGGAGGGCCGTGGCAAGATGTAGGGAGGATGTGCAACAGGGGCGTTACCGCCATTGTGGTCCGGCCCAACGGACAATTGGGGTGTAATGTGGAGTACGCTCGCAGGGATCAATCACGTTCGTAACTACTGGGTACTACATGTAGGTAGGTACTACTACTACCTAGTTAGGGGGTGTACGCTTGACAGTTACCTCTTCATTGCACTTGCACTTGCAACATCCAATCGTAGATGCCTTCATGCCGCCAAATCGACCAACTCGTCCGTCACCGCCATAGTTGCAATAGTACAATATTCGCCGCTATTCTCGGAACCCGCTCTTCACCAATTATCCACGAGCCTGGAACAAAGCCAGCCAGCCTGCCTGCCTGCCCTGGACCTCCCTCCGTCTTTCTGAACTGCTGACCAACTGACGTGGCATTGCAGCAACCCCCCCCCCCCCCCCCGCGCCCCCGGTACCTATTATTGACACCCCGCAGGCCCTGCTGTACTAACCACTAACCCAGCACAGTGTACAACATCCGCCCGAGTTGTGGCTTGCCCAGATTGTAGATGCTTTGACTCCACCAGTTTTTTAGATTTCTCTTTTAAAGCACGAGTTTTATGGGCCGCAAACACCTTTGTCTGCAAGTCCAACACGGGCTTGACCAAAGCGTTTGTCTTGGGTTGCAACATGTGGCAGGTTGGCCCTTATTACGTGGCAGCACACACTGTCGCCCCCAAGCCGGATACCGCCGCCCGGTGCAATATTGCTGCCGGCTACCAGTCCGTCACAGCTCCCAGCACCCATCTGTCTGTTTCACCGCTCTTCTTGTGCGACCTGGCGGTCAATCCATGGGACTGCCGGCTTGGCCAGCCTACCAAGTCCTTCCGTCCTTCCCCCAGTATCCAGTATCTGTACAGAGGACAGATTGATTGACCGCTGTCGAATTCCCCACACGAGCGGCGGTTTCGATGCCCACTTGCCCACTTGCGTAGGTACCAATTTACCCTATATACGGATACTACCTACCTACCTGCCTAGGTATCTAACTACCCTGGCCGCGACGTGCTGCCGAGGCTCTAGAAATGCTGAGCCTGTCCGGCACAACCCAGCGCAACCCCTACGCGGTGGTAGCAGGGGTTGACAAGCCCAGAGAATACGTGGTTGAAAAAGGCAAATCGTAATCGATCATGAGGTCAATCATCTACTGACTGAGACCCCTGTCCAAGGCAGGCACTACTGCAGTTACCCGTCCTCAAACAGAGGTGGGCCGGACAAAACCCGAAGCGCAATGGGGAAAAGCTCCGAGGGGATGAGATGGGACCAGTATGCATACCAGGAGGTATGTATATCAGGTATTGCATAAGGCCAAGCGGAGAGATGGAGGCCACGGACAGAGCCGCCGCTAACTACCTACTTCCTTACCTCCTTAGTACCTACCTATATAGCGACGATTAGCTGTCACCGAACCACCCTCCACCCTCCACCCTTCTTCCTACCTGTTATTGGGCCAAGCAAGGTGACAGGCTACCTAGTGATGCGAGTGCCAGGCTACCCAAGTAGTGATGCGAGTGGCACGCCCGTGATTCGAGTGGGAACTCGGAACGTCAGCGTATTCGCACCGCCGCAAGTCGGCATCCAGTGTCAATTAATCTCGAGGAAAAAGAGATACGTCGCAAACGACCATATTTACCACCCGCTAGAAGCCATGCTCCTCATTATCCGGGGGGGGGGGCTCCGTCCGCTGTCAACAATCCGCTAACCAGGCTCTCGGAGAAGAGTTTGGTTGGGTCCTTACGTCCTTCCCGTACCTACTGTGGAAACCTACTGCAACCGCTGGGTTGTTCACAGGGCGTCGGAAGATGCCGCTTCAACGGCCGCAGATGAGCGTGGTGGGTGTGCAGGTAGAGTTGCGTTGCCAGCTCTCACCCCCCGAGCTGTTTCTGACAACCTAGTTAGGCACCCCAGGACCGTTGTGTCAAAGTGGTGCAATCCCTAACTAGAATCCCTACCTACCTACCTAGGTACCTCGGTAGGGAATGACTTTCGCTTCTTCGCTCTTTTCCTCTGTTACTAGCGGCGTAGCTTTGGAGATCTAGGGTAGCTGGTTGTGCACACGGATCTAGCTTCCACGAACCATCGATTTCCGCTACGTACCACCGTGGACGTGGACAATACACAAAAAAAATGGTATTCCCTGCAAATGATACCGTCTGAGCTCGGGCAACAAGTAGAATGTAGTATCGACGTAACACAGGGTAGTATTGCGTCCCTCCCAAGACGTCCTCGGCCTCGGCGCCGCACCCATCACGTGACACCGGCGCGAAGGCCGCCTCCAGCCGACACCGGGTTAGCTTATTCACTCACTGAGTCACTTGTGTCACTTATAAACAGGAAGCTTTTTTTTCGTTTTTTTTCTTCGAGCTCACAACACAAAAGCACATCACATCACCATCATGGCGACCGTTATTCACTTGAGATCCGAAACCAAGCCTTTCGAGAGGCGCTCTCCTCGTACGCTCCTCAAAAGCCCCCTCCAGCCCGAGGTACACAACTGACAAACTCGAACCACAGTCTCGCCGCAGACCGCCAAGGCCCTCATTGACGCGGGCTACGTCTTGCGGGTGGAGGAGTCGGCCGACCGCATCTACAAGGATGACGAGTTCAAGGCCGTCGGCGCCGAAATCATCCCTGCCGGTTCCTGGACCAAGGCACCCCTGGACCACATCATCCTGGGCTTGAAGGAGCTTCCTACAGACGGCTGTACGTTCCGACGAACCCTATTTTTTCTTCTTTTTTTCTTGCCAGGGTTGTGACATTGACAACCCCCCACTAACACACGGCCAAACACAGCGCTGCTACCGCACAACTTTATCCACTTCCACCACTGCTTCAAGAAGCAAGACGGCTGGGCGACGGAGCTGTCCCGCTTCAGCAAGGCCAACGGGCTGCTGTACGACCTTGAGTTCCTCGTCAACGACAAGGGCCAGCGGGTGGCCGCGTTCGGCTGGAGCGCGGGCTACGCCGGCACCGCACTGGCCCTCCTCGCGTGGTCGCACCAGCTGCTGCACCCGGGCGTGCCTCAGCCCGCTGTGCCCGTGTTCGACTCGGCCGCGGAGCTCATGACGCGCGTGCGCGCCGCCATTGCCGAGGCGCTGCCCCTCAACGGCGGCGCGTACCCGCGGCTCATGATCATCGGCGCGCTCGGCCGCTGCGGCAACGGCGCCGCCGCCGCGTGCGACGCGGCTGGTATCCCCGCCGAGTCCCTGATCAAGTGGGACCTGCCCGAGACGGCCAAGGGCGGGCCGTTTGAGGAGATTACGGCTGCCGACATCCTCGTCAACTGCGTGTACCTGGGCGCGCACCGCGTGCCGCCCTTCACCACGCGCGAGACGCTGTCGACGCCCGAGCGCCGCTTGCGCGTCATCTGCGACGTCAGCTGCGACCCCAACAGCGAGAACAACCCGATTCCCGTCTACGCCGGCTACAGCACGTTTGACAGCCCCACGGTCGCGGCGTCGGGAACGCTCGAGGGCCCGGAGCTGCGCGTGATTGCGATTGACCACCTGCCGACCATGATTGCGCGCGAGGCCAGCGACGAGTACGCGGGTCTGCTCCTCCCGAGCCTGCTTGAGCTCAAGGATCGCCAGACGGCGGGTGTGTGGACCAGAGCGGAAAAGACGTTCCGTGACCGCGTTGCAGAGCTACCCTAAGAACTAAAAAGCATACGAAGCTTACGAACCCCCCCAAAAATGTCTCTAGACCTAGTTTCGAATAGAAAAGCATGCTGAATGGCAAGGCACTGCCTAGACTACCCCAATGGCTTGTATCTTGGTGTACTCTGTGCAGTTCCCGTTACCTTGTTGGGGTGCCCCTGTACTGTACTGGTAACCGGTGTTCAACAGCGTCGAAGCAACGTTGACCGAATGCGTGGGAAGTCCCCCCAATAACTACTCATCTATGCCGGAGCCTTGAAGATGTTCTGAGATGACACCTAGATTGACAAAGACCCTTTCGTCGCCCTGCAGAGCATTAGTATTGACGCAGCAGTTGGAATTCGTTCCGGTATACCCGTACACGATTGGCGTATAGACCAGTAATGGTGGTCCCGGGGGCAGCAGGAACGTCGCGCATTTCCAGGTCTCGGTCAAATTGACCAATAGTTTTTGATCTGCCCCGGTTCGTCGTAATCTTCATCGGTCAGCATCTCCCAAGCTTTCACGAGGCTTGCGTCGAATCTCACTGTCAAGTACTGAATAAATCCGTCAGGCCTGTAGCCTGTAGACGCGTCGTCCTCTGGTAAACGCCTAAAGCCGACGGAGAGAGAACAGATGCGTTCGCCACCTGTACCATCAATGGTGAAGCGTGGCGCATCCGGCAGCTCATTATCGGAGATGCCGCCGAGCTGCACTAGGCTTGCGTCACGCATCTCCTCCGCCGCATCGTCGTATAGGAAGCGCAAACCTTGCGGTGTACTGCCTTCATTATATATGAAGCCTTGCAGCGAAGAGAGTCTGCACCCTCGGTCACCGCCGAAATTGACCCAGCAAAGTGGTTCGTAGACGGTACGGAGAGGATACATATTCGTGAAGGAGGCCTCATTGAGGACGAGACTAGCTGGCGGAGGATTAGGGTACCATATTGCTGTACGTCGTAGGGATTCGGTTTCCGCGAAGTGAGCGTGTCCGTCATCGGTCTGCCTCGCGTGGACAGATAGAGCGGTGATTTTGTATCCCTGTCCGGGAGTTTTAGCGAGTACCTGCCACAGGAAGGGGCTTTGTACTTACGTCGAGTGTTACCCTTATACTCGTTATTTGTCCAGAAGTCATGAGACGGATCGATATTGGCACATTTTTTGAGCGGCCGGCCCACCGACTTGCTTGGTGCCGTGGACCGATGACTTGCAGCGCTCTCAGCCCGTTGCGGCCCATGGCCACTCTGAACCCATGTAGCGCAGTGACGTCGAAGAAGTGTTCGTTTCTGGTAAACAAGTACCCGGCAAATTGTGACTCCCCATCTTGGCCCATGATTCGGATGCCTGTGATATAATCCCAGACACCTGTGTCTATGACGGCAATGCCGACTCTGACTGCGCCGGGTGGGACTTGTATCTCTGCCGTTGTAGTCGGATAACGCGGTACGTCGAATATTGGGCGTTGAGGGGCGAGATCCTCTCTCTGCACCATGCTCCTGAGTGTATGCCACCCTGGTGACGTCACAGTCTCGGTTCGCTGACAGCCAATGTTGCTGATGAGCGGCGGCTGGATGAGAGGAAGCAATCTTTGTGCTAAGTGCCATATTCGCCTTCGATTCAAAAGCTCCGGATTTGCGATCGATTTCCGAGTAAGGCGATAGAGCTCCAGCAGTGCACCAAGATGATTGAATATGCTCGGTTCCCTGGCTTCGAACAGGAAACCCCGCTCCCCGCCAGGAAGGAAACGCGACCGCCAAAACGTAAGGTCAGAGAGCAAAGACTGGAAGGTTCGGGATACCAAACGAAGGCCCAGCGCGTCGTTTGTGGGAAGCAAAACGAGAATCATGGAGCGTAGCTCCAACGGAAGACGAGTAAAGCAGTCCCCATTGACAGATGACTGAACAGGACCACCAGGGTCGGCATCTTTTGCTTCCAAGTTGGACAGTAGCCCTGTAATCTCGGGCCCATGAAATGGATTGGCGACGGCGCCAACAATGGCCCATTCTTCACGCAAGTAAAAAAATCCCTCTTGCCAGGCATAGCGATCATCCAGCCAGGGTCTGAGCAGGCCCCCGTAGTCGTGCCCCCAACACAGCCCGTTCAACGTGACTGGAAATGGTAAAGACCTACAGACGGCTATCATTCGCTGCAAAGATACGAGTGAAGCACCGGGGACTTTTTGTAGCAGACACCAGCAGGCGTCGTGGATTATAAAACCGTGAAGGCCATTGGCGGCGCGAGTCTTCATGACTGGAAGCTGCAGAAGGTCATCTTCAGTCGGAACTGTGTCCCAACGAAGCATCGGGTCTTTTGGAACACGCCATACGGGATAGGTGTCGTATAGCGCAACACCGCTGACGAGGGCATCGCTACCATTGCGATAGACTAGGTTTTGTCAATACGCATGTACATGCATGTATTGGCTAGCCCTTACCTGCGCGATATCGGGTCTTCCAGTTGTCTGGTTCGGAGGTAGGAACGTCCTCTATATCGAAGCCACATAATAAGCAACCGAATCTTCTGGCCATATTGAGTGTCGGCTTGTTTGTTGAATGTTGATTGATGATGCAACAATGCGGGTGGGGGCTGGAGCATCTTCTCACGGCGCTTGGACAAATGCGACCTATAGAGCCTGATCTTGGGACTCTTTCCATTTTGAGTAACCCATGTCTAACTACTAATCACACTAGTTGCGCCACCCGGCGGAACCGCCAATCTTAAACAGCACTGGTTAATAAGAGCGGCCTGAAATCCAACATGTTTTCTTCTATCAATCGCCCCTCTCAAAATATCTCTTCTTCAGCGCCCCATCTTGTCACTCATACTTTTGTCAAAGATGCCTAAGCTCAGCAGTCGAGGTAAGACACTGAGACCGGAAGACTTCAAATATGTGAGGGTATTTATTAGAAGCAGGAGGCGATTCGCTAACCCTCCAGCAGTACTTGAATGACATCGTGAATCTCGGGTGCTACAAAGCGATCAACCGGGCTGGATCCACCGAAGATGAAGTTGATGCCTTTTACACTGGATTTCTGGCTGACGTCTTTTTGAAGAAGAACGGCTGGGTAATTCATGCGCAAACCAGGGCTGGCCGCACACTGGTGAAGATCGATGTCAGGGTCCGTTGGGTCCGCCTCCAGGGTGCTCAGACGGCAGTCATTCTCTGGGAGAACAAAAGACGCGAGCTCGAAAGCGATTCCTCTGTTTGGGCGGAGGCTTTGGAGCAAGTGGTCGAATACGCTGACGCTGTCCGTTGCAATGGTCCTGAACAAGACGCCTCGAAACCGCTCTACCTCACCGTCAACGTCGGTACCTACCTCCGATTTTATGAGCTTCCTGGCTTGTCAAATGTGGCAAAGGACTGGGCACCCGCAAAGGGTAAATTGTATGAGTTGGCAGATGACGAGGAAGCTGTGTGGAAGCTCTGGAACCGCCTTCGTGAGTTGGTGACGCCAAAGTAGTATGGTCGAATGTGGCATACGAAGCGAAGCGAGGAGGCACATGGGAAAATGAACACCGGCAGCAAAGTTGTATCAGAGGCTTGATGCGATGGAATGCGATGCAGAAGCGAAAAGGGACGGTATTGGCACGGTGTGGTGATGAGGAGCAGAGGGCTGTGGAGGCACGGGAGCCCGACCTAACATTGAACATAAGCCAGCGATTGGCTGCTCTTTTGCTCTAGTCTAGAAATCTGCTATTTGTGTTACTTATTATCTATATGGTATATTCTTCGTCATCTATCGTATGTATATCATCTGTTTTCTGGACCTGCTTCATGCCTTGATGGAAAGTATTGGAAGCGAGCAAATCGCCACACTGGAGTCAAAGCCGGCGATGAAGCCTGTAGTGCGGTCCACACACCTGAGAGTGGAATATAAGCGCGCACACGCCCTGTGGGAAGATATGCGCGACAACCTACAGCGCAAACAAGGACGAGACATCGGCAGTGCGGCTGGTGGAAAGCGACATCTCGAAGATGAAAGGATGAAAGGATGGATGGCTAAGCTCGACGCGGACAGCGTGGCCACACGCAAGGAAACCCTATAGTGCGTGACACTCCCACGTGACATTGATTCGAGTTGCTGTGCCAGTCCTCAAGGGGTCCTTGCTAGACTTCCCAGTTTGGACCACCTATAAGCATTTTTTTCTTGCCATTGTCTGGTTCGAGCATCTGTTCCTGATTCATGCAGCATTTGTTCGAACCTTGGCAAGGTAACTATTTTGCTAATCATAGTCTACTGCCCCAAACTGACCATACTTGGCAGGGATCGTCAAACAAACCAGCTCTTGCATCATGTTTCAACACCCTATAATTAGGGCATGGCACGCCAGGTACGGGCATAGAAAAGGGGCGCGAATCAGCTTCAAGCCGAGAACTTTAAACTTCGCTTTCGGCATCTCCAACTTGCTCTTGAAACTGGTCATTATCGATAGCTCGTCCACCGTCCGTCGCCACCGATTCCGCCATTCTTTTATAGCGCCGAATGATCGGCTGCCGCTGAGGCTATGATCATCGATTTCGTCCAAGGTCGTCATTTTCGGCGATCAGTGATGATCTCACGCACCCTTCCGTCTAAAAGGGCGGCGCTTGGGCTACCATCGAATTGCGCTTTACAAGCTGTCGACTGACTCAATTTTTTTTGCAGCGAGCATTATTATTACGAGTCCTTCCGCCTTGCATGGCCAGCTACTGGTGCCAGCAGCGCTGGCTGCCGCTGAAGCCCCAAGGTCAAATGTCAATTTCAAAGCGGCATAGCATAATAGGCTTCAATGATAAGCGTCGCCTATCGCCGTCATAGTCGCCTATATGGCGTCTCGGGTGGAGAGTCTCCCGAAGGTTGGTTGAGAACGAGAAGAATGCGGATCCGAAGCTCTGTCGTGCCTCCTATTTCCACCACGTGCTTCCGCCGGCGCATGATATTTCATTGAAACATATCTACGGGGACTTAGAGAGTTTCAAATGGCATATGTCGACTCGGAAACATGGAAATAGCTGAACATGCTCCGATAGACGACAGCTCATCGCTTGTTACCTATATAAGGCTTCCCCCGAGCGTTGTCTGCCTCTCTATCGATCCTCAGCAGGCTATTGTCATATATTCTTACATAGATTCTGCAGAAAAAACGAGCAGAGCCAAGATGAGACTCGCCGGCCTTGTCACTCTAGCCCCGGCTGCCGTCACGGCCATGTCAATCGGCAACCGTCAATCCGCCCCCGAAACCAGTGCAGGGCCAAGCTTCATCCAGATCTATGAGAATCTTGCAAAACTTGATAGTCGCAACGGCACCGGATGTGTGATTAAAGCAGACCAACTGCCTTCCACACGCACAGTGTCAGCCAAGAGCTGTACCAACAACCAGAAACAGGTTGATACGGCCCTCGCACAATGCGTCCAGCTCGCAAAAGCGGCCGCCCAGGCCGCCCAAAACGGATCACAGCTTTTCCAGCAATATTTCAGGACGGAAGATCCCAACGCGCGCGAACACGTGGCAGAACACTTTGCCGGGATTGCAGCCGGTTGCAACAAGAAAGGGAGCACGCCCGTCACTGTTTGGTGCACCCAGCAAGAGCCATGCTTTCTTGAAAAAACCGGCAAAATGGAGTTGGCGGCAGTGGCGAACCCGAACAGCGATGGAAAGCCGGGGGATATTCGGCTCTGCCGCGGTGCCTTTAACCAGGGTGCCGGTGGCGGTGATCACCAGCGCCGTGAGAACAAGGCCAATAGCTGCGGAGAGAATTTGTCCACCATGGGCGACCTGCTTGTGCACGAGATGTCCCATATTACAGTGAGGTCGAAAGATGTCGCCTACGGCAGAACAAAAACCCTGGGCCTCTCAACATTCAACAGCACCATCAATGCCGACAGCTATACGCTCTTTGCTCGAGACGTTTCGGCAGGATGTGCCGTCACAGCGCCTGCTAATGGGAACCCGCCACCAAACAGCGGAGATGCCGGCACTGGGGAGCTTCCTCCCACCAAGCCTCCTAGTGAGAGCAAGCCTTCGACTGCAAGCAAGCCTCTGACTGGAAGCAAGCCTCCGACAACAAGCAAGGCTCCAGCTGCAAGCAAGGCTCCGGCTGCAAGCAAGGCTCCGGCTGTAAGCAAACCTCCGACTGGAAGCAATCCTCCGGCTAGAAGCAAGTCTCTAAGTAAGAGTAAGCCTCCGACTAGAAGCAATCCTCTAGCTGCGAGAGTGGTGGTAACAAGGAGCCTCCTCCCAGCAACGATCCGAACAGCAGGCCTCCTGGCGGCGGAAATGATAGACCTCCCAGTACTGTCCTGGACTCCGAGAGTGGCGGCGATGAGGATCACTCTGACGACCAAGGTGGGAACAACAAGATCCCTCCTGAAAAAGCTCCGAGCCCTGTTATCCCGCCCCCGAGCAAGGACGATGAGCAACTCTCCAACGACGATAATGGCGGCGACAAGGACAACTCTGATGATCCAGGTGGGAACAAAAATATCAGCCCTAACAACCCCTCAAGCCCTGCTGTTCCGCCCCCGAACAAGGAAGATGAGCAGCTCTCCAACGGCGATAGTGGCGGTGATGAGGAATTTGTCAACGATGAAGTTGGTACTATCAGGCCTCCTCCTCCTAGTATTGCGCCTCAGGACACAGGAGATGGGCTATCCTCCGATAGCGATAGTGACCGTGACAAGGAGTCTGTCACCGATCAGGCTGATACCACCGAGAGTCTCCCTTCTGACGTTCCGCTCCTAAACAACG